TCTAATACTGAATATGGATTAACCTCTGGAGAGTTTGGAGATTTTTTTTTCCTGTTTTACTTTTTGTCACAAATCTATCAGATTATCAAACAAATCTTAAAAGCTGTATAGATAGGCAGATTAAATACAACAAAAAATATAATTCAAATAATGGTTTAATTTATTATGGCTCTCCAAAACAACCTGACCTTATGTGGAAAAGGCAATTGCCCCCTAAACCTTATGACTGAATGTGTCTTTCCTAGCAGCAAAACTGCCATCAACTTTTTGCAATAATTGAACATTTATTTCTGAAATTGCTTTGGAAGACTCTTCACCCATGCAGATTTTCTATTAACTTAGTCACATAGAGGAGATTTGGGAATGAACTTAATCATACACAGTATTATACCAAAACCTGGACTTTGACTATACCACTCCAAAACTTAAAATTTATATATATTCTTCAGTTATTCAAAGGTGGGCTTGATAGTTTGCTTTGAATCACTGTTTTGCCTAAGTTCACCTTATGATTTTAATTAACCTGAACTTTCTGACAGAATCATCTTTCTGTCACAAAGATGAACTCAATTACAGCAAATTGTCCAAGTCCTGAAATGGCAAATCTGAGCAAATGTTGCCCAGTTTTGTCTCTTCAGTTCACTGAATCACTTTTGGGAGTCACTGTGATGTTACTGGCAAATGTGAGTTGACTTTATGTTTTGATTCTTTTCTTTCTTGTTGTTTAATGTGTTTGGCTTTGTTTTGTTTTGGGGGTTTATATCATTAGTATTTTTACCTTCCTGAATCACAAGCATATGCTTTAACCGAAGCAAATGAGGCTATTTTGATTAGGGTACAATGTGTAGCTTTTTGAGATCTCAAGCCTACTTCATGCTGTCAGACAGGCTCTATTAAATGTATTATTTTTATTCAAAAGATCTGTCCTTATCCAGGTCTCCATTTGGTAAATAAAATGGACCACAGATTGTCAATGGATGTAATTAATCACAGCTATCTTGTTTTAAGAAGGGGAGGGAGTTATTATTATCGATGAAGAAATTATTTGAAAAATTGTTTTTCAGATTCTCCTCATCTTGTCTTAAAATCTAAGCATTCATAAATATGTAAGTAAAACAATATTTTAAAACAATTTAAAATGTTTGTCAGTATCTTGGTATTTTCTGAGATCGTGCTTCCATGATATAGTTTCAGAATCACTTATATTGAGAATGATGATTTGGTGCCACCTACTGTTGGATCATTTTCTCTGTCAACAAAGTCAAAAGAGCCTTCAACACAAAGACCAGCGCTTCTGATTTTTACCTTGGCCTCCTGATAAGACTGAAGGGGAAAAGGTTATATTCACCTCAAAGATATTTTGCAGTCACTGATTCCTCCCTGTAATGATTTACTGCACTTGAATTTTTTGCTGACACGGTTCTCTATAGCTGGCTTTGCAGATTTATAGCAAACCATAATTTGGGGGTGTAAAATAGGAATAAAACCCCTGTTAATTATTTAATCGTGGTTCTGTGGTAAGTACTGCCTTTCGGCCCAGAAAAGGATGTCATCCTTCTCTATCTTAGTGGGACATTATATCACTCATTTGTTGCTGAAGAAAATTACTGCCAAGCCAGAGTTTTATGGTAAATTAGGGCAGAGAACACTTTTATGAGCATAATTAACCAACGATTTTGGTCATTTTCTTTTTTATTTAATGCAAATGAACTGCTAATTGAACCTAAATCCCACCTCGGAGCACCCAGGATACACATTTGTGGTATTAAAACAGTAGCCGTGTGATTTGAAAAAGTAACATCATGTGCAGCTGTTTTCCTAAAATGTTTTCTGAAAGTCAAAAGCAGCCTCCACAAGAACACCGAATCGAATTGTTCGTGGCCAGCAGAGATGTGTGGGACCGGTGATGTATCTTTGTGTCAGGGGGCAGTTAGGCATAAAGACTGAGGGGGTGTGATCAACAACCAAACAAACATGTTGTGCCGAGGCGAGGGCGAGAAGGTGTACACGGAGCATCCATCAAACCACATCTGTGAGAGGCTGATACTGCCCTGTTTACTGTTGCTGCAGTCGACTCACTGAGCCCATCTCCTCCTTGCAAATCCCACACGCAGAGACTCAGCAATGAATGCTGCAGCAATGGCTGCTGAGCGTGGGTTTACCGTGGGCATTGGTGGCTCTGGGATGTAAAAACAAGCCACCGGGTTTGTTGCGTGTTATTGTTCTCCTGGATGCCAGACCAAATTCGTAGAAGGACCGCTAACCTCTACTTCCACCCATACATGTGTCCAGTTTTTACTAATATAATATTAACATAATTTAAAGGTCTTATATATAACATTCAAATCTGTTACAAATAGAAGCAGACAAAAGACATTATAGAACATTACCGAAATATAATGTTCTATAAAATCACATTCCTGACCACATTTGACTGTTTAATCTGATCAAATTGACTATTCCGACTTTACATTTGTAAAAACATTTTACAAATGTTTCACAAAAAACATTTGTAAAATTATATTCATTATAGTTATATTCCTCGATAACTAATCTTTAAGATTTCACAATTTACAATCTTGTCATATTTACTAGATTATATTTGCAAGTAGCCAGTTCAGATTATAGGGTTAAAAGGTCAAGCTTTTGTCTTAATTAAGTTTGAGCATAGAGATCATTTTAAGAGTAGAACTAATGACTTAATCCTTCAATTCTGTTGTTAGGAATTTCAATGGTTATGCTGCCTTTTATTTAAATAACTATTTCTTAATGTTTTGGGGGGTTTTCTGCTGAGGCAAGGCTCTGCATTGAAAAGTCAATTTTTTTGTCCAAGAACATTGAATTTGTTTTCTCTACTTCCTAACTATTTGATCACTATGCTTAGATATAACTATTGGCTTAATCAAGACAAATAGTTTAAAAGTAGACAGGTGTGTCAGACTCAAACTAAAACTAAGAACTGTTTCCACAGAACAGGAGTCTGACAACTTAAAGTTCAGCCTGCAATTCTACTTTTAGAGACTTTGGAACTACTAAACCTGCAGTGTGAGGCTGAAGTGCTCTGCTAGAAGTATATGAAATAATTAGATCTCTGATGTCTGCTGGGGCTTAATTCTTAAGGGCTTTATACGTGAGACTACAGCAAATATGTGAGTGATTTATTACCATTAAAGTCTCCAATACATTTATTATCCAGTAACGGTCAAACCCAAAGACAATGTTCACATGCTTATGCAATACAATACTTTGACATTACATAAGCACAAATATTGTACTAAACAATAATGCCTCAGTGTTTGGACAAATGAAGTAATTGCAGTGGACTAAAAGAATCAAATCAGACATGCTCTTAAATTTGAACTATGCTCGGATCATAAATAGTCATCATTAACAGTGTCAGAGAAACATTACCCCTTTTTATTGGGGCTATATTTTCCTCACATACTACTATAAAGTTAATGACGGACATTGTTTAAACCATAAAAATGTCATATTTTGAAGATGCCAGTCGGCTTCAGCAAGGCTAAGTAGCATCTGGCTTATGCATCATATTTTTTCCAGTCGAGTATCTTTCTTCAACCTGTTCTGAAAATACAGATGGAAAAATATTACGCAGAACTGCAGCTAAGAAGAATGTGAATGTTTTCTGTCAATTTCATCAGATTTGCAGTTAGAATAAATTATTTCTAAATCCCAATCTGCAAAGAAGGTGGCGGGAAAAGAAAGAAAGTTCAAAAACAATAAAAGTCCCTTTCAGTGCAAATTATGTAAGTTTTGAAATAAAAAATTAGGTTTGTGTTGTTTATTTTGGGAATACAAATTAATATCGAACATGAAAAAATGCAGAGGGAAACTGAAATTTTGCTGTAATTTGAAGTCATGGCAGTTTATTAGTTACTTTACAAAGAAAAAGTCTGAACGTGTATTTTAGTGCGTGTTGCATATTGTACTTTCCTCCAGAATTCTTTGATGGTACTGGGATTCATAGTACCATCAAAGATTTCAGTGCACTATTGCTGTTTGCACTCCGTACATTAGAAGCAAGATCATAGAGTTCCATAAAGAGCACATGTCAATTTATCTCTAACATTTTGTATATATGTCCAAAGTTAGCAAACTTTTCATACTTGTAGCGTCTGATAGCTGCTCAAGTAGATAACTAGCTTATTCAGAGAACAGATTAGAAGTGTGCTTTATTGCCCCATGAGAAATTCAGGTGTACCAGCAGCAAGTTATCAATACATAGAAGTCCACATATTAAAACTAAAGTAAAAGATATAAAAAAAGACAGCATAGTAAGGGAAAGCTTACAACACAGAAAAATTACTCTGTAAAGTTATTAAAAATATAATGTTCTGTTTCAAAGAAATGTGCGTGTGAAATTGAGTACTGTCATTTAAGAAAAATGTACCATATATGCATGTATACTTGTGCAATAAAAAATATTGTATGTATAGTCAGTAATTAACAATTAAAAAGCTGTGTAAATGACAATACAGATATTTGAAAAAATATCATCCCTGCTGTATACAATACCATTTATCACTTTTCCTCTTCCTGTTCACACAATAATAGTGGAAGACACTTTTGACAAACTTTTTTTAAACCAAAGGAAAACATTAAATTCAAATTTCAATTAGAGTATAATAAAGACACAAAAAACATTTGTAAAATTATATTCATCCATTTATTTTATATGGATGAATATTATGTATCTTGTGAATACAGTTTTATTTTTACATTAAAAATATAACATTAGCAATAATCCTAAAATTAATTTTAGTTTCTAAATATCTGTTCAGGAAAAACAAATAAAAACGTGGTTATTTCATCTTTGGACACCACCACTGTTGACACGAGACACACTCAAGGTGTTTTTCATTCTTAGCCAGAAGGTGGCGACAATTCTTATTTTTAAAGGACAACACAAAATAGCAATGACAAGGCTACCAGTTTTAGTTGAACTTCGGTTTTAGTTGAACTGATGTCAAATAGTAATACGTATAACAATTTGAGCAACTTCCTCAATGCATAAGCCAGTCGTTGTCGACTATATTTAAGGTTTTTGTTGTAGAACTTTTAGAGAAGTAGCGCAAGCTGACGTAAGAAGGTCACGTGATACATTTAACGTCTCCGCCCTGCATATCTGCAAAATGGAGGTAAGGTGCTGTTAACCATTAAAAATAAACACATACATGCAGAAATATTCAAAGCCACTGTTTCTGGTATGTTCAACAAACATGTAAGATTTAAGTAAAGGCTGCATGCCTCTACTCGCCATTTTACTCCTTCTCGGTACCTCACTATGCCTAGTAACGCTATTATTAGCCAGCGCTAATGCTAAGCTAACTGCTTCATAATTACTACAGCTAGCAGTGTACCTAAAAATAATGGTTATTTCCTCACTTTAATGCTTAAAACCGACTAAAATATGTATCTGTCTATATATGTGTATCTGTTATATGTTAATGTTCTAACTCACATGTCTCCTGAATGCAGCAAAGGGATGTTAGCTACTGCTCTTACCGTGCTATTCTTGTCGCAGCAGCCATTTTGACATAAAATACGATGTAAAGACAGGTGACACTTCCCAAGCTAATTAAGATTCTTTAACGTGATATCTGAGTATTACTCCATAGTGAGTGACAAGTAGCTGAATCCTTTTAGTTTTAGTTACCTGATTAAAATTTGAAGGACAGTTTTTCATTATAAGATTATTCTTGTCAGTAGTCGAAAACAAGTATTGTTGGCAGTTCCTGCAACATATTTGTTGAAATTTAGATTGATATACGTGTGTCCGCATTTGCTTGTCCCTCGTAGTGATTAAAAAAATCACCAACAACAGTGGGGTCCTTAGATATTATACATATTTATATAGATAGACCATTTGTAGTGAAACAAAATGTGTAAAGAAAACATGATCACATTTAAAAATGCTTTCAGTTTTTCTACATAAGATTTGTGATATTAATGAAACATTTTTGAGAATGTGTCAGTATTACTCAAGTGTTTAGTTTATACTAAATGTACAAATGTAATTCAGATTTTATTTCCTGTGCTATTTTTTATTAGAGTTTTTATTGAAACAGATCATATCATAGAAAGTAGACTTAATTTGAAACTGTATACCTATAATTATCAAAAACATTAAATCTAAAAAATGTGTCATGGCAATTTTTTGGCCATTTTCGTAATCCTAGAATCCTAGAAAAAAAAAAGCGGTGTCTGTTTAGTAGGTAAATGCACCTTCAGCAGATCAGGCATGCTTTTGTAAAAAAATATATAATTTGTTGCTAATTTCAATCCATGGTAAGTAAAAATGGATTTTAGAGGGAATATTATTACCAGGTTGTATAATTGCTACATACACATTTTTTTGTAAAAGTAAAAGTTTTATTGGTGTCATTATGGTTTATTACTCTTCTTACAAATAAGAAGAGTTATCATTTGTTTAAATGTAAAGACACTTTGGTCAGTCTGCCTGATGTGTGTCTGGTTGCCACATTTCAAACATGAGCTTCTTAAAGGGTTAACATCAACATAGACTGTATGATAACAACCTCACGCAGACATTGATATTTTCAGTAGTGCAGCAACTTTACACTGCATTTAAGACATCATAAATTTCACTGTTTACTCTTGTGATAAAGTATCTTGCAGAGGGTCAGCAAGATACTTTATCACAAGCTGGATGCCTTTTTACCCTTCCAGACAAACAAAGAGCAGTGTGGCTATTTCAAAATATTCTGATGCCATCTCATCACATCAGTGTTTCTAGAGCAAAACGTTTTTAAAGTGAAAGTAAAATGAAATTCCACCCTGTAATTTGATAGCACATGTGATGCACTATTTGCTGCATGTGAACATCGTAAGATTCAGCAACTGCAGGAAAACAAAATGGTTGTGTGTCGACCTGGAAAACAACAGGCTTGTTTTTTTGCGTGTTTATCAGTCTATGTAATTATAATAATATTCCTACTTTCACTTATAATGTGAATATTTTTGTTTTAAGGGAAGGCGTAATTATTTCATAATTTGTTAATGTCTGTGCTCTTGCATTTTATGAAACTAAAAGTGTCATGTTTTTCAACAACTGTCTACACTTGTGTGACATTTTGCTGCAGTTCTTCTTGTGTTTTGCTTTGAAAGGACCGTGAGGCAAAAGAACCAGAACAGCTCCGAAAGCTGTTTATCGGAGGTCTGAGCTTCGAAACCACAGAGGAGAGTTTACGGGCCCATTTTGAGCAATGGGGATCTCTCACAGACTGTGTGGTTGGTAGATTTATCATAGTCTATGAAAGAATTTTCCAGATAGTAATAACACAAGCAGTTCACTTGCACACAATTGAATCTGTCTATTTTTATATTATATTTAGGTGATGAGGGATCCTAACAGTAAACGATCCAGAGGGTTTGGTTTTGTAACTTACTCCTCTGTAACTGAAGTTGACGAGGCCATGAAAGCGAGGCCTCATAAAGTCGACGGGCGAGTTGTTGAACCCAAGAGGGCTGTGTCCAGAGAGGTAAAAATCTACACCTCAAACCAGAAATCAGATGCTGCAGCTGTGTTGGTGTGGTTGGAGTTTGTGCTCACTCCATGTTCTCTTAAAGGACTCTAACAAACCTGGAGCACATCTGACAGTGAAGAAGATCTTTGTTGGTGGTATCAAAGAGGACACAGAGGAGCACCACATTCGGGAATATTTTGAGAAATACGGAAAAATTGACTGCATCGACATCATGGAGGAGCGATCCACAGGAAAGAAGAGAGGATTCTGCTTTGTGTCATTTGACGACCATGACACTGTGGACAAAATTGTCGGTACGCACTTGTTTTAGTTAGAAAATAATTTTTTTGTAAAACAAAAAAAAAACATCAGTTTAGGATTATATGTTTTGTTTTTCCATTTTTCTTACAGCCCAGAAATTTCACACAATAAACTTTCACAATTGTGAGGTCAGGAAAGCGCTATCTAAACAGGAAATGAATGCTATATCCAGTAACCGAGGTTAGTTCGTTCTGAGATAAAAATGTAAAACTGCAGCTATGTATACCTGAATTGTAGATGGCAAGTCAGTTGTGTAATGAATCTTTCTAAAATGTCACCTGTCAGGAAGGAGCGGAGGATCAGGAAACTTCATGGGCAGAGGCGGAAATTTTGGAGGTGGCGGTAACTTCGGTCGAGGTTTGTATACATCAGATATTATGTTGTTGACTTTAATAATGATTTGGAAAGAACCTACTTTTGTTTCGAGAAGGTCCGATACGTGAAGAATTTAACCTGGTGCTATTTTAAATGCACTGCTTGACAACTTTTTGCTTTTTTTTCTAGATGGCTATGGAGGACGCGGTGGTTATAATGATGATTTTGACAATGGTATGAAACTTAACTTCAGCTTCATTTTGAGAGTTTCATTTAGTACCATTACTGCCACCATTGTTTCTGTGCAAAATGCTTGAAGTGCAGCTTAGAATGTTTGGAAATGAAGTGCTGTGTAATTAATATCAGTAGTAGCTCTCCTATCTGTATCACATCATGCAGTGAGGTTTTAGAAAAGTAATTCAATCTCCAGGGCGTTGTAAAACTGAAACCATTTATAACTTGTATCAGTGCCCTTGATCAGCTGCATATAAAAAACCTCGCATATAAGAATGTGGAATATTATGGTATAAAACGTTTTACTTCACAGACATTTGAAGTAAAAGGGAGTCAGTTGTGTTGAGCTCCTGCTCAGACCGCTCTCTTAGTGGGAGAGACCTGAGCACGGTACATCATGTTCCTATTAACCCATTTATTAAATATGTCATCCAAACAATAAACTTCATTGCTGAAGCTGGAGAAAAGCTCTTTTTATAAATTTTGTTCATGTAAATTTTAATCGGAACTAAAGAAAGAACATTTTATCAACAAGTCATAAAAACAGCATGTTAGTATGTGGTGTCTGCAAATAACTCTGTAGTGTGAAATTATTTTTTTGTTGAGGAACATAATGGTTCAATCTAAAAAACTGGAACCCTTAATACAGACTGTAACAGCTTAGGGTCACAAATATTTGAGTCCATAATGTACCATTTCTTTTCTTCAAAGGGTTTATATATCAACAGTTGCCCTGGATATTTTTACTTAATCTAGAAACAGAATTAGACCTACATGCATAAAGATTAGGTCTCCCTGATGTGTAATAACTGCTAATGCAGGGTTATATTGCAGGGTTGTTCTATCCTGTATCCAACATGACCATAATTTGAGTTGTTTTAAAAAGTTAAAACCAGAGATGGTAAGTAACTTCATTAGTACCCATAGGTGGACTGGTCTTGTAAAAAGAGATCAGTTTCTGTTTAAAATGGAAGTAAAGACAACTAAAATGTTCTACAAGCTAAAACCACAAGCCTATGACAGTTAGAGGAACTATTATTGCCTACACCTTCACAGAAATAAGAACTAATCCTTTATTATTTGTAAACCTTATTCTGCAATATCCAAAATCTCTATTTCGAATTGGTCATTCTTTACATTTCCAGGTCCAGGAGGAAATTATGGCGGTGGACCTGGTTATGGAGGTGGCCGAGGGGGTTATGGAGGTGGCGGTCCAGGGTACGGAAACCAGGGTGGTGGATTTGGTGGCAGCGGTGATGGAGGTTATGGAGGAAATCGGGGAGGTAAAAATTGTATTCTCTCAAAAACAAATGTGCCACTTGTACTTTGGCTTATTACTTCAAATTTGAATTATTTTTCAGGATATGGAGGGGGTGGAAATTACAACGACTTTGGAAATTATGGTGGACAGCAGTCAAACTATGGGCCAATGAAGGGAAATAACTTTGGTGGCAGAAACTCTGGTGGACCATATGGTGGTAAGTTCTACCTTTAAAAGTCTGCATAATCCAGACTTTTAAGCACATATTTGGATTAACAACAACCTCATTTTATGGTGATAACTCCTTAATTCCAGGTGGCTACAGCTCCGGAGGCAGTGGCGGAGGCTACGGCTCACGGCGGTATTGAACGCAGCATGTTTTCGGTAAGCGGCGATAAGTCTCACTCCAGCCTCGTAGCACAGTACAGAGTGAGCCTCATGAAAGTGCAGATTAACTATTTGTTCTATCCTGTATCCATTCAACAGGCTTCAGTTCTTAGCAGGAGAGGCGAGGAGGTGAGCAAAGGAATTGTCAGGAAAGCTGCAGGTTACTTTGAGGCAGTCATCTGAAAGCATTAGAGGAACACAGAAGTCAGACTTAACTGCAGCTAAGTCGGAGAAGTTAAAGGAAGAAGGACTGTAAGAACAAGACATGAGTTCAGATGATGCCCTTCCCTAATTGTGCTAGATGTTTCCCTGCTAAGAAAGTTTTCCCTTTTTTCTGCGTCTAAAGTGTGTGTGTATTGTGCCTATGATATTGGGGATAAAAAGCAAAAAAAAATTTTAAACTTCAGTCCTACTTTTTTTTTTTACTTTAATTTTTTTATGGCTTGGTTTTCTGCCGGCCAATTATTTGTCTTTAAGTTGTTTTTTGTTACATCAGCCCGTTAGATCAGCTAGAATTACTTCTTTCTGAAGTTATTATGATTTATTGATTGCAAGTGTCAAGTGTATTTTAATTTTTGTATGTAAAGCACAGTATGTAAATCCTTCGTAGTAGCAGTGTACAAGTATAAAGAGCCTAGATTAGAACCAAGAGAATCCCTTACTCTTTATGTGCCCAGGAAACCAGAATCTAGATTGTTCACATATTTTCATTAGATGAAAAAAGACTAAATAAAATTGTGTAGTAAAGTAACATGAGGTTCGGTGCATTATTGGTTCAGCAAAGATTTAAATAAGCCACAGATTATTGTTTTTCCATGTCAATGAAATGTTGGTGTAGCCTGTTCAAATTAACTGTGGAGGTTTTATAAGTAGTTTTTTCTTTTCTATTTTGTCCCGTTACAACTACAAACTTGCATGTATTTTGTTTAGATTCTGTATTATACACCAACACAAAGTAATTCATAAGTGTGAAGGGTAAGAAAAAATATTTATGGTTTTTGGGAAGTTTACATACCAAAAAAACAATTTTAAAATTGTGGCATCCATTTGTATTGAACCCCATTTACTCTCAGATACTTGAATAAAAAAAATCAAGTTCAAGCCGTTGCCTTTACTAATTAGGTGACTTCAGAAGTCACCTAATTAGTACTTAGTACACTTAGTATGAATCCAGATGTTCTTTGATTGACTCATGTCCGTAAGAAAATATTTGTGAAAAAGCATTATGAGGGCCAAGGAGCATAACAGACACCTCTGGGAGAAAGTTAGAAAACAACCCAAACTGCTTCTGGAGAAGAACTGTTAAAATCTTTATATCAAATTAGCAAACTGGCTAATTTGAAATTAGGTGGCAATTCATCTGAACTGTTATGGATTAATGAGACCCATGGCTACACTACAGGAGCTGCAGCGATCCATAGCCCAGGTGGGATATCTGTCAACCAGACAATTATTAGGCTACATTCACACTGTAGATAAAAGTTACCCAAATACAACTTTGACATCCTGAATAATTATTGAATAATAATTAGTTCTTTCTTCTATAAATCATTACAAACTACAAATTTCACAATAAGGTAGAGAGCTGGAAGATCAGATTTAAACAGACAAAACAGGTTTGGCAGGCAACACTTATCACGATGTTGACAGTTATTGTGCAACGTTTTCAGATTGTTATTGGTAGATTCACGTTGACGTGTATTATCCATCTTTTAGAATGCAGGTCACCTGAGGACTGTTTGCACTGAGATCTGATTGCAGCCTGTTTAGAACAACCACTCGCCAAGCGCTGTTGTTAAAAATAAGCCGTCGGAAGTCTCATTTGTAGTTTGCCTTTAGCTATTCATCAGCTAGTGAAAACATAAATGCAGATAAGACATTTTGCTTACATTCAAAACGTTTTGTGGTGTTTCACCATAAAACGTGGTGGCAGCATTATTCTGCTTTTGAGAGGAAGGAGGGCTACAAAAGGCTTGACGCTGGTTGACCTTGTAGCAAGACGTTAACCCTTGAACATACAGGTGGAGAGAGAATGGAACAACTTACCTTAAAGCAGATTCACATCCTAAAATGACCAAAGTCCAGACCTTAAGTCAATTGAAAAAGTGTCGCAAGACATGAAAAATGATGTTCACAGATGCGTCCCATGCAGTCGTAATCAGCTTGAGCTTGATTTGAAGCTGGTGGATATACTGCAAAAGACCTGCTGCTGTAATGTCAGTAAAATATTCTGCAATCTAAAGACTCAGGGAGGATAAATACAAATGTACTTCACTTTTCAGAGTTTTAATTGTCAACTTCACCATTATGAGTAACTTTGTGTTGGCCTGTCAACAATCTAAAATATTTACTCTAGAATTTGTTGTTGTAATGAGACAAAAAGTTCAAGGGGTATCTCTTCGGGTGACTGTGGTGTGTATGTTTCCATACAGTGTGTATTTATTTCTTAATGTGTATAGGGTTAATGTAAAGGGAGGTTCTGACTCTAGAATAAACAGCTCATACGAATGACAGTGTTTGGAGGGGAAGTAGGACTGAAAGCTACAACCTCCTGCAGTTGGTGTGGAAGGATTGCAGATGACTGTCAGACAGAACACCTTCACATCCCCCAGCACAGTGGACCAGTCAGCAATTTGAGAGAGAAGGGAGAAGGCAGCACGGAGCACAACACCCACGGAAGAAGCTTGCAGTGTCGTTCCTGGTAGTGAGCATCTATCTCGTTTCCAAGGCTAGCTAAGCTCCTCAGCAGATGGTGCTAGCGAAGAAAGACTTAGGTCCTGGACACACTGGAGATCCTGTTGAGTGAGATACAGAAGTTTAACCTCCAAATGCTAGATGTCAGACATTAACAAGAAAAGGGAAGCGAGTGTTTCACAGAAAAAACTGATTCGAGAAGAAGGAGCAGGTAAGAGTAACCACTTTGCTTGATTTACAGATGTGGAAATGGGCATTCTCTTCTTGCTGAAAAAGCTGTAAAGGCCTGATAACAAGGGAGGTTCTGGATGGGTAAGACATTTTTTGACATTATCAAAGGTTTTCCAATGTTATTGATGAGTACTACTTGTTCTGACTAATCTTATATAAAAATGTGTCTAAGAGTATTGCCCAGTTTTTAACTTTATTCACCAATTCTTGATGTTTTATTGCACTGCGATTGTCAGAGATCCTAATAGCGATGAAACATAATTTGTTGGCCAAAAAATTCATGTATGCTCAGTCTTTGTCTGTTTGGTCTAATTAAAAAAGCATGTTTTAGTTGAAGTTTTAAACAACAAAAGCACCCCGGTAAGGAACAATTTTACAACATAAAAATTAGTTAAAGGATCGAAAGGTCTACAGAAGTGCGTAGAAAAGCAATGGACAGCATCAACCTTATCACAATGTGATATATAAGGGAACAACACTATATTTTGTGATATTGGCCAACCCTACTTGGGTATAAATGGCAACAGTTTTTGTTGTATTGCTGAATAGCAATTTCGGGGCAACGTCACTTCTAGGCGTTATTATTTAAAGACGTGTTTACTTAAGTAATGTTGAATCTTGAGTTGCAGACCAAACACATTATGCATTTAAAGATTGTCAATCTATGGAACAAATTAAGTAATCAAAATTGATGCTCAGTTTCACTTAGTTGGCCAAAAGCAGCACTGACATGTTTGTATCTTGAAGTTCACAATGTTCAGTCCCTGAAAGAGCCACGAAACATCAGTATGCCATACAGGTCCAGACTGATCGTTGTTTTGATAAACCTCTACGTGCAGCTCTGAGCATGTGCTTTTATACCGTTGTCTGACTGGAACAGCCTGTTCTCTTGTTACCAACAATGTTTCCCAGCTCGGCAACAGCATGAGAGTGTTTTATCAACTGCTCTGATTTTTATGTAAACCTTTCCCCTGTTGTGTTCGTCTTAATAAAAGTTACTTTTTTTCTACTGGTGGTTGTTTTTATTTATGAATTGACACCCAGTGTGTTGTCGTAGAAGCTCCTTTATTGTGTGAGTAAAGCTTCGCGATATGTCATTCATTCATAATTCATCATCAAGTATGTGTGTGTATCTAAATAGAAATAATCTGAAGAGTTTCAGCCCAGTTTCAAAGGTCATCATAATATTAAAAGAGTACTTATGAAAGTTACAAATGATGTTCTCTTGGCCTCAGATAATGAACCTTTGTCTGTTCTGGTTTTGTTAGATCTCAGTGCTGCTTCTGAAACAGCGGACCACAACATTCTCTTAGAAAGGCTTGGACACGTTGTATTGAGGGAGCAGCACTAGTCTGGTTTAAATCTTATGTTTCTACTCATGTGAACGATGCATTTTCATATTCCAGGATTACTTATGGAGTAGCACAGGGCTGTGCACTTGGACTAATTATCTTTATTATTTATGTATGATTCCAGTAGGTGAGACAGTATGGGATAAATTTCCACTGTTATGCTGATGATATTCAGCTATATCTTTCAATGATGAATGCAACTTGTTAGGTAGATGACATGCATCTCTTTGAGACATGAAAAACAAGATTTTTAAAAATTTTGACAAGACAGAAGTTGTCTTTGGACCAGAACCTCTGAAAAAGAAACTGCTTAGTCTACCACTTTTTCTGGATGGTAATAAATTGCCCTCCGATAATAAAGACACTTGGTGTTATTTTTTTACCTGGTTATGTTTGCTAAATCTCATATTAAACAGATTTCTTAGATGTCCTTCTTTCATCTCTGGAATATTGCCAAAATTAAAAATGTCCTGGAGTGTTACTGAAAACCTATTCCATGAATTTTATATCACAAGTCTGGACTACTGTAATTATTTAATATTAGGAAGTCCACAAAATGAGGTCAAAGAGAGTTAATATTTATCCTATTTTAGCTTCCCTTTATTGGCTCTCTATTAAATTCATAATATAATTGAAGATGAAGCCCTTAGTAGTCAAGTTCCATCATACATCATTAGGTCTTATAGTTTTATATGTTTCTAAAACCAAAATCTTTCTGAATTTTGCCCTATTCTTCCTGATGGAATTGGTGTAAATAAGTCAGAGTGTAGGCTGCTTTGTACACACACATTTTTCTGTGTTGCCCAAAAATATTATCTTATTAACATCAGAGTTTCATGGTGACATCTCCTTGTGTATACCTCTATACCAGACTGTTGGGATTGTGTTTCCAGACTCGCTAGGATCCAGTTTTACGTTCAGTTGTAAAAACAATCATTACAGCCAAACATTTTTTTTTTTTTGCTTCATTACACAATAGGGCACGTCTCTAAAATTAAGGCCTGTCCTAGACAGTGAGTGCATTTACAAACTCTAACCTGGTTTTTAAGGTTAGCTTCAGAGGTGTGGCATCTCCCTCTCTGAATGGCCTTTTAGCCGTTGCTATTACAGGACTTATTTCATCCAGGATGAAATGAGAAAAGCTTTTCTGCTTTTGCGTAGGCATTTATTCACATATTCCACACCAAAACACAGATGTACATTGCACCTCCAGGCATTTGTGAATGTCACCCAAGGATGAAGCCTCATGATCAGGGGTCATGAAAGCATTTTGAAAGTCAATCAATCAGTCATTCAATTTTATATCATGAAGTAAATTTGACTGTAGTGAGGTGAATTATCCTTATTTAACAGGACATAGAACATAAACACACAATAGATCTAATGTGATTAAAAGTGACCAGGTAATAAAAATTATAAAAACATCCTATCTGAACAAGACAAGAGAAAAAGAATAAAGACAAAAACTGTCAAAACCACGCTAAATCAAATAATGACATCAGGGACAAAACTGGGTTTATAACTTGGTTTCATATTTAGAGGTAAAATATCTGTGGAGCAGCAGGGCCTGAAATTGCAATGCAGCGGGTGAGAGACGTTTTCTAAGATGGAGGTAGATCATTTCTGTACGTTCCTGAAATATGATTCTGGGTGTAGTTGCATCTCACCCGTCCATTTTCTTCTTCGTATCGTAGCTGATGTCTCATGACCTTCCATGATGTCACACGAGAAAGTATGTGAATACATTCACAGATGAATGAAAGCATTCAGAGTACTTTAAACTCAACCATCCTAAATTAACATATCAGAAGCTCACAAACTCATGACATCGTCATCTGGATTTTCCCAAGGTATGCTAAACTTCTGAAATTTAAGAAACCAAGCTTAGAAATCTGAAAATCCTCACTAAATCAGAAAAATTGTCTGATTGAATGTCAGACAGTAAGAAGCCAGGAAATTCCATCCACCTTACTTCCTCAGTTTGATAGTCCACCATGTTCAGTCTTAGCTCTGCCTTTTTGAAAAAACAGCAGGTTGAACTATTCTCCTTATACTTTCTGGTTTCTAGAAAGATAGTTTGTTTACGACACTGTTTACAGTCAAGCCCTGTGAAGATTTATGCTTGTCATTTTTCAACTCATTTGAGCTTATCTGTTCATCTCAAAGCATTTTTGCAGGTAATACTCTTCGGTCTTACATCAAAGTGCTCTTTTCTCCAGATAAATTTATGTGCACAAGCTGGGCTTGGTGATCAAAGGTTCTCTAGTATCTGAGTGTGAATGTGTGATCAGGGGTCAGACTGATTGCATAGGCTTTCACCTTTGACTTTGCCAGCTTATTGCTCTATTGTGGAGCTGTCACGCAGGTAATCACACTGAGCATGCGCTCATCTTGTTTGTAGTTATGCTCTTTGTTGCACAACATAATGACTGGGGTGGGTATGATTTTTAGGTAGGAGCAACTGAATTAAGAGTCAGGTTACTGTTGGATAAAAGCTTGCTCTGATAAAAGAAAACAGATTGGCGCAGTTGCTCTCGTTTTTTTTTCCTGCTAAATTCATCTTACTTGCTGCTTCTTGTAAAGGTTTGGTAAAGCTTCCAAGTTCAGAACTGACTTTTACCATGTGGTGCGTTATGCAACAGTTTGTTAGACTCTCGATGCATCTGGCATCCATTTGTGTCAGCCTGTGCCCACACAGCGCAAAGTTGTGTCTAAATCATGAGAAAACAAGACGTTACACTTTTATATTTAGTTTATTTCAAAGCATAGAAGACAGGATTAAAAAAAAACTGGGCAGCAAATCAGAGGGAAGTTAAAAAAGAAATTGATTCAAACAATCATGAGCATACAGAAATATATTTATATATTTATATATACACACAGACACACAATATATATATGTATATATGTACAGGCACAGTAACATTCCTAATCTCAGAAGCAGGTAATGTTTATATTTACAAACCATTGGTGAAGGAATCTGTGAGGTTATAAGAGTATAAAAGTAAAATATCAAAAAACATTGCAACGTTCAAGAGGAGTAAGCAGAAACTACAACAGTTCTGTCAAGCTGCTAAAGTTTAAAGCTGAGTGAATACAAAGTTATTGCATAGTATCCTATAATGATGCAGTGCCAGGTTACAAGGGAGACAAGTGGTTTTCTTCACTCCTGAAAGTCTTTTTAATGCGAGGGACGAGGAAGACGGTGCCTTCCGTCGTCTGCTGCAGAGAGTAGTCCGACGAAGAGTACGAATTTCCCTTCTCGTCTCTCAGCATGCTGAAGACCTCCAGGTACAAGCTGCTCAGCTGCCGTTTCATTTCCTTCAGGCTCATCGCGTTCTTGTTCTTCTCATTCAGCAGACGATCCCGCTCCTCCTTCAGCGAGTCCAGTTCGCCCTCCAGGCCCACGATGTTCTCCATCTTGCGCTTGCGGCAGTTCTGCGCGGCCACCTTATTCTTGCCTCTGCGGCGGATGTCGCGGACGAGGGCCAGCTGGGCTTCGTTCAATTGGTGCTTAGACATGAGCTCGTTGAAGTCATCAACGGGCAGGTTGATTACCATGTCGACGGTGAAGGGGATGTTGAGGGACTTGGCTCTCTGCTCGTCTCGGGTGAGACGCACATCTGAGCGTTTTTTGGGTTTGTCTTTGGTGAAAGGAGCACCGTCATGGCCGCTGTCCTCTGCCAGGTCTGCATTGGATTGTTTGGGTTTCTTTTCGAGCTCTTGTGTTTCAAGCTCAGTCATTTCGGACACTGGTTCTGATATCATAAGGTGATCAGGTTCAAAATTCAAGGAAAACATCTCAGAATAGTCAGACTGTGCACTACCAGGGTTCTGGTCTATCTCTTCCATCTCTGAATCACTGTAACCAAAAGACCCGCTTCCGTACACAGATCTGCCTGGTGATCTTTCATTTGGACTTCCATTGGTGGAGACTCCTGAATCCGAGTCTAGATGATCTGCTGTCAGACTCTGTTTGCTTCCTTTCAACGAATCTCCAGGAGAGAGGCTGTAAAGTTCCATGTGCGTAAAGGCGACTTTGTTTGGAGAGTCACACACTCTTTCATTTTCTTCTTGGCTGTGCTGACTCCTGCACTCGTTCTGCTCAGTTGTAGGATAAAACACCCCACCAACATCTTCGCCAATGAAGTTTGTATCTAGCTGGGGGGTGTCCACTTTGATCTGTCCGAAAGCATTTGACGGAGCCACGCTGGGAATGGAGCCATCGAATGTATTCATAAACTCTGCGGGGCCAACATTCAGACTGTTTGTTTTGACATTGTTGATGCTGTTTAGGGGGTTGAAAATAGAAGCTTGGACTGGGGGATAGTTTGGGTAGCTTGGAGTCTGTGCTTCAGCATTGGCTGGGAGAGGGTATGTTGTGGTCTGCAGTGTGTCTTCCATTTGCATGTTCAGACATTGCTGGAGGAAAAAAGACAGATGAATTAAGAAAACAAACTTAAGACAGATATTAAGGTTAAATGCAAGGATTACATCTAAAAATGTACACATTTATGCAACTTTTTGTCTTGAACACACCATCCCCATAATGCTGCCATCATTACAGGTGCAGAAATATTTGGAAATTATCCAAATTATAAAATACAGCTAAATACAAGGCAATAGAGAAAATAGCTTCAGGCTGCAAAAGACTTTAGACCTAGAAAGAGTTTCCAGAGCTACAACAGTGGTTTAGATTAATGTATCTGTTAAATGGCCCACTCAAATTCCAGACCTAAATCTTATAAAAAATCTGCAACCATACATTAAAACTAATGTTTTTAGATGCTCTGAATCCAATCTGATTGTACTTGAGCTGTTTCTTGCAAAGAAAACATTATGCGACAAACGTTTCAAAACTTGAAACTGTAATTGGAGTGACAGGTGGGTTAGCATAGAAATGACTCGGAGTGGCTGAATATATATGCATCCTACACTTTCTGGAGTTTTAGTAAAATCTTTCTGTAACCATATATTATCTTTCTGTAGTAGTAGCCGAAGTCAAAGAATCCAAATATAGTAGAATGTGGTTTATGTTGGGAATGTCGCTAACTCTGAGAAATTTTCTGGGGTGTAGTTCTGCAATGCATTTCCTGATTTCTGTTTTTGTCATCACAAGAGTGTTTACAGCTTATGGTGTCTTATCAAAAGCCATTTTGGGGTAGTGAAACCTGAACCGGTTCCACTACTTCACTTGTGTCTGACAGGAAACAACTGGTGAAGTTAGTTATTACCACATGCCATCCAAATACATAGAACCATTTAAATGACAAAATGTCATAACTTCATGTGTAAAACTTTCAAGAACTATAAAAAGATATCTCCCACAGTGTAACTTTTGTCACATCAGTGTTACTAGTAGTTGAACAGATCATTGACGTTACATTGTGATGTTTCATTGAGTAAATTAGAATATATCTCCCAATGAGGCTTGCTTGTTTTATACCTGTTTTAAAAATAAACACTAAAAATAAAACACTTTTAATTTACCCCATATTATGCATTAAAAATGTGTTTTTTATTGTTCCGATGTAATAATCTTAATGCGAAATGTGTCTGAAAAGTGTTTTAATAGCTGTAATTAACAGAAATGAAGGCTTTAAAGCTTAAGTCTGTGTATAATTAATCAATATATTGTGCTTCATTTAATGAGTAATATGTGAACTTTTCAGTAATACATTACTATATTGACTGTACAGTAAAGATATTAGCTCAGTCTACTGACTGACATGTCGCAGCTGCAACAGCCAGCCTGCTGCACCCATTTGCTGATGCAAATAAGAGGTGCAGCTACTGAAAAGGTACAGTACGCAAATCTTCACCTTTCCGCCAGTGAGCAACGGCTTCACGTCTGCCGCTCCCTCTCTGGTTCTACAGCCTTAAGCTATTAAATCTGTTAAGCTACACTGCAATGTAAGCATATCTATCTCCACTTCTTAAAGGTCCCAACAATGAAACCTGAGCATGGCGGAATGAGCTGTGAACACGTGGTTTATATAACTCCCACCTTCATGCACACACAAAAAAAAGCATTTGTCCCTCTAATACCAGGCTCCAGCTACTCATGCATTCTTTCCTTGTTTTGTTCTACAACATGGGCCAGCGGTGTTGCAAACCCATGTATTATATATAGCTCATGTATTATACCTGCAGCTCAGGGAGAGACAAAAGCTCCATCCAAGCCTCCTCCAGGTCGGGAGACATGCTCTGTGGTGGAGTCGGCTGACCTGAGGACAGGGTGACTGGCAACAGAGCCGCCTGCTTTGGGGACATCATCATGGGTACTGAAACAGCAGCGACGTCCAAGCAAACCGGTGGAGTCTGTGAGATTGGAAAAATGTGCTAGAACCGACAAGTTCTGCGTAAGGCTGAAATTTTGGACTTATGTATGACTGTGTTCTTACCGGAGTTTGCTCTACGGGAAACGTCTCAGCCAGGAGCTGCAAACACTCATCAAATGACATGCTGTCACCTGTGTCCTGTGTGAAGCCGGCATTCTGTAACAGAAGTTGGCACATTAGGCTGTTAAACTCATTGTGGAACAGCATCTATCTATCTAAAGATGATTTTGCTTTCAAGCAGTTTAGATCTCCTTAGAGAAGCCTTTGGATCACATTACATCGATGCAGAACTAACAGACCTTCCTATGTGGCACTAATTATGCTAAAAGAAGAGGTTACCTAGCGACAGCCGAGGAGCAGCCTATCAGATGAGGTGGGAGTGTCACACCCCTAGAATGAGTGATGATGCTCTTTCTTGTACCTGAGTATCCTCCAGGGGTGTGATGGTCGGCTGCAGAGGGGCGCTGGGTGGCGGGCAGGGTATGTACTCTCCCGTTTCCTCATCCAGCTGCAGCTGCGCCAGCAGGGCCTTCTCCTGCTCCTGCATCAAGTGCAGCTTCTTCTCCTCCTCAAGCTCGCGCTGCTTCCGCAGCTCATGCTCTTTCTGGCGGTGGTTGATATCGAACACCTCCCGCCTGGCGCCAAGATCAATGTCCTGATTCCACAGAATGTCTATCAGGTCCATGTCCTGGGGAAACAAACACAGATCACTTCAGAGTGCTGCGAGCCTCTCCGCAGTCCTGCAGCGATACCACAGGCTGGAGTGGAACAAAACCGAGAGTCCCTGCTGTGATATACGTGGCTGCTGCTCCTGCCACACCCTGTCGCCGTGTATCAGCTCACCGACAATAGTGTTGGCACGAGTGTCAAGGGGAAGAAGCCAAATGAATAATAAATGGACTTCTCTGTTTCCACTGCTGCCACCAGACACCCTTGAAATCTGTATCTGAGCCTCATATACCCATCTAATTATACAAAGGTGTGAATCCTTTTGTTCCACAGAAAACCTGATGGTGATGCCACAAAGGTCACCGATATGTGTTCACTGGTAAAAAGGGACAAAAAAGGATGCAAAAACCCTTTTCTTCAGCAAGGTAGAAACTAAAATGATAACTATTACAGATATAATGTATGGCTGATATACATAATATATTGTAAATATAGCATTTATTATTTTGATATAGGCGTCAGCAAAAAGGGAAAAAAATAGAGATACGCTTTCATGCTTAAAATTGTTCAATATGGTCATTTACAGTTAGATTTCTGGGAACATTTTTTTGTATTTTCTATGGATTACATTTCTTAGAATGAAAACATTAAACATTAATTGGACAGAACCAAATCATCAGATCAGACCTAAAAGAAACCTGTACAACTTGCATTACTTTCTGCAGCGACAGAGCTAGCAGTCAGTTGCTTATCAGATCTGCCACTTGTAGCGTTAATCTAATGAGAATAATGGGTGGAGCTCCTTTAGTTTTCACAGCACAACTGTCTGCACTTGTCTCAATTGAAATAATTTCCAAACGGGTGAATTTGGGTTTTTTTGTAAATGGGAAAATGTGCATCAACAAGTAGAGGATTGGAGAGGCAACCTTACTTATCTAATCTTTTCATACAGCCTGAAAAAACCACGATCACTCCTGCACTTTCTCTTCATCTCATTAAAAGAACTTTAAACCCAGAGAACCATGTCATAAAATTTCACAGAGTACTTTGATTTGAAAAAAATAAGACACAAATGTTGAGTTTGACTATATTCAACTCCAAATTGAATAGTCCTTTTATTACAATTTCAAAAGAAATATGTCCTGACTGGAGTTAACAACTGCCTTTTTGCACTGCATTTCCCTTCCCCTATTTGTTGCTGCGAACTGTCAGCTGACTGAATGAAGGCTAGTATACTTTAAAATATTTTCAGTCTTGTTAAATACAGGTGTTGTTTCAGTATAAAGTACTAAAACTATTATTAATGTATGTTAGAAGTAGCATTAGTAATATTGTAAAAAGAATTGCAGCAATAAGAATAATTTTTGCTTATTTCATTTTAAATAAAACTGATTTGATCTTGTTATACATGAACCTTTAAAATATTTGTGATTCAGTGAAACATCAACCTCCTGCCATATTCACACAGACAAATCTTGTCCCTATGATTACATTCACATCAGCCCACATGAAGCTCAGCAAGACAACAACCATGAGGACAAACTGTTTCCTGTAGATTTCTCCCTACGTGGCTGGATGTTATTTGGCCATTTTTTAAACAACAGTGAGAAAGATAAATTATTCTGCATCTCTCCTTGGCTTTTTCACTAGACTTTATTTACAGAAGGAAACAGTTTCACCAAGCCTCAGGATGTTGCATAAACACCAGATAGGGGCGTGCATGGAGACCACTGAGCATGTGACTGATTTGTTCCTCTGTTTTGCTTATAAAAAACCCACTTAAGACTTGAGCTTCTCATTATTCTGTTATATGAGCAGGAAGAAGAAAACTGAATGGGAACTAAAGCAGAACAATGTCCTGAAAAGAGGGTGTTATTATTATTATTATATATATGTATTTTTTTATTTTTTTGCTTTTCACAAAGGCTTTCTTTAATCTATCAATAAAAACCAACAGACACTATATTTTTGGACACCGTTGACACACTCTTTCTGACTTTGGCCTTGCAAAATAGGAACCCTCTAACACTCTTTGCCTCAGTGTTGCATCAGAACCATGACCGCTAAACGGATTACACATTACCAAGGCTGCCTTGTATAAATCAGACTGCCGGACTGAAAGGTGAGAGCACAACCAGAAATTATGGCATCTACCAGAATTAGGAAGTCCACTGAAATGTGTCTTCCAGGTATCTGAAGGCACAGTTGTGGTTGTCGCTGTTTTTCCAAGCTTGAAAAAAAAACAGCGGGCTCTGTTCAGTTAGTCATGCCTTTCAATACATCAAACAGGTCATACAAGTTCCTGAAAAACACCCCGACCTAAAAAGCTTGCTTACACAGTGGAAACACGTCACACTTTTACGATAAATGTGGAATTATACTAGTTCACCGTGTCAAACATTTCTAACCATATATTCCTTATGTACAGCACATGAGCCAGATACAGCATTTGGTGGTAAAGGAGAAAAATACATTCTTTTGTGACATAGATTTGCAATCTGGCATCAGAATATGGAAACGACTCAAATTTCCTGATGTCTCTCCTTGATAATATGCAACTATACCAGTTTGGTAACATACCTATGTTTCCGTTTAACATAGGAAAAGAAAAAGTACTATTAAAATACTATTCACATTAATCAAGTTGTTGATTATTTTCCACGTCAAGTGTTATGTAGTAATTGCCTTTTTTAATTCATTTAGCTAAACACAAAGGCCTCCAACGCTGATGGTTTATTTCATTGTAGCTCGATGAACAATCCAACCTTAGGCCCACGGTGATGAAACTCAATGATCAGGGGCAGTTCCAGAAATATTTTAAAGAGCCAGTTACTGATGATCTCGAGGACTGAAGGCCATTATACAATTTCAGGAGTCTCACCGTGTGTAGGTGCGGGCAATGGACCTTAAAAGGTAGGTCACTAAAATTAGCTACATTTCATTTATTCAGAAATCTGGAAAAATATACCCAGTCAGCCTTTTCATGGATTATGGGTTTTATTGAAACTGTGTTGGTATTAAAGCCAGTAAGGATATTTTACATAAGCCCATTGAATGCAACTGACCATCACAAACAGAAGCTCATTTCCAACCCCAAACAGACCCATGTCTATATATTGGTTTAGAAAGTAAATAAATGTTACAAATGAGTGAAAGTAGTCTCTTTCTTCCCTAAAAAGACAAAGTATTTTTTATATATTTACCAAGATATTTTACTCAGTCTGGATCAGTCCAAGGTGGGCCAGGGCTCCTGTGGGACCTATTTAGGTTGAGTAAATGCTACCCAGCTCAGCAACACCAGTGGGGCAGGCTAGGAAGTGCTTAATTTCAAATGGGCATAAAAAAAATCATGTCAAGATGTGCAAAACATCCCACTTTTTATAAAAAGTTGTTCTGATCAAAACTTATAAAAGGTATGTAACACAGTTTCATTTATCCAACCAGATACAACATGTGGCCAGTTGACAACGCCATTATTCAGAATCCATTATTTAGCCCATTTCCTACCTATATGACTTGCCTAAAAGATCTGTGAGGTTATAAGGGAGGCCAGCAAATTTATAGGGGTGGCTTCTGCCCCCCACCACCTTTATTATCACCACTCAGCACAAGTTCCAAAACAACCTTTCATGATTTCATCAATCTAAATAAAAGTCAATTTAAAAGCAAAAATAGCTCATATACACAAGAAAAAGAAAAAAAAAACGTCTTCAACAACAGACATATGTAAATATCTATTGTTGTTTTTTTGTTTGTTTGTTTTACAAAGACCAGCTTTAAAACAGCTGAACATCAAAAAGATCATATGCTTTAAAAGGGAAAAAAAAAAAAAAAACCTTCACTGTGGTTAGAAGAAACTTGTGTGAATCAGATATGGGATCACATGCCTGAAGGGGAAGACGGGGGAGGAGGAGGGCATAATTATGAACAAACACTCGGAGTCCAGGTTGTCTATTTACCAAGCTTTACTTCATCGAAGAGGAGGATACATAGAAAGACTATATATTTAAAACCTTAATAAGACCATATATGTATTTTTTTTAAATTTCCTGTTGGGGAATAAACGTCACAGGACAATGACTAGCAGAACTGAAAGTGCAGCTTATTTTAAACTATTGTGTACGTTGACAGCTATTGGTTTTAAATATGTACATTACTACATCATAACTAAGAAATAAGCGAGCAACCATGTCTCGACTAATTAATTGAAAGAGGTTGTATAAGAAAGGAAGTTGGGAGGGAAGGTTTATCTCAAGAAGGAATCAGTTTTGGGGTTTTTTTAAATAATTTTATTTACCTTCTGAGTTGAATGCATCACCTCCATTTCCATCATCATGGAGAGTTGTCCTGTCTGTTAAAGAAAAAAAACACACGAAAAAACAAAACCTTGTGCCCGACAAATAAGCGTTAGTCCCCAAAGGCCAGGTTCAAAAATGGCGAGAGGTATAGAGCCAGTCCTGTCCGCCGGGGCCGCCGCAGCTGACTTTCGGGAAACCTTGCGTCCTCCGAAGCTTGTGAATATTACGGAACCGATGGTCCTGCCCACAGAGCGACGGCGCCGGGATCGTCCCACTCACCGCGACCTATGAGGCTGGAGAGAATGTCTCCGCGCGCATGCGCATGGAGGCGACTGGTAATTACTGTTTAACACGCTCGCTGCCAACCAGTGACATTATAAAATAAAATTGCGTCTATTGTCGACGTACTAACAGACTTTGACACAATGAACTAAATAAATGATATGTTATCTGTATCAAATAATGTTTTTTTCTAACTGACTTTTGAGGAAGCTCACAAAACAACTGGATGGTCTGTCATTTTTTACAACTCTTTCATCATGCAAGTATTATCTAGCACAATAGCCCCCCCTGCTGGTGAGTTGTTTAGAATGGAAGTAAACGCTTTGGGGCTCAAATGTCCTCTGAAAGTCATTCAGTCGCTCGAATTTTCTTTTGCAAAGTGGCACACGTGTGGCGAGTATCCAGCTCCTTTTACCTTGATCCCCCTAAAAAGAAATGCTGTGCAACGATTGCTCTCAGACGTAGAATTAGAGTCAACCTGAGTCTAATTTAAACTCCGTATAAATGCATCTGTTCTGTGAAGTCTTTAAAAGCTTTTGTTAGAGAACATTAGTGAAGAAACACCATCATGAAGACCAAAGAGCACAGCATGACACAACAGAAAATAAATCATAATCCAAGGTATCTTTGCAAACGTATTGACACAGCCTGAACTTTTTCACTAGTTGGCATTTAAAAACCACGAACATCAATGAATTGTTAAAGTCATTTATGTGTTAGATAAACAGAGGTGAGCAAGAAGTTACATTTACTCTTTCACAGATACTTGTGTAGCATTTTGGAGCAAAAATACTTATTTATCAAAGTAATTTTACTTAAATAATATTATTTTGAAGTTCTATTAACTGACAATTATGTTTGACTACTTTACCCACCTGTAATTATTTCACAGAGCAAAGAAAAGGCACATTTTAACCAAACATGCACAGACACACCTAGTTTATGGTAAAGTGATACTCCTTTTATGTTCACAAGCAGTTTTGTTCTGGTGTTATTTTGTATCTACTGGGCCTCCGGTGCAAATTGACCTTACAATAATATAGTATTTCTCCTCTTCTCTTCTCTCTGGAAGTATATTGTATTTTTGTAAATTTTTTAATACCAGAATTAAAACACTATTTATATCTATTTCATCTCATTGCATAATGTTTAAAAAGAAAAACTAGCAGTTTCTCAGAAATTGATTATTCATTTCAGTAAATAATTTTTTACTCTTCCTGAGTCATATTGAATGATTAGCTTTTACTTCAGCTTGAGGAAAGTATTTTGAAGTAACACTCGCCTTACTTGAGGACAATTTCTGCATATCCTACTCATATCTCTTTAAACAACACAAAATTGTGCTAATTATTAAGTGGATCGAAACTGATATGAGTGTTTGTGAGGCTTAACTTTCAAGTCTTGCCACGGATTCGGAATTGAATTTACATCTGGACTTTGACTTGGTCATTGTAACACATTCACAGATGATTTTATTTAAACCAAACTATTGCTCATTTCATTTTTCATTGTAAGGCAGGTCATTTCCCTCCACAAGTTTTCTTCTAGGATTGTCTTATGTAGTTCAGCATCGACAGGAAGTCGATGCTGACCAGTTTCAGTTTCTGTTGAATAAAAGCATCCACGCAGCATAACCCTGCCACTACCATACTTCACTGTGCAGATTCTATGTTCAAGGAGATGTTGTGTCCCCCACTGTGTCTAGGGGACACAGCAGGTCTCTGTGTCTCCCCTAGAGTAAGTACTTGGCAACTTCTTTCATCTTTTTGCTTGACTTGTTACTTTTGGTGAGTAGTTGTTCTGAGGATATTTTTTTTGTAACTTAAACCACTCCATAACTTTCTGACCTATCTGCTGGGTGATATTCAAAGTGGAGACATAGAGTCTCCAACAAATCTCTCAGGGCTTCAAATTATACACAGGTGCAGTGTATTGACTACTATTATTTTCTCCTTTGTTCCTTCATTTCTTCTTTCCCTCCTTATTTCCTTCCATCATTCCTTTCCGTCCCCCCTCTCTAGATTCTTTCCTTTCTTTGTTCCTTCCGTCCTAATTTATTTCCTGCTTTCTTTCCTACCTCACTTTCTCTGGAATTTGAAAAGGTATGGATTTGTTACCTTGAAAAAGTGTAGGAACCCTTTGATCTTATCTCAGTATTTGGTTATATGAACATAAAATGACTGTTCTAAAAAGCTTTAAAAGACAAAAATAAAAACACATCTTAACATAACAAAAAAAAATTACAGTGCTTATAATAATAAACACAATGGCAAATCAAAACAGGGAAAGATAGAAATCATTCAATGATCGATGCTGTTTTTTTCTAAATTTAAAAGGAAAAATTTTAATTTTTTCCTTTTAAAAATTTAAAAAAGGACAAATTTTTAATTTTTCTTTTTAAAATGTTTACAGTTTACAGTTCACTCTTGTCGGAAGGAACCCCATGTGTCCCATTTTTGTATGATAAAGCTGTTTGAGCCAGAAGAAGTTGTGCGTATAAGGTGCTTTACAATTACAACTTGACTCTCCACTAAGCAGAACTACCAGATCACTAAGCACCCAAGGAGCCTGACCAGAGGCATTTAAAAATACAAAAAAAAAAAAGCAAAGAAAAGAATGTAACAGTGACACTTTGTGAGCACAGTGTCTAATAACTGAAGTGGTAGATCATATAGCCTTCTCTATTTCATGATTGCTGCAGACTGCATGTTACACAGCAAACAAAATGAGAAAGGAAATTGCTGAACGGGTTTGCGGCATGAAATGGTAGATAGTTCCTGATCAGTTTGAATGTATGCAAGTTTGCTTTTCCAACTCTGCTCAACATCTTGACATGCTTGCTATATTAAGTGAAACTACGGCATGAACCCAAGATACTCTACTTCTGAGACATGTTTGACGACTTGCCCATTTATTTTTAGATACTAATTCTTACTGTCAAAGATTTGACCTCTTGAGGAAAAAAAATTAACTGATAGTTTTAAAGATTCAGTGCAAGACTTTCTAAACCATCATTCAATAGACTAAGTACTGAGAGATTTGTTTAACAGATTCAATGTACCTTACCATCTTTATGTAAAACTGCATCATCAGCAGACATGACACAAATGTGGAAACTCACTAATATACTATAAATGAAAACTGAGCTATGCTTTGACACCTGGGTTACTATAAAAAGCAAGCAAAATTTACTTTTAATTTGGTGCAAATTAAAGAGATCTTCACTAAAATATCTAAATCTTACTCTGCATTTAGCTGTATTGGCCTGCTTATTGTCAGAATTGAATCAATCTTTTTTTTCCCTCCAGGGTTTTTTATTTTTTATTTGTGGGCTCTAGTGTCCCTTATATAAAAGTGGGCTGACAGGAAAGGGGGCAAGGAGAGGGGAAGACATGCGGCAAATGTAATCGGGTTCGGGAATCGAATCTGCAATGGCTGCGTTGAGGACTGAAGGCCTCCAAACGTGGGCCTAAGGATGTTGACTAGACCTAGATCTATCTTAATTCTTGCATTTATGATCTTAGCTTGTGTATGCGGTTATTTGCCATGATTTCCAGCTAAATTACACATTGTTTATAGAGAATAATAATCATAATCATTGCTGCAATGGTGGTGTACTAACTTCGTTTTAACGATGTGTTTCACAGATATTTTTTCTGATTTTCTTCATACCTACAATTATAATACCACCCAAACTTGGTACTTCAAGTAAATCAATACTTTACATAAATGTCAATGCACGCTCATTTTAGATATCTTTCAGTTAGAACCTGAGAATAGAAATACGATTGTAGTTCTTCAAAAACGCAACACATTTTCTTAAGTAGATATTTAAAAAAAAACACACAAAAAAACCCTGTCATTTTTCCAAAGGTCATGTAACAGTTTTGGCTTTAAACAAGCTCTATTTAGCTGGATTCAGGACAAAGATGACATTTTGGGTTGTAAACATCAGCATCATGGCCACAATGGCCACTTTTACTCACTCTGCTTCTGCTTCTGTACTCTCCAATGCTGGATTATTTGCTGTTATGGAAACTTTTGACTTCATCTCCTCTTCATTTTTTATTTCACAGAAGCTCGCCTTGGTTTGCTGATCTGGTTCCCTGTGACACCTTCCCGAAGGGGAGAATCAGCTGAATCTACTGCTGCCAATAACCCAGTGTTCTCCTTCGTTAGATGATGCACTTGGCTCTGTCTTTTAGCGTCTAACCTTGTTTCTCTCTACGGATGTTGGTTGAATTTTTACTGCAACTAAATACATGCTTTCTTTTATTCTATAGACTTAAAAACTTGGTAAGAACTTATCTGTTTAACTGTGCTTTACCCCAAATTAAGCCAGTAAAGGAATTACTACTGCCATTGACTTTTTACTTGTCTTTAACATACAAAGTAATCCTGGATCAGCGCTTCTGCTTTCTTTTGTGTGTCTCTCTCTTCTCAAACCTCCAATCAGTGGTGGCAGATCGCCACGCACAATGAGCTAGTTTCTGTTCGAGGTTTCTTCCTGGTTAAGGAGAGTTCTTCTCTCCACTGTCGCTATATTCATACTCAGTGTGAGGGATTGCTGCAAAGTCAATGACACAATGCAGGGGATAGTTCACTGTCAGCACATGCTCGTCCAGGAGTAGTGAATGCTGTGCCTCTCACCCAATGACCACCAGAGATAGGTACCACTGTATGGACAATTGAAGGCTGAATTGAACACATATGAACTTCTCACAAAGCACTGTTAATTTCATCATCTGAAAAAGGAAAGAGCATGGCACAACTGTAAACTCTGTGAAGACATTCACTTAAACTGCCAGGCCGAGCAGAAAGAACATGAAACAGACAAGAGTCCAATAATGAGTCATAAGGGGCTGCAGAAACCCACAGCTCAGGTAGGAGGAATTTACATGGCAACTACTGGTTGTGCACTTCACAAATCCAATGAAGAGCTACAAGAAGAAAGTGGTTAAGGAAAGCCATAAAAAGACTGTATGAAATTTAAACATCTGATTAGATGTGACCAAAATTTTATGTTTTGGATATCAAAAATGCTAAATGTGGCCAAAGAGTAAAATCCCGAACACCCCACTCTCTTGGTGTGAGAGAGCATGACCAAAGCATGATGACGGCATCATGCTTTGGTGTTACTTTTCCTGAGCAGTGCCCAGGAAGCTGGTCAAATGCTGATGGGAAAATAAATTGAGCTAAAAACAAAACAATCTTGGTAGAAAACTTGCTGGAGGCAACAAAACTACATTGAAATGGAACTAAAATGGGATTATTTGTATTAAAATGAACAAGTCAAAGTACTTATTGTCCAATGTGTAAAACTGCTAAATAAATAGCCTACCCAAATCTTTGTTGCCAGATTTGCACTGAAAAGTGATTTTACAAAGTAATAATTTGGGGAGACTGGATACATAAGGGAAGGTTTTTTTAGATTTGCATTTGTAAAACATTTGGACATCATATTTTATTCTACCTCTACTACACTGTCGTCCTCCACTTTGTGTTGGTTTATCACATACAAATCAAGTAAAATACACTGAAATGTATTGTTCTAATTTGAGAAAATATGAAGAAGTTCAAGTGGCACTTAAGAATACTTTTTAAGTACCATATTTTCCATTTCACACGTTAAAATTATATTTTGCATTTGTAAATAAATTCATCCACCACTGTAGAAAAATATGTCAAACTTTTCACTTTGTGATGTTATCACTTTTCTTCTTGTTTTTCCCTTAGGCTATACCAAATAAAATTACTCGTCTTGCTTTAGTTATCTATCTCATGCTCCACATTCCAGAAACTATACGGATGTAAAAAAAAAAAATAATAATAATAATAATAATTAAACATACGAAAAAAAAAAACTGTTATTTGCATCCGAGTTTTTCTGACTCATCCGTGTAAGAAGTTAGATCGAAAGACACCCAAATAAACAACAGGCTTCTGAAACATGCCTGGGTAAAAAGAAGGACTTAGTCCTGGATTTAGCACTCATCTGTAAAAGAAAACAAACTTCTCACCAAAGTGCAGCTCGCTACGCGGCTGCGTGAAATTACCCTAAAAAAAAGCACCTCTCCTTCCCTTCTTCCCTCCTTCCCTCCTCTCCTCTCCTCTCCTCTCAGTCTGTGTGGTGCGCGCTCCTGAAGTCGCGTTCACGTTTGGCAGCTCCACGTCGACATTCTTCCAGCTGCATATAGTGAACTGCTCAGCACAGCACTGGGGGAAGAAAAGGTAAAAGCGGAGATAGTCACCTTAGGATCAGAGCGCTGCAAGTCCACACTCGGACATTTACCGCTCTGAAAAAGGGAGCTTTGCATGCAGTGAATCTGTAGCTATGGCTCAGCTCGTTCTCAGTTTTCTTAGCTTTTTTTTTTTTTTTTTTTTTTTTTCTTTTTTTTATGAGCTGGTCTAGACCACCTCGTGTTGGATTGCAGCTGGTTCATGACGTCTACCTATCTCAGGTACAGTATTGCTTGCAGAACTAACAAATTTACTGCATCACATACTTTGGGAATCATTGCCACGATTTCTGGTTGAGACATTCTGCTGTTTGCTCTATAATATCATTTTTGCATAACTGAAGTCTCTGCCAGCTGATAAGTCTCCTAACTATACTCAAACTGAAACAACTTGATACTCTTGACCTTCTTCAGCCCATTTTTCTTCCTCTGTCTATATTGTTTGGGGAATAGATCATTTTCAGTGGCTTTTCTTTAGTGTTGAAAGTTGGTGAAGTTCAACAGGTTGAGCTGTGGATACACAAGAATCCAATGATAATGAGAAAGACATAAGCAGACTCTTAAAATTTGAATCATACATGCCATTGTAGAGATTGTGCAGATGTTAAGTTTGCAACCACCCAGATGTTCAAGCCTGATGCACTTTATCAATGAGGGGTCTTGATGAAAACTGTGCAAACTAAAACTATATTTAGATAACTTATTTCTGTAAAAAGATCAAACCTGTCTGCCATCACTACATGTGTGTGTGTGTGTGTGTGTGTGTGTGTGTGTGTGTGTGTGTGTGTGTGTGTGTGTGTGTGTGTCTCCATAGGGTAGCCACATTACAGCTATGCTCCGCAGGCCCTGCTTCTCCAAGCCCTTCAGCTACATTTTGCTCCATATTTTTTCACAAATTACGCAGGACAGTGAACATGGCTGTTCAGCATTACTATGTTTTTTGCTTTTCTTTTTTTTAAATTTTACTTGCAGGTTGAAGGAGCACCTTGTAGCGAGGAGACTAAGGTTCCACACAAGGACAAACCTGTGAGGTGGCACTGCTGTGGCTTTCCAAATAAAGTTCTGTGATACACTCAGACTCTAACTGCCTGCAGTCAGTGCATTACAGAACTTTGTTTTGGGAGTGAATGCATCTGCAAACATTTGGATATTTTACTTTCCAGAATAACATGGTGTGTGTATTTGTTTCACATGTTGATTTATTAAAGTTTTCCTAATGTCTTATGTCTTTTTTGTGTTCCGAGTCTTATTTTTTATGGAGAGTTGGGGTGGTGCTGTGGTGTCTTTTTATGTGTGTTTCATCACTTAAAAACTATAAGCTTATGTTAAAGTATTACATAAAGGAGAGGGACGGTACCATATGGAAACCCTAATCACACTGCTCAGGTGACTGAAGGGAGGTGAGGCAGAAAGGTAAACAGTTCTGCCACATGTTTCAGAATGTAATGATTCTGAACTAAGTCAAACAAATGTAGCTTTATTGGGTTTGGTTAGGACTTTATTTCCATAATCTAGTGTCAGTTTCCATTTCCATTCCTGATAATTGTGTCCAGAAATATTATCTCTTTAAACTGAGTTAGTCTTGAGTAAAATACCTTAACATCTGCAAACTGGCTGTAATAGAAATTCCAGTCTCCACAGTCTGTGGAGCATTTTCAACCGGTAATAAGTGAGCAAGGCATGCTGGGAAATGGTCCCTTCCCAGAATGCCTTGCTGGGAAAATAGCACACTTTGTTTGCTATTTAAACAAAGTGTTAGTTTTACATCTGTGAGGAAACTGTTGCTTGGAAGAGGAAAAACTCTAAATTGTAACTCTTTTATTTGGCAGCTGCAGTAATTCCAGGCACAATTGAATTTCTGTTATGTATAGCATCTCTTTCCAAATTTCATGCATGTAAAAAATGCAATATCAAAGAATACATATCTACAAAGGGCTGGGAATTCATCTAAATAAGATAATACTTTACAGTGCTTTTAGATGTGATATATATATTGAAATGTATTGCTAAAAGATGACAATTCTGATGATTGTCTCTCTTTTTGCCTGCTCAAACCATATATTTTCATTAAAAAGTCTTAAAATAGTTAAATTAGTATTTACAATAAATTAAAAAATACTTCAAAAACAATTGGTCAAAATTACAGATGTGCACTTTTTTTTAAAGTGGCACACTTTAAAATCTATACATATTTACAAATACAGTTTTATGAGATAAATTAGACTCTCGTTGAAATTATAACTACAGTAAATCCAGCATTGCACAATTCAAAGCACTTTATTTACACTCAAAACAAAAGAGATATCAAAATAAATGAGATTTAAAACTGAAAAAATATATATATATATTTTCCTTCATGGAAAAGCTTAAGTAAAAAGTTATATTTTTGGTCCTGTTTAAAAGAAGACCAGTTCCAGTTGAGGTACTGGTCATGCATAGATAATAATCTGTCCTTTATATGGTTCATTTTGTCAAATTATTATATAACAATATATATCAAAATTATCTTTGCTTTGTTTCATTAAGAAAAGTAAAATATTAAATGCAGAAAGGCGATTTTAAAAATAACACTATTAATAAGATCAACATTTAGTGGCCTACTTTATATCATCCTTTATATCAGAAACTCAAAATGGACAGGCAAGTACAGCAAAACAAGAGTTTTACTTATCTGTGAATGTTGTTCATTGACCTAGCCCATTGAATAGCACAACTGTAGCCAAATACTTCAAGCCAAAGGAAAATTAAATGTTGCAGCAAGACATCTTCCAAGTGTCTTCAAATGGTCATTGTGTGATGATGTGGGGAGGATGGATCGGTCTTGCAACAAATTTGTAGAGGCCATTGTTGATGTATGGCAGTCTTGGGATTATCAAGACATGCTAACAGATCAATATTTGGGCAGTAAGGACAAAGCTTCACAGAAACATGTTCTGGATGAAACCATCAGTTATTGACAAGCACAGCTAATAATCCACATCATTTGCTGTTACCACTCCTCTTTAAATGTATTTCTGTCCATATAGCTGGAAAGCAGGAAAGAGACAAGTTGGAGTCAGGGATCTGATCCTTTTCCATTATGACTGATGGAAGAGTTTCTCCTCTCTTTTTGATCCTGTTTGACATCAATGAAGCTTCCTCTTCAACTCCTCTGGGATTTGGAGTAGATACTAATCAGTTCCTCCTAGTTGTAAAAGCAATGACATGTGGCCGTGGCTGTGCATAATAACTACTGTCTGAAAGAGTGTAAATCTGAAAATTTCTATTTTTTTAATGCAATTTAAATGCCTTGCCAATGTAAATGTGGCACGAAAGCGACATTTCCTGCATGATGTGAAGGCAGCACGCTTTCTCTGCGCTGACCTCTGACAGGCGAGCTCCGTGAGATCAGTTCCCTCCCTCCACAACACGGAAGCAGCATGGCGTCCAACATCAGCGGAGACGAATCCAGCAGGCATCAAACAGCTCGGCACAGACTAAGCGTTATCGCCGGGCATCTACAGAGACCCTCAGACCGAAATGCGGCCCTCCTAGCCGTGGACTGCAAAGCCCAGGGGAGCAAACCGAATGTCAACTCCAGTGACGGGGGCGAGGGGAGAACGGTGCCCAGGAGAAGGTACAAGGCTGTGATGGAGCGGTCCAGCTACTGTCCATCCTTCTTAGCTTTAGTTAAATTAACATGCTACGTAAGACCTGAATGCGCATCGCGTATCCACAGACTGCTACACTCTTCCTTTCTGGACTTAAATAAAGCAGACGAATATTGATAAAGCGGATATAGGTTAGCTTGACAGGCTAGGCTAACGCGTCTCTGCCACAGAGAAGCCATTCATTTGCTAGTGAGTGGGTGCGGCTTGGAGTTTGGTGTAAACTCTCCATGAGCTTATTATATGGTTTAATTTGTCATGCGAGACTCCCTCGGAGTCAGCAAAGTTGTCCAAGCCTGTGGTAAATGTTGACATAACGTCTTTTTTCGTGTCGAGCTCCCGAGATAGCAAACATTACGAAACTAGAAGGGGGAGTGCCACTTAAACAGCCCCGACTGGTCTCTCATTGAACGGTTACTTTAGTAAACGTTCTTATCTTGTCTTACATATTCAAATAATTTAGGACTAGATACGGGATTTGTTTTGTGTTAAGTTATCGGGTACTTTATAAATGTTTGTTGTAAAAATATATCAGCAATAATTATGTAGAAAACATATCGCTCAGATGAATGTCAAAAACTTTTGTCCTCTCCAATGATCTGATTGGCCAGGGCTGGTGGTGGCCTGACTTTCCACCTATTATCAGCTGAGTTTCTGCTGAGGAAATGCCTCCACTATGTGCTGACATCTAGCGTTAGTTTGGGATAATGATTGTGACTCCAAAATGTCATACATTGGCCTTGGTAGAGTACCGTCATCATGTTGTGACCCACATGAAACTGAGAATTTTTACAATATTGTGTCTTCATCCCCATCTGTTTTTACACTGCGATAGCTTGACCGTAACAGAATTTGATTAAATATTTGTTCATTAGTGCTGATAGGTTTCTTTAAAAACAAGATTTTATTAAGCCTTGACATTGTGTCAAGCTTTAGTGAGGCATTTAAGTTATTATCGGGATGGAATAGTGATACGTTTTTAGTTTATTTCAAATTTTAGTCAAATTTCAAATATCTATACCCGTACTTTGTTGATGCAGTTTCTGCATGAATATATGTCAGCATTATTGCAGACACTGCTCCAATCTGTCTATCCACTCCCCACTCCATATGCACATGCCTTACTATTATTTGCATAAGTATTAGGAAGTTGCAGAGAAACCACTTTCAAAGTCACCAACAAGGTTCCAAACATCTGGCTTGATGTGGCCAGATGTTTGATCTGTCTTTGTGGAAGCTTTGGTAGAGCTAATATAAATCGATGTGTTTCTTGGCTCTAACATCATTTTTGAGCTTAGTTCTCAAAAATTTTGATTTTGGGACTGTTCTTCAGGCTTAACGTTAACTTCTTTTATATCCCAGACTTATTGGGTCTTATTGGATCTTATTTTATCATCTATGTAACTGAAAAATTGTGACTTGTGATTTTATATAATTGGTGAATTACTTAATTGGCCGCCAGAGAAAATGTTTTGCGATCAAACGAGAAAGAAAGATTGGGCTGTTTTGGTGAGGCTTTCAAATATAAGAACAATGGTAAAGAATAGTGGTGACAGCATCATGCTAAGGGCCTGTTTCAGTGGTGCACAAAATGGGTGGGATTGATTTATTCAATTGGTGTGTTTTTCTGAACATTAGAACACTGCTGTTCTAACTGGTGCCAAACAGTACCTGTTTGGGATCTTCTGTTAATTCTGAGATCAAATAAAAATGCTGGACATAAAAATAAAATTGCCTTACAGAGCAAAATTCTAAACTTTTGGTGGACTACCTCCATATTCATGTTTCAGTGGTGGACAAAATGGGTGGGATTGATTTATGAATCAACAAGTAGGAGGCGGTTTAAAGATTGGGTGTTTCAACATCACAATGACCCCAAACACATCCAAACTTGTTTCGGAACTGTTTTGAAAGTCTATGAACAATGTTTCTAGACTTTCAAAAATAAATAAATTGAACAAGCTTTATTCTTAATGAAATAAAGCGTGAGAAAATATCTATACCCGTACTTTGTTATGGCAGGAGCTTGTTGATGGTTACACACAGGGTGTAGTTTCTCTGCAATGTGCTAAAGGACATTTAAGCAAACATCAAATTCATTGTGGCGGTTATAAATTTGAGCTCTGTGTATAATTTTGACAAGCACTGAAACAGATTAAATTTAAAATCCATTCCAAATTTTCACCCAAATTCAACTTGCATCCATCCATCCATCCATTGTGTTTCGCTTATATTATCCGGGGTCGGGTCGCGGGGTAGCAGCTTAAGAAAGGGGGCTCAGATTTTCCTCTCCCCAGCCACTTGTTCCAGCTCCTGCGGGGTATCCCAAGGCGTTCCTAGGCCAGCCGAGAGACATAATCCCGCCAGCATGTCCTGGGTCTTCCCCAGGCCTCCTCCCGGTGGGACATGCCCGAAACACCTCACCAGGGAGGCGTCCAGGAGGAATCCTGACCAGATGCCCGAGCCACCTCAACTGGCTCCTCTCGATGTGGATGACCAAGCTTCTCACCCTATCTCTAAGAAAGAGCCCTTAATAAGAATCAACTTTTTGATTCTTATTAAAAATGTTTGTTGTGTAACTTTGGCATAAACATAAATGATGCTTCATATGCGTAACTAATGATGAGTGGTTGGAGCCGTCGCTATTACGGTGTGTTCAGGTCCACGAAGCAGGTCTTGGATACAATCTTTCCTCTTTGGCTTTTGCTTAATTTTGCATAACCAAATACCTCTCTGTGATCGTAAAATATGTTTTGAGCTCTATCCTTACTCAGACTGTTCGTGCATTACTTCTTAGATGCTTTCAAGTTAAAACAATCCTGAATTGCACGGTGAGCTTGCTCTTTGAGTGCATGCTTCAGGCACTGCAACTTCCACTGATGCAGTGTTAATGGGATACTTCCTTTGCCAAAGTCCAAAGCTGAAGGCAGACATAGGAGGGAGTTTAAGAACGACAGCTTGCTTGAACTGAACTATGTTACAGTAAACCTGGTAGATAGAGGGTAGTTTGATTTTGATGCAGCCTAGACTTAAAGTGCAAAAGAAAGCACTGAGAAATATCTCGGAAAGGATCCTTCTGCCAGATGCTCATGCTGAGCCCCATTTGTTAACTTTCCTTCATGTTGTATCTAATGATTAATTACTCTTCTTTTTTTTGTCTTTAGTAGCACACCTGGCATCCGTTTTTTTTTTTTTTACAGCTAGAAACAACAAACTGTAGTGAGGGATGGGGTGCATAAACTTCAAGAAGAAAACTTGAGTTCACATCTCAAGTTCCAGAACCATGTGACATAAACTTGCTTATTGGTTACTACACAGCTATAACCCAGCATTTTGGCAGAGGCACACAAATACAGCTTTCAGAGCTCAGAGGTTTTTTGGCTTCATTAGCTTGGACAGAATTGTCAGTTAACTTTATGTTTGCATTTTATAATTGGAAACACATGCAAAGTAGGAAAATACATCAAACAGTAGCTGAGCTATTAAGAAATACAGCAATCATTCAGGCATGGTTCAGAATAAACCATTTTCCCTTGACTGGCATTGATTGGTCAAAAGCCGAAAAATCCCCATTTCCCCTAGTCGCTAGATACTGAGACGTTATTTTTGGTCCACATGCATTAACCAACAGCATGGATTTTTAAGTTCAGTTTCATTTGTATTAACATTTTGAGCAACATTCTACACATGAACTTCACATTTCTACAGCTAGTTAATCTTAGCCTTGTCTTATTGTCTTATGATGGCGTCAGCTTGTTTTGACTGCAGAAATCTGTTTTTTTTTTCATAAACCAAATTGTCTATTAGATGACTTGTGCTAACATAATCTGTCAGAAATGTGAACCAACGTTTCTCCAGACAAAGTTTACTCGTTAAATAGTAAAAATAGTAAAATAAAAATAAACAACCATTTCTTCTGCCATCTTTTCATACAGTATGAGGGTAACTTCATAAAAACTCTGCAGGGCACATAGTTACACAGCTACACTGTTGCTGATTTTTGGACTTCTGTAAACTGACTTAATAATGGCCTTGAATCGCTTGAAGGTCCCGCTAAATTTCCCTCTGCTTCAGTATTAGCAAACAGGTACATGAACAAGATAAGCAGTGACAAATAATCTCCCTCTCATAAGTTTTCACTCCTTTTTCTGTCACTTTTGCTAAAATCATAAGGATCATAGTTGATATTTAAGTATGCTTTATGTTCCAGTGCTTTCTGGGATTTAAGGTTAGTTTTAAGAGGTTTATGTTTAATCTGGTGGCCCAGGTAAACTCGTGAGCTGTGGACCTTGAGCTTGACTTGTCTGCAATGAAGCATCACCTTCACATGGAAAAGAATTGATGTTTACCTCAAAAGATAAACATCTGTCTTGACCCTTCATGGTTCCTTTTTATACTTTGAAGAATGTAGAGTAAGAAGAACTTTTTGTTTGGACTTAAAACACAAAGACCTCTACCACGATAATGGTTTTGATTATTGCATTGTAACTATATCTGGTCAATTATTTCAGATATCTGCTCAGCTACTCAGTCTGAAGTTTTCTGCTTCACAGAAATGGCACTTGCAGTTTCAAAACTGATTTACCATGATAACAGTAATTTATGGCACTCCACATTGGCTGTTTTATTTGTTTTTTTGCCACCATTTAAGTGTTTTTGAACAGCTGGATCTCTTTTTATCATCATGGTTGAACTGTTGCAGCCTTATTTCAGCCATCTGAGTGTCAGTGCTCATGTTGAGGAGAGGCAGTTTTGTGTTACTCTTTGCTCTGAGGGACTGTAGAAAGTTTTGATTCGTCAGTAGTGTGTAGAGTCATCATTTTCTCCGTAGAAACAGCATAACGAAAGATTTGAGCAATTATGAAAGCGTAACTTTGCATAACCTCAGTGCCAGGACCAACTCATCGCAACTTACAATTCAGACAGCTCTTTCTGTAGATGGATATTCTGTTTTGATGCGTTTCCTTGGTATTGTGCTTTTATAAAGCAGTGTGTAAAATATTTTTGGTTTGATAGGCACCCAGAGGATATAAAATGTTTGCCTGCGTGCCAGATGCAGCCTCCTTCACTAATAAAATGGCTCCTAGTCGGCCTGTTTTTAGATGAATGGAGAAGGCTTCACCAAATTTCCAAGACTGTAATATTTTCTTAGTTCGACACACAGAATTAGGGTCTTTCTGTTGTCAAAATAGAGATTCAGAGCATAAACAGAGTTATTTATCCTTTTTGTTTAGAAGGGAAGAAGCTTGACAGAAATGTGTGGACCCATTACTTATTTAAAAGATTGAATATTAAACAATAATATGCAAATGTTTTGACAGGTTAAGGTACCTGAAAATAAAAGTCACGTGTTTTTTTTTTTTTTTTTTTTTTAAATACAATCTGCTCTGATACTTCTAGACCAAGCTAAAGAGGACGAGTGGCTTTACAACCTTGTGCCAATATTTATTTTTCCACAGGCAGGAGATTATGAAATGGAACGGCTGGGGATACAGCGACTCCAGATTCCTCTTCAACAAAAAAGGCCAAGCAGAATTTACTGGGAAAAGGTAAAATGGAAAACAAAGTCCATTTTGATCATTCTTATCAGTTTGTGACTCAGAGAGAGCCATGTTTGCTGACTTTATTCAAAAATTGTTTTAAGCTTCCTTTTGTCTGTGTGTGACTTAAAGCTGAAGCTATGCAGTGATCTCTTTCACAGTCCCAGCTTTGAACTCAGCTTGTGAAATTAATCAAGTTCCTCCTTCTCTCACAACAGCGTGGTGCTTCTGCCACCTAGTGGTTGGCATTTAAATGGCTCATTGTCATTTGAGAAGGTCATCAGTTGTGATTTTTCAGCCTACCCAAACTGTTGCTCATTAACAGGAGCGACCTGTCTCCCTGTTTAGTTACTGATCATTTGGTATTGGGTGAAAATATTTAATTTACTGGTACAGAAGGAACAAAGTACCAGTTTAACTGGATGGAAGTGGACAGAAATGAACCCTTTTTATCCTAAATGTTTAGAGTAGAAAATAATAACGTATTCAAAAATCTACGTGCCTTCCGCAATGTTGGCAGAAGTTGATCTGCTTCTTTTTTTTTTGGTCAACATGGACATCTTTTGTTTTTTCCAGGCAGAAACGGAACACAGAAGTATAATTACATACACAACATGTACCTTCATTATTATCTAAACAGGATGTTGCATTTCTCCTTTCTTGATGTCGAAGCACGTCCACCTCTTCTCCTGTCCACCTATCTATGACCTGTTGCAAAAATATTTACACAGCCTGCATATTTAGGGTCTTTATTTTACTGGAAGGTGAACCTCTTTCCCAAGTCTTAAGTCTTTCCAACCTCAACATTAAGATCTGGTTTTCTGCACCTCTGTGTTTGCCGTGACAGAAGGTTTATCAGGATGAAATCTGTTCCTCGGCGTCTTGGACTCTGCTGCAGCCTGATGGGCTGGCCCAGTCTTTGCCAGCAGCTCAATTATGCAAGGAACAGTGAAGGTGATCAGAGGAGCAGGACTGTCACTGCTGTTCTGCCTGTCTAACCTCTCTGGACTCTGTACTCTTTAATTAGTCACTGACTTTCCCCCTCAACTGAGCCGTGAATGCGCAGTGTTCTGGTGAGTTTATACTCGCACTGTTTTTTTCTAATTCAGGTATAGACTGAGTGGGATGATCATCCCTGGCCTGAAAGACTGGATGGAAGGCACGTTTGGAGCCAATTTGCAGCATAAAACGCAAGCAACAGTGAGTCCAATTCTTTTTTTTTTTTTTTTTCCCATTCTTTCCATTGTGTCTCCCTTGAATCGAAGCACACAACAGCTGAAACCACAATGTTTTCATTTGTTTCAGCCTGTTCTGAATACCAGTGCTGTGCAGCCTCCTACACTAAATGAGGCCTTTGTGGAGGAACTGAAGTCCACAGGTATTCCCTTCTCTCATGAAGCAGAAGATCGGGTTTTTCGAGCCCACGGTAAGAAAATTCACTTTACCATCAAAATTTTTGGTGTGAAAAAGTTTTATTCATAAACATCACACTTTTTTTTTTTTTTGCTGCAGGCCACTGCCTACATGAGATCTTTGCCCTGAGAGAGGGGAAAATCGGCCGTGTTCCAGATATGGTTGTGTGGCCAAGTAAGTAACCCAGCATTATGGGTGGGAGGTTGTTTTTCCCTCCACCCACCAAGCACAACTGATCCTCCTGCTGGCTTTGGTGATTTGAAGGGTTAATCTCTGCAGAGGCAGGAATATTAATATGTATGAGTGGAGGCTTAATAGGAAGCGTCAGGGGGAGGACGGTTGTCATCCAATCCTCCACAGTCTGGCCCTCCACGCTACAATCATGAATTATGTTTCTCAGATTGGTTTTCTCTTGTTATGGCTGGCACTATTTTATCATGCAAATGAGTGTTGACTGATGGCTGGAATTTGATTAGCAACCTCCCAAATGGGCAGCAAATCACCAAGAAACTGCACCCAAACTGAGATGGAAAATGGTGTGGAATATTCACTCTCCAGCCCTTTGCAGCATGCGAAGTTATACAATTCAAAGACTTGATCTATGATTTTTATTCAAGGTTTCTCCTTACATGGGGCAGCGTATTCAGTCAAGAAAATGATAGGAAGGGAAGCATTTCTCATCACCTTTTGAAGCACTCGAGGGCAGTCGAGCACAGCCATTAAAAAATAGCCAATGTGACTGTTGGTTGCTTGATATAATGATTCAGGGAATATTGAGTAAATCTGTATATTATGGCGTAGTTGCTTTGCATGATGGTTATGTTTCTGTTGTTTCAACTGGTGTTTTTAAATAATGGCTACTTTTCTTTCAGATTGTCATAATGATGTAGTGAAAATTGTGGAGCTGGCTTGCAAACATAATGTTTGTTTGATACCTTATGGAGGTAAGTCATAGACTCAAAAGTCTCCATCCATGTTGTAAGTTTTTGCATTAGTTTATGCTTCTGAAATGTGTTTCAAAGGCTTTTTCATTTATTTACCTCTCAAGTTGGAAACAAAACTAATTATTTGGGACTATCGATTAATATTGCGTTGATAGAAAGTGCACTTATTTATGTGTGTTTTTAAAGTGTTGTTTCTCTCTCTCAGGAGGGACTAGTGTATCTAGTGCCCTAGAGTGCCCACCGGAGGAAACTCGATCGATTGCCTCTCTGGATACATCACAGATGGTGTGTGAATACTAGCCTATGTATATGAAATAAAACACACCACATATTGTCAGAACTATTTAAGTACTGGTAAATTGACATTTTAAATCTCAGATAAATTTGGCTAAGCAGTTTTGTACAAGTTTTTTCAGTTTGTCAATGAGAGTTGGTTAATTAGGAAATAATACTCAAATAAATGGCTTCAATAAAATGCAACGGCAAGCTATTTCAGCTGTCACATATTCATTCACATTCTTTTCTAAGGAAGTTTTTTGGGCATCATGCATAGAAAGAAACATTTTTCTTTGTGAGTATTTTACTTAAAAGGATTGAAAGTTATACATGCACCATTTGCTGAAGAGAAATGTACAAATATTGCTTTTTAAAAGTAGACATTCGCATTGAATTGTTGTAGATTTTGAGATGTTGTAACCACAGACGTTCAGCCTTTTATAGGAACACTTATTGAGAGCTGTTTTGCAAAACAAATAACAATCCAAAGTGTGGCACTAGAGATTCTGTGAGAAGCTCAGAGGCTTGTTGGAGAACAAACCTCTCAGTGAACTAAGATAATAAAATCATGCAAACAGCCAAGAACAGTGGTGAGACAAAAGCCAGTATTGTCTTTTCTTCTTTAAAGTTTTCCACAAACCATGTGCAAGAAACACCCAACATGTTTAAGAAGGTGCTCTGGTCAGATTAGATAAAAATATATTCCTAATACAAAACACAGTGTGTGGAAGGAAACTTAACAGTACAAATGAACATAGCCCTCTGAAACTTGGTGGTGTCAGTATCATACTGTGAGGATCCTTTTCTTCAGCAGAGATGTAGAAGTTCAATGGAACTAATTAAGCTAGAGCTTTTTGCAAAAATGGGAAAAAATAGCTTCTGGATTTGCAAGTCTGGTTCAGACATATCAGAACAAACTTGCCAGCCTAACTGCAGTGAAAGGTTGCCGGTCAAAATACCATCTTGGGCATGAACACGAATGAAAACCACATTTCTCAAATATAGGTCTTTTTAAATGATCCAGAAGAAGTCACTGTAGCCATGATAATGCTTTATATTTCACTATGTAAAAGCGAACTGCAGCCCTTTGATCCAGTGGTGATATACAAGCTGTTAGGATGCTGTTAGAGTTGTTTGGTTCCATAGACAGCAGTGATCAGTGTTGGGTGTCAGGGGCCAGAGGTAAAGCGGCAACCATGAAATCACATGAAAGTAGCGAAGTGATAGGAGCATAAAGTTTATTACCTCTGAGGAGTGATTGATGGCAGAAATGACATGACTTCCTGCAAGTATGGCTGAGCTGCATACCCAGGGGACTGAACAAGAGGCTTGTATTTGAATTCAAATGCTAACTTCAATTAAGAGAACTGTTATCTCCATCCTGTAGCACATCTGCATGCTGTTACCCTCAAATACCAATGGAGAAAATATGAGCGTCGTTTAAAGAATGGTGTTAGCCAACTCGTTCTAAAAGAGTTGACCAGCAACACTTTTGATTACAGCCATTTAAATGACACAAAACCATTTATATTTGTTTCTCAAAGTTGAAGCATTTGTTTAAAATTTTTTAACTTCCTCAATAATTTTCTTGTTTCTTCCAGAACCGTATTTTGTGGATTGACGAGAAAAATTTAACTGCCCACGTGGAGTCTGGGATTGTTGGTCAGGATCTGGAGAGACTGGTAAATGCAGCTTATCCATCTGTAAATATTCTCACAAAGAGCTAAGACAGGCTATGAACAACACCAGTGCCCTAGCTGTGTGTCCTTTTTGATGCTGCTGGTTCTTGCCTGCTGACCTTGGCTCTCTTTGCTCAGTAGATTTCCTGGGATTTAGGAAGGTAGCAGAGAACAGAGTGCTGAAGGAGGGAGATTAGTGAGTGAGACGGTGGTCGTGAGCAGATGGCACCATCAAGCTAATTCAGAAAAATGGAGCAGGAGCAGGCGTTTGATGTAGAGGAATGCGTGAGCAGCATCTAAAGCAGACGCCACCTCTGCATTTAGACTGAACTGAGGTGATGGAGCAGATGGGTCTGAAATATAAACTGCTTTCCAGAGGGTGACTGTGATAAAACAAAACCTGACTTTACTTTGGTGCTTCTGGGGAGTATTGTTCTTATTGTTAAAGGTCTTTGTCCTCATTACCGTTTACAATCATGGCTTAGATATTCTCCTAATGACCTAAACAATATCTTGAGGGACCATTCATGAATGCCGTCAGTGGTTGTAAGGTTTGTTTTTCACAAATCAAATGCATTATAAAATTGCACATAATGTTTTACATTGCATTGACATAATAATGCGTCAAAAAAGGGACATTGATATAGATCTGGGTCCTGACCTATGCCTTTTTACATGATCATTATGGGAGTCCCAGCTGAAACGGTCATCATGTTTTATTACATTCAAAGCACAATTTCATCTTTTGGAAGCAGAACAGTTTTCTGTAGTTGTTGTCTTTAAAAGCAATCAAATATTCTAATTTAGACATACTTATCCCTGAGGGACAACAACATAGTGATGTTCAGACACGCACCAAGTTTTTGTCTCTCGAAGTGATTTTATTGAAAGCTTACAATGTATTTTTATGTATTCTTTTGATTTATTTTTTTGTTTTACACATCAGCTGTATTCATTCGTCAAAAATATCTTCAGAAGCATAAAGGTGTTCAGTTCAAAATACCTGCAACTGTCAAGAAAGAGCCATGGTGGTGCACCCATAGTACCTTTGGTGAATGAGTAAAGTGAGATGCAATCACCAAAGTAGTATAGACCAGGCAATGCTGATGAAATAATGTTTCATTCTATCGCGCTTTATCGGTAGTGTTTTTAAATGTTTACGTACCATTGATTTATTTATTTATTTTTAATTATTGAGGCTGCACATGTTTTGCTGTAGGTTTATAAGAAAGTCCAGTCCAGTTTAAAGCCTTTGTTTTACATGTTATATTAGTGCTGCATGAAGACTCTTATTGTTTGCTTTTTTTATTCCTCTTGGCTGACGTGAAGTTGCTGTAAATATCTACGGCGCTATAAAGCCTAAGTTTATACATTGCTGTTTAACTATAAATGCAGCTGCAAAGCAGTAATTATATTTTCCCCATCTGCTTGCTCTTTTTTTTTTTTGTTTGTCATTAAAACATTCTTGTGGCTTTACAGCATCAAATGTTTCCAAGAATTTTTGCTGTTTTTATTTTATTTTTTTAAATACCACAACAGACACATGCTCTTTCACTTTTATCGCAGCTTAATGAGAGCGGCTACTGTACGGGGCACGAGCCCGACTCCATGGAGTTCAGCTCCCTGGGGGGATGGGTTGCCACGAGAGCATCGGGCATGAAGAAGAACATCTATGGCAACATTGAAGATCTGGTGAGTCACCTCCCTTCCCTTTTGCCTTGCTTGTGTTCCCTCGTTGCGTGGTGTGGATCAAACACGCAGTTTGATCCACACCACGCAATGAGGGAACACAAGTTACTGCGCAGTAATTAGAGAGAAGATAACTGGCAGCAGGGTTTTTGGCTCAGCCTTCACTTCTAAACTTATGTTTTGCAGTAGTTCTACTATAAGTTATGAAAAATACACAGTCTGGGAAAGCGATATTTATGGGAAAGATAGCTCCTTCATACTTTTTTATTTAACTTCCCTCCAGTTCTTTTTTTTTCCTCCTTCCCTTTAATCCTTGTATCCTACTTCTGTTTCCTTCCCTTTGTCCTGCCTCCAATTTTTCCCTTCCCCTCATTCTTTTGTTTCTTTCTTGTTTCTTTTTTCCCTGTTTGTAGTTTTTCCACATTCCCTGTTCCAATCTTTCCCACTAAGTGAATGGCCATTATTTCATGCTTAAATTTTCTATTTTCTGTTTGAAAACAAAGAAAGAGATCAGAAAGCTCTGCAAAAGTATTTGATTGTGTTGATGTCCTCTGATTGAATAGGTCATCCATATTAAGATGGTTACTCCTCGAGGTGTGATTGAAAAGAGTTGCCAGGGACCACGGATGTCCACGGGTCCAGACATTCACCACTTCATCTTGGGCTCTGAAGGTTTGCTAACTGTCTCGCGTGTTCTCTCTACACATTAACTTGTGCGTATCTGTGAGGACTTTGAGATAAAACAATAACATCAGGAAAGTTCTCAGGTGTAGCATTTTTTTTTCTTTTTACACATTAACGAGCTTGGGTGTAAACTCATCTGAAGTGGTATATGTAAGAAAACAAGTGGGGGGGTTGTAAGCGCTGCTGCACTCCATCTGCAGTGCCCTGTCCTTGTGAATGCCCACAGAGAATAGTGCCATATGCCAAGTTTCCCTACATAATGAGGGGGTTCAGAGAGGCTTGGCATTGTTATGTTAAACAGCTGTGAATACCAACTTTATATTGGCTGTGCAAAGCTCAACAATCTGCTGCCTGGTTTGGCTGCGGATTGCTGCATAAGTCTCAATTTGTGCTGATTGGATGTGCATAGCAGTCTGTAGGATCGAAATCACAGAAATGTAATTTAACACGGTGCATTAGTTTAATACACAAGTAAATCAGCTCTGCTCTTGCTACAATGATATAGCGGTGATACAGATAGACTTGTTTCTTTACACATTTGAATAGCCAGGGTTGTTGTTTTTCCTCTTTTTTTTTGCCAGCTTTACTTTCTGTTTCCTGAAAGTAAAGCTGTTTCTTTACTTTCTGATTGTGTGATGCCAACTCCTCCTGCTTTATATGGGCACACACACACGCATATTAAGGCTGGCAAGGCTGCTTAGTCTTACAATTTTGCAGCCTATTTATTGCTTTGATATTTAAACCAAATAATTTCTGGGTATGTGAAATGGGCTACTTATGGCCCTTTTACAATGAGAGCTAAAACCCTGGGTTGGTGCAGTTTGGTACACTATTTTGTGGTCTGATTTAAGGGTTGGCAATGTAGACTTTTTTTTTGTGTTATTATTATGATAACAAAACTGATGACAAGAACTACCTATTAGTTCTAGTTTAGTTATGGCTGTAAATGTGTGGCGGAACAGTCATTTGCCCACAAACACAAATACTGCTCTTAAAAAACATACACATTTTTAATACACCTTTTTAGGACACCAGTTACATAAAGAAGTGGGATTTGTACCACGAGCCTGCACACAGTAACTGCACTTAAAGTAAGTGCATTTACCCTCCTGAGTTTGTATCATTCCTCTTTCCATCAACTCTGACCAGCTTCCTTGTCTCTACTAAAGAAATGCTCCCCCACAACATGATGCTGCTACCACCATGTCTGACAATGGGGATGCTGTATTCAGGGTGATGTGCTGTTAGTTTCCCTCAAAGCTGCACTTTGTCCATAATGTTGCACTTGCATGCTGTGTCCCACTCATGGTTCTGAAAAACGTAAAAAAATACTTTTTAAAGTAATTTGTAAACAATTACTTTTTTCATTCCACTCTTATAGAAATGCAAGATCTGCAGATTGCAGGACTAGTAGTTGACAGATTCTCTCTCCTCCTGAGCTGGGGGATTGCTACCGCTAAGTTACCAGCTGCTTCTTGACTGATTCTAAAATGAATGTTTTTTGTAGATCTGCAGTTAAGACCAGACTCCTTCTATTTAAAGATGATAGATTGACCAGTGCTGCACGAGATGTGTGAAATTTGGGACATTTTAGAATCTAACCTTTAAGTTTCTCTTCATTATTCTCAACCTGTCTGTTGTGTACCTTGGCCTTCTTGATGCTGATTGTTTACTAATGTTCTCCTGAAACTTCTGAAATCTTCCCACATAAAAATACTGAAAGTAAATTACAATTTCAGTATAAAAATATAATTTATGTGGACTGTTAATTAATTAGGAAACTTCTGAAGCCAGTTGCATGCATGGGATTTAATTCAGGAGTATCAGAGTAACTCAGTCCTGAAAACAAATGCTTGCCAACTTCTCATTATTATTTGTAAAAACCATTAACTGATTTCCCACACACTTTATAGTCAGACAGAATTTTGTGTTGCTTAGACACATAAAATGCCACTAATCTACATAATGCTTCTAATATACAACTACAAACTACATAGGAGTTTGTAGTTGTTACTTTTACAACAGCTACATAATATTTGCTCATATGACAACTTTATGAATCACAATTAGAATCATAAACAACTTGTATTTATGGAAATCAGATCATCACCTCCACATACATCCCTTACAGTTTGGGTTTGAACTTAGAAAAAACTGTTATTGTCAAGTTGAGGTAGAAAATAAACTGGCTAAATGGGGCCAGTGCACAACATAGAGATAGAACAGGACTAAATCACATTTCTTGGACTTTGTGTCTCTCTGGGAGACCTAACACTGAAGCTAAAGGTCAGCCCGCCATGTAGCCTCATTAAAATGATCAACCTCTTCAAGTTAAGAACTCCTTGCTGCAGTGTGACCGTAGGCCACATAAACAGCAGCTAGGCTGCACCAGCTATGCCCTGCATGCAAATAGCACTACATCCATTTTATTAGGAATTTGTCTGGAAGCTTAATCTGCTCATTTTCTGCACAACAAAGGGAACTGTTTATCTTTCTGACCTTGGAGTATCCTGAATACAGATTAGTTCTAACTCCTGGCTTCAACCAGGAGGAAGAAGTATTGGATTGATCACTAATCTCTTCAAAACTCCTTTCAGTGAAACAAATGAATGAGCTAATGCTTGGAGCCAAATGATTATTACATGAGGGGAGGGAGTCACTGAGGTGATTGTTATGGAAAATCTTGTAACACTTTATTTACAAAATGTTGCTCCATCATAGTATTGGTTCTTGGTATTCTCTCTCATCTACCTCCTATTTATCCTCACTCCCTCATCCTCCTTCACTTTGGTGCACTACAGCTCCTACCCACCTCCCTCCTTTCCTCCTTTCTCTAAATCCCAATCCATGCTCTGGCACTCCTCCTGCCTAGGAGGAGCAATTGAAGTCATATGTTTTCCACTGGGCCACTAGAGAGCAGCGTGTGGCATATATATCCACTTTACAAGCGCCATAAAAGCCACTATATGATCCAGAATGCCTAGTTATCTGTAATATAATGTAGTTATATGGAAATCAACGTATCCATCTAAATAAATGTGTTGTATTTATTACAGAGTGAACCAGTATAGAAGAGCAGAGAAAAGTAGGGACTTAACGATAAGCGTTTGCTACGAGCCCCTTGGGATATGTATACATTTCCACATTTATGTCAAAAAAGGATAGATAACAAACAAAATAACACAAAATACCAAAAAAGTAACAGATTGACAGAATTCCAGATGTATTTGATGGCTTGCTTGTTAACATGTATCAATCTCAGAACAATTATGTCTAAAGATTTAAAAGGCCAAAATAAATGGTGTACATTTCAATAATTGGTTTCTAATTCATTATTACCATAAATGTTAACTGTAGATATTTTTTTATGTCACTCTGTAAGCTATTATAAGATACTTTATCTGAGGGAACATGAAAAATATTCTGCAAGTCTAATTGATATGCAGGAACTTTCTGACCATGGTTTCTGAATATATGTTTAAAAGTAATAAAATTCTGAAATGCTTAAACCTCTGAGATTATTTCACCATGGAAGCCATCCCTAATCCTCTGAATCCGGTGTGTTTATGTGTTGTATGGACAAATATGAGGTTCCCTATTCTCAGGCATTTCTATTGCTGCAAATATAACCCAACATATAATTACAATTATTTTAATGCTCTCCACATCACAAGCTTGTCATTTTGATACATAGTGCTAACATGTGGAGCAAACACCTGCTACATTTAGATGCTCTTAGTGAAAGTGCTTTTTGGATACATGTATTTTTTTTGCCAGTCTGATATTCATAAAGGAAAACTTAGACTTGGATTCTAAAATTATATTTAGTTTGTGAATTAGTTTGGGTGTTTTTATTGTAACCAAGAGAAAGGTTTCTCAATATTCTTTCAATTAGATTATTGACAAACTGGCCCAACCGGTGAGCAAGGGGCAACACTGTAAAACTCTATGCTCTATACAGTTGGAGTAAGGCTTTATTCTGGCATCTCACTTAAATTGCTTTAAACTTCCATCATCCTTGTATGATGGAGAATTGACTTAACGTTTTAAAAGAGAGCTTTGTGTCTTTTCCATCAGGAACTTGAAAAAGACTTTTGCCAAGGTCATAACGTCAGCCAGAGGCTGCTTTACGTGTAAATATGTTGCTGTTGATGGCCCCCCACTGCCCTTGATAGGGACCCACTTTATTTCCTCTTGCGCTCATGCAGATAAATCTTAGCTTTCCCCCTGTGTGTGGTAGAACACCAGACCTACCGTGAAATGTGAGACATACGAATGACCCAGAGGACATGTACCGGAGAGCCTTGTAAAATACTTTTAAACTCTGCTTTAAAAGGCTCAGCTGGTGTAAATTGCATTCAGATACAGAAAAACTTCATTAGTCCCAGGAAGGCAGCATCTGTAGCTTAACCATAAACAAGCCAATGTTCTCACATGCACAGGCATGTTTACAATAAACAGCGTCGGATGTAGAGAAGGAAGAAAAAAAAAATAAAAATGTTTGCAAGATTGTAAACAAATGGCTAATAAAGGACAAAGTGAAACAGAAATGCACACTTTTGACCCAGATCTGAATCAAGTTGTTCAAAAATAAAAATCCTGTTCAAAATATGTTTTATGTTCTTCTAGGAACCCTTGGTGTCGTTACTGAAGTAACAATTAAAATCCGTCCCATGCCAGAGTATCAGAAGTATGGCTCTGTGGTGTTCCCCAATTTTGAGCAGGGTGTTGCCTGTCTTCGAGAGGTGGCTAGACAGGTATGAAGGCCATCGTTTCTTTATATTATTTTTTACAGACCTGTATGCATCTGTCTGGTCACCAGTTCTTTTTAATGTTTTACTTGTTTAGTGATGTCTTTGTTTTCTTACATTATAATAAGATAACCTGATCTGAACCTTCAACCTGCAATAATAGCTACACTGTTTTTTGTTACATAATGGTGTTTATGTATTTAAGCTTTATTTTGCTTTCCAGAGGTGTGCTCCAGCATCTATACGGCTCATGGATAATGAACAGTTCAAATTTGGTAAGTTTAGTTTGATTCTTGGTAATCTTTCATTTTTCAAGCATGTTGTTATTCATGTCATAAATATTGTATTTGATCACTTTGACTACTTGTGAGTATGACAATCCAACACTTGAAACCAAATGCTTGATTAGATTAGAGGATTTGTGACCTCTTATGTTAAGTGGGAGGCTTTAAAAATCATCAAAGACATATCAAGCAAATAGAAAGGAAGCTTTTTTTAAAAAAAAATGTTTCAAGATGTCATGTTAATAGTTCTTATGGAGAGACCATTAACAGATAACAGGAAGGCTGAGTTGAAAAAAGTCTTTGTTTTATCCATCTGCACTTTAATACATCCTTTGCAACAGCGCTTGTTGGATTTAGAAATGTTGGCACCTTTTGGAAAATCTTAGTGAAGGTAAAGAAACCTTTTGGATGAAGGTTACTATACTAGTAATGCTGACTGTGTTATTCATAGTAGTGGTATAAGGTGCTAAAAGCAGCTTAAAATGTTATCTTTGTTTTAAAATTGTGAAACCCTGTTTTACACCTTTGCTTATTCTCTCATGGTCTGAGGCAACCTCTGCTTCTGTGAACAATTGACCTTTCATGGCTAAAATAATCATTTTAGCTGATTAGGGTTTTAAGAAAAAATTAATAAAAATAATTTTAAAAAATCCCTACTCAGTTAAAATCTGTACTACTAACTTACAAAAGTTAGTAGTATTTACTTTTTGTAAAAAGAAAAAAAAAATCATGCACCATTCAGTCTCCAGATCAAAAAATAGTAATACATTTAGTTTTGCCCCAAGAATTCATTCTGTATTAACCATTAGTCATGTGCATTAGTCATCCTCAGCTTGCTTGGCCCTCATGTTTGTTCTGTTGTTTTAAACTAGTTTTAAGAAAACTGCTGCTCCACATTTGATACCTCAGTAGTTACTCAGAATTACCACAAAAACCAGCTCTGTAAATTTAAGTGGACATTATTTGTATTTCTACCCAACATATCTGGTGCCCTTTGGTCAGAGTGTAGTCTGTTGAGTTATCGCTTGTATGGAGGATGAAGTTATGATTAAGGGTTTATTTCTTTACCACTTCTTTGTAATTCTTGATATTACCTATGATATTTCTACACAAAGAACATGTTAGCTTTTAAGCTGCAAAATTCTGTATTTTAAATTGAGTTTTCTCAAACTTTTAATTAATGTAAATATATATTTCAAAAAATGAGTGCTGCAAACATTCATGTCACTTTCTACAGCTCCAAATTGTTAATCTGATTATTGTATTTGCAGCAAAACCGCAGCATGTGTACAAAATGAGACCAGGACTGAAGGCATAATGACAAATAACCTGGGCCAGAATGAAGTAGTTGCTCTGTTGAAGTTTTATGATGTTGTTTCCTGAGGTCCTGTGGAATGCATCTGGCATTACCGGAGATCTCTGTAAAGTTCCCCCGTCCCCAGGGATCTCGTTATCTCCCCTGTATTTCCACTTTTCATGGAGTAGGCACTTCTTAGCATTAAGTTGGAAAGATGAGGTGACCAATGGGTTTTTTTCACCCTCTTTTTTTATTATTTATTTATTTATTTTTGGTCTTTATATAATTATTTTTGACCCCTACATCAAACACAAGGCTCTCTTCTATATTCAATAGTTTTAGTGTTTTCCCCCTACTTTTAATAATGCTGGCTACAAATACCTGACCATTGACATCACCTATACATTTTTGTATGCTACATCATTTAATTTATATGTTAACTAAGACATTCTATTGAAAGAAAGGAATAAAAAATCTAGAAAGGCAAGCTTTTGCTTATGCATGCATCATTTTGTATCTGGATTTTTGAGTATTTAATTAACGACTTTGATAGCTGTGAGAGACCCCAAGACCCGCAATCAAATTTTGGAATGGAAACAATTAGGACACTAAGTGATGAAGAGACTTCGGCATGGGGGGAAATAAATGAACTGTTAAGTCTCTGCGACATCACCCATGACTTCCCTGCTGTGATTGATAACCATCCCATCGGCCCCCAGCCCCTCATTTTCGCTTGTCCACAGGCGCTTTTGTGCGTCCAATCAGGAATAAATCAAAAAGTGAGGGTGAGGAAGACTGATATCACTGCGTCAACCCCACTTCCCTTTGGAAACTGCCTGATTTATAGTTGCTGTCGCTGGCAGCTATTGGGCCTGTTATGAAGTTATTCAAATGTTACTATTTATATTTCCTTTTTTTTTTTTTTGGTTGAAGCCCAAATATATCAGACCATTTCGGCCTCACTGAATGGGAAACGATGCAGCAGAAATAGTTTGTCTAAAAAGTAGACAAAGGTCAGTCTAATTTTTGAGGTCAAATATGTTATCTCTGTTTTTTTTTTTTTTTTTTTTTGTTTTGTTTGTTTTTTTTTTATCAAGCTGTGACAGCACTGGTGCTTTTTCTGGAGGATTACAATTTCTCTTTAATACTTATGGTATAGGGAGAAAAATGCTCATTGCCAACAGAATTTGTGGGCTTGTTTTTGAGTTTGCAGTTGTCATCAGTCTTGGTCAATCAACCTGAAAATTCCTGAAAAGCTGATTGTTTTTAGTGTCAGATTCACTTGAGTAACATTTATTTGATTTTTATTTATTTTTATTTTTTGTTTTAACAGGTCATGCCCTGAAGCCACAAGTATCTTCAATTTTCACATCATTTCTGGACGGACTAAAGAAGTTTTACATCACCAAGGTAAAAAAAAAAAAAAAACAAGACACACCATAATATTGTTTGGATATCTCTGCAGCTGGTGTTTTCTGTAAAAAACAAAAAACACATTCTCCTTTCTTTTGTTTTCAGTTCAAAGGGTTTGACCCTAACCGCTTGTGTGTGGCCACCCTGCTGTTTGAAGGAGCCCGTGAGAAGGTGCTGCAGCACGAGAAGCAAGTTTATGACATTGCAGCAAAATTTGGGTGCGAACACTTGGTCTATTTTGTCCTTTTACATGTATTTACTTGAGGAGGTAAGTGCGCTAAGTCTCCCTCATTGCAGGCTAGAAGGAGTAGCACTGACCTGGGTTAAAAGAAAACTCTGTTGCAACCTACTGCGTCACAGATACAGTGTGTGTCTGTGTGGACTGTTGAGTCACCTTTTGACGTCCTCTTTCCAGCACAGCTGTAATGTTAAAGCGAGTCTGCTGAGGGAAGTGATAGTAGAGCAGCAGTCCCCTGAGGACAGCACAGAGGAAGATGACACAGCCTGGTAGTCCTCTGCTGATATGATTGATCATGTTACTGAACAGCTGGGACTTCCCACTATAGAGGAAACCACTGTCTCAGCCTTGCTTTTTTTAAAACACCGGCCTGTTCAACGAGTTCAACATAAAGTTGCTTTCCTATGTTCAAGACCTGAGTTTGAAGTTGAAATTAAAAAGGAATACTTCCTATTTATTTTTTAAATAATAGCAGACATTGCAGTTTAAGCAGACAGGCTTGTCTAAAAATTTTTTTAAATATATTTCTATTAAGGTTTCTTTTGGAATATTTTCTGTTACCTTTCATTTGTTTTCAGCAATTTCTAAGAATCTCTGAAGATTCAACAAAATTTATTTAAAATTAGTTTCTTTACCTAGGGGCAAAACAAGAGACACAATGGAAACAGAAATTTGCAGCTGATTTCTATTTATTTATTTCTTTTTTTTTATAAAGTGAACAATGACTCACAGCTTTGATCTTGAAGAAATGTAGCAGTTTATGTGATCACAATATCTGCATCTGATTTGACAACTTTTATTATGCTGCGTTCTAGACATTAATGCAATATGTACTGATGCAACAATTTTCACATACAGTTGAGAATTGAATATTATGACAAGAATTGGGTACATTAGATATTAACAATAACTTTTAATTGATGTTTGGCCAAAAATGTAAAATTCCTGCCACACCATGCCTCTTGCTGAAAGGTGTATTTCATTAGTCACATAACCACATTATAAAAATCTGTTTTAATTCATTTGTTGTCAAAGTAAGTATAAAAAGTCCACAAAGAAGAAGACAGTTGACTCAGCAGTTGGCTCCTCCTTGTCCCTATAAACGTTTTGCACAAAATTTGAAAAAATAAAAAGTACAGTGATGATGTAAAATGGCCCAAAAATTGCTTGCATAAATATTCAGCTTTTACTGTAAATAAGTGTGATGTATTTGATATTTACCATGTACATTAAATGTTTAACACATTCCAGCCACCAACCTTATGATTGTCAAAAACCAGTCTGTAGGTTATGTAGTGTTCAAGTAATACTTCACCTGTCAATGATTTCTGCTTATTCCTAACATCCTTCCTTTCTAGTTTTACTCTGTTGCCTTGTGCTCAGATGTCCAGGCTTCCTTGGATCATAGAAAGCTATTAAAGCAGAAGAGGTGCATCAGTCTCATGTAGCATCCTCTCCATAATTGCATTATTTCAAAGAAATGGTGAACACCCATCAGATCAAGTGTCAGTGATGGATTACTTGGGTTAGGGCAGTAAGGAATGCTTTCCTCTGGTGTAAGGAAACAGGAAGACGAGTAAAAAAAAAGAATCAATATAGTGATTTTCTAATGAGCTCGGCCTGATTAGTTTGGATGGTAAATGAAAATGTGATTACCCACAGCCGGTGATAGATGTGTGGCTGACCTGTGGCGATGCATGGAGCGCAGCAGCATTGATCTGTACATTGTTGGAGTGACAAGCTCCAGGACAGCTGTTGTGAGGGCCAGCAGTGTGAGCAACAAAGCTTGAAAGAAAGGAGCAGTTAAATATTAACCATGTTGTGTCTTTCTAGGGGCTTGGCAGCAGGAGAGGACAATGGACAGAGGGGCTACATGTTGACCTTCGTCATCGCTTACCTCCGGGTGGGTCATTGCACTGGCTTTTTCTCCGTCTGAGCTGATGGGCAGGGAGGCTGAGATTTGACAGCAGATAGGATAGAGAATGAAGATGATGGGCTGCAGAATATGACCTCAGGAGGTCCTCCATCAGATCCGGTCACAGTTATCAGTGTGTCTAACGCTGTGGAAAGAGGGCACAGTAGCTCCTGACACAATAACAATAGAGAGTTGACGCAGGTCAGTCCTGATGGAGGCCGTTCTGATGAGCATGGGTTCAGTAAGCTTCTAACTGGCAGCTTTATCCAAGGATCTAAATTAGAATTTTAAATGTGAGATAAAAGGGGAACTTAATAGATGTGGTTTCATTATAAGTAATGTTTTTTGTATTTATGAATTCAAAAATGTTGTAGGAGGGCATAAGGGGCTTTACATCGTTATAGTTTTTTGTCACTTCATCTTATTTTTTCATCTTATGTTTCAGTCATTAGTTTGTTGACTGATTCATTCACTTCTTTGGGGTTAAAAGTTGGTGCTATCACTTTTTTTTGCTGTAATTTTTTTCACTTCATTCCTGGTAGCCTTCCAATTATTCTAGTTACAGGACTTCTGTAAAGCCGAATAACAAGCTGTGTTTGATGACATTTGCTTCATCAAATAAAGTTTCATTTGCTTCAGATATTGTTTCCATTAGAGATTGAGTTTTTCCATTCATTGAGGTTTTCTTTAGGTTTGTTTTAAAAAGATTATCTTCTATTAAAGAGACAGTCTTGGAGGGAAATACAAATGGGGGCAAAGTTGCTTACTGGTAAGTGTAAAAAAAGACTTGAATCTATTGTTACAGAAGCGCAAAAAAAATGAAATGTTATGATTATTGAAGTAAAAAGCATTAATATCTTTCTGCTTTCAGTTCATAGCAAGCATAAACCCCCGATAATGAGGAAAAAAATCAAATTAATCATTTCCAGCTCAAGATTTTTTTTGTCTAGGGACTGAGGTGGTCACAGGGCAAGAGCTATATATATGTTTTGTATCAGTATAATGTTGAAGCATTCGTTGACGAGCTATTTTCTGTTGAATGGCAGATTTTTATTAAAATTGAGTTGCCACATGTTCAGGTCCTCCGCCGTACTTAAGTGTCTGAGTTGCTTTTTCACATATTCGTCCCTTGCTTCAGGCAAAAACCACTTGATGTGTCACCAAAAAAGCTCAATCTTGCTCTGATCTGGCCAGATAGTTTTCCGTTAAAGTAAAGAAAGTAATTGATTATTAATTAAAACATAACACTAATTTTGATCCCTTATAAAGGTAAAGTGTACTTTATAAAAACTTCATGTATTTTAGAGGAAGTGTGGCAGAGACCAAAAGTTGTTCCACTCCTGAAAACTATTATTTTCTAACATAGAAAACACAACTTCAGACATGTTTAAGCTATATTTTGTACTAAATCCCACAAATTATTTCGACTGGGTTAAACTCTTCTGAAGTTACTGGATTACTCTTCTGACCAAAGGGCCAAAAAGTGATTTCTGTCAGGTTCATATAAATATGCTGAATCCATTAACTTTGCAGACTCCTAATGTTAATACTCTATTCTATACAGGACTTAGGAATGGACTACTATGTGATAGGGGAGTCTTTTGAAACCTCTGTGCCTTGGGACAGGTAAGTGCATTGAAAAGGGCTTCAGGCTTTCCTCTGTTAATTTTTAATGCATTTTGTTCTTTACTCCTTCTGAAAGATCACTCTGCTTTCTTGATGGCCCTTTTTCTTTTCAAATTCCCAACCTCTCTGACATTCACCTTCATGTCTGCTTTCTCTAACCATTTAAACAACTGCATCAAAAGCTGTTTTTCCCTTCTTAACATTGCTGGCACACACACACCCATGCAAACACACACGTATATAAAAGGACGTGGGTTTATCACCACATGTGCTGTGTGGGGGCGGTGAAACGTGTATACCATGAGCCGCTGATCTTCCTCAGATCGCTCCATGTTGTGAGATCTGCAGTTCCAACATGTTTTATTACCCTGCTTTCTCGCACAACAAACACGAGCACGTGCAGCTCCCTGTTGTGTAAGATGCCTGACGGGAGAGACCAAGAGATCAGGCACTGAGGCAAGCATATGTGCCTGGCTCATTAACCACCCTCCTCCCCATCCTGCACAATCCACACCCGGCTGCACATGCTTAGGACTGGCGGCCATTTCCACACCAGTGGGAATCTCTCGCTCAGTGGTCGTCATGTCAGTCAGTCTGTTGTCCTCCTCCTTCCTGGCTCCCTGCCTTTTTTTTTGTCACAAAATTAACCCTTTTTATGCCATTAATAAATGTATTCATATGGATATTGCTTACAAGCATAAAGGTCTTAAATTTGGCAGTACGAGAAAAGAGCTATTGAATTTTTATGTCTTTCACGTAAATTTTCTTTCAGGGTTTTGGACATTTGCCGGAATGTGAAGGCACGCATCGTGCGAGAGTGTAAAGACAAAGGAGTTCAGTTTCCACCTTTATCAACTTGCAGGTAACAAAAAAGAGCTTTCTGTGAAAAATAAAGGTGCACAGAAGTAATGTTTATATATCACGTGAAACTGCCAAATGAACCTAGAAACCAGAGATTTTCTGGCCTTCCTCAGCTGTTTCGCTGCAGTATGGAATAGCAGTCTTGCTCTTGCTCACTCTCTTGCAGCCTAAATAAACTAGACATTCTTTTAAATAGCTTCTTCAGGCTCTTTCTTCCTCTGACTTCATTTTAATCACATCAGTAATACTGAAAGCACCTATGATAATTCTTCACTCTGTAACAGCTTACACAATGAAGAATGTTGCTCAAACTATGACCTGGTGGATAGTATGTACATTTAAAAACAAAAAAAATCTTAAACCAGCGAGGTCCAGGATGGATCAAATTTGCCTTAGTCCATCGCTTGAAAAAGATTTTATGGATCCCATTTTCAAAAAAAATAAAGGTATAAAAATCTATGTATAATTGGCAATATTTGGCCTGAATTCAGGACTTCTCTTTTATGTATATTTAATTATTTCATATTAAACTGGACCACAAACGAACCTGTAGCTTTTATTCAAAAGCAGATTTGGATTTACTCATTCTTTTAATAATGGCAAATACAGCAGAGAGTGATCCATAACCTGTTGATATTTCTTGCCCAAGACTATACAAAAAAATTCATGCAAAACATTTGGACATTGCTGGTCCCTTTTTGTGTTTTGTTTTTACAATGATTCATAGATCCTTTGCATTCAAAAATCCACCTAACGTGTTTTATTAAAATAAGTATTTAACTTATTTTTGAGAACATAATTTAATACGTTTTTACAATTGAGAATTTTGCCCCACTTGTCAAAAAGTTTGAACACTTTTTCAATTAGAAATAAAATGGTACTTCTGTTAGGGTTTTATAGTCATTATGTTTGCAAATCCACAATACAGCAGTAGCATCACTTGTCTTTTTTTTTTTCCTTCTTTTAAAAATCTTTTTTTTTGTTGTTGTTGTTTTTTTTTACTCTTCTGTAAAATAAATATTACGTTATGAAGGCTCATTTCTTTCCTCCGGAAATAGTTTGGTCTGTCCTTCCATCCCAGTTGCCTTGACCAGACGGACAGTGGGACAGACAGACAGACGGCTGGCTGGTTGGTTGAGGAGCACCAGGTTGCCGCTCGCAGATTGCGTGCAGATTAAGCCTCGGCCTGATTATGCTGCAGCCATTCATTTCCCGGCTGCAGTCTGTCACATGATTGATTTGTCCATTTAACCTCTAGAACAGTCAGCGTGCCAGGTGATGGGCCATGTCAAATGAACAAGGGCTCTGCACCCTGCGCCTCCACAGGGAGGAGAGCCAGAAAATAAAACCACACACAAACTGGAGAGTTTTGTTGCAGCACAACGGCTGTTGAACTTGTTACAACACCGGAGCTGTTTGTTTTGTTAAAATGCAATGCAGTTGAATCTCTGACAATTGACTTCTCCTATTGAATATGGCAGTGCTTTAAGATTGTCTGTGGTTTCTCGTATGAATGGAATTGAGGTCAAACCTCCCACCTTCTCATTATCACTGTTATGCCTGCTATGGCAGACAGATAAAAAAAAATCCAGCTGCTAAGTTTCTCACTGAGAGGTTTGTTTAAACCTGTCCTGTTTGTGCAGGGTGACTCAGACGTATGACGCTGGCGCCTGTGTCTACTTCTACTTTGCCTTCAACTACAGAGGACTCAGTGATCCGGTGCATGTGTACGAACAAGTGGAGGTGGGTTCAGCTTTGACTGTTTCATATTCAAATGTAACAGAATACACACTTATCACAAAGTTCAAATTTTGTCTTCTCAATCCACTGATTATTTTCCCAAAGCCTTTGGAGATTATGAAGATATTCTTTTCAGGCTTTGATTTTTTGAACGTCCTGGAAGTGTTATGATGAGGCCTTACAGTAATTTTGGAGTCTGTTGATAATGGCTCTCACTGTGGATCGCCAGAAACCTTAGAGATGGCTTTGTCACCCTTTCCAGATTAAATCCTTGATATGTGTTGTATTTTAACTTGCTTCATGTTACCGGAAGGTTTATATTTAGGTGATGTAAGACAATAATCAGTCCTGTATAAACACTGATACTAAAATAAGGGAACATATTAATCTTTATTAAAAATAAATAAATTAATTAATTAATGATAATGAAGAGTAAACATCAGCTAAATTCAGGAATAGTACCAAAAATAGTACCATATGTCCTACCTGCTGCAAGAGAGATTGAAAGCTGTAGTAGCTTCAGCCAGCTGACTGGCAGCATGCAGCCACAGGATTAAAAGGATCAAAATCCAGACCAGATATGTTGGCAAACTTTCTGGTGTCTTATCAAAACAACTGAATTGTAGGAACCACAGGGCTACCTGTTAATTTTAAGATCTTTATACTGGTAATTGGTCTGATTTACCTTCAGCGCAGTTTGCCTCAGAACATTGATGTTTTTTTTTTCTTTCTTTTTTCAAGAAAATTTCTCAAACACTCTTGTTTTGGTCTTTCAGCATGCAGCTAGAGAAGAAATCCTTGCCAACGGAGGGAGCTTGTCACATCATCATGGAGGTACTACAAGCTGAAAATTTCACCCTCAACACATAATACTTACATAAACCCTCCTAATGGTTATTCATCTGTCCGTCATATACAAACATGTTGATCTGGGATCCGCTGATAACGATGCGGGCTGCTGCATGCCATGAAGCCGACTGTGCTCTAAATGTGCATTCGGACGTTCGCATGTCCAGATCTGCTCCTACAGCTCAGATGAATGACTGCGACTCGTTTGTTCACTTCAGCAAAGCGTAAGCGCGGGAGGCCAGCGAAACGACTCCATGGGCCCCATCAGGGATAACCGAATCGGCTGCCTTATCTATATTGCCATCCGCCTCGCTGTTTTCATACATCACTTCAGGCTATTCATCACACCTGTCCAAAACAGTATGCAGTGAATCAGCTGCGATATTAAATCACAATTTTTCCCGAAGGCGGGGACGGGTTCAAAATTAAAAGATTGCTAATAAAAAGGAGGCAGTGAGTCGGGGTAAATGATGCCGCCGTTATCGCCGGCTCTACGCTGACCTCCAAGCGGTGGCCCCGTCACCCCCGAGCGGCACGGGGGAGGTGACGAGAGGGGGAGAGGAGGGGATATTGATGCAGCTCCTATGTGCGAGGCCCACTCTGTAATTGTGATTAATACCAGCGGGGCTCGCTATCTGAGTGCAGACAGGCCGGTTTGTCTGCCCACAATCAGCGCTTGACAAATGGAGCCTGTTCCTGCAGGTTTTGTGTATCAAACAGATGTAGTCAAGAATAGTGAGGTGGGAGGGCATTGCAGGAAATCTACATTTCTGTAGCCCCGTGTTTACAGCAGGTCACTACTGTGCTGAGTGGGCAGAGGAAAGATTTCTGAATACTTCCTCTGCAGCCATATTGCTCGACCACCTTGCTCTGTTCACTCCTGTTTGACAAAAGTATTTAAAAACTCATGAATTTGCATTTTAAATAAAATTATAGACTGGTTGAAAACCCAGAAGTCCAGGGCCTCATGCCGTCTGCAACCAGGTCACCATGTAGTTATGAAGAGTTCCTCAACATCAATCATTAAGAGCTTCATCAATCTATTAACTCCTCATTGCAGCTTCTTGGACAATAGGTCCTGCTCGTGTCCTAGCCCCATTTTGTTAGAGATGCGCAGTGTTGAAGAACGGAGACTCAGCTAACGTTCTCTTTTCTCTGCATGAATGAGAAGAACAGCATAACTTCAGGGTGTATTGGCCCAGTTCTTTACTTCTTATTAGGATTTTATTTGGCTTTGTCTTATAAGCCAAAACTTCTTATAAGTTCTTATAAGAACTATTGGCTTTATGAAGCCAACAGTTCAACAGCAAATACATACACAGTGCTCAAAATTACTGTCATTTTCAGCATAACAGTAATTATTTCTGTACAATAATATTACGAGAAGCATTATATAGTGAAATTAATGACCGGGATATAAATAAAAAAGTGAGTAAAAGCAGTTTCCCTCCCACAGCAACCTGTTTGGTGTAATGGAGATGCTGCTTGTTTATGTTCGTCTTTTGCGCACAGCAAACTCAGGAAAACCAGGGAGAACAACATAGGCAGGACTGTTAGGATGTAGCATCAACCCATGTGGCACAGACTGGCAAAACAAAGCTGGGAACAAAAGAGGCGGGCTGGAACGTGCGCCCGTTGGCCGGTGGAATATTTATTGATGAGGTTATTCCTTGCATTTGATTGCATTGGAGTTAATTTAGGTGTTTCATTGAAAAACACAAAAGCACATCACACTTTGTAGATTTTAGATTTTAACTTGCAAAAAAAGTACAACTATTTATAAGTTCACCTCGCTTTACAAATATGTTCTACGTACGTTGTCTACTCCATAAAAACACATTGAACATTGAGGATTGTTGTGAGATGTCAAAATGTGGGGAAAATAAAATTTTCAAGGTGCTGTAGGAGGCAAATAAATGACCTAATTTGGAGAAGGTTACTTCTTGCCTGAACTTCTGTAGACTTTTCCACATGTGAAATATGAATTTCTGTCTCTGTTTCTTTTTTTTTTTTTTGGGGACAGGGGGGCTGGGGGGAATCTCTGAAATAGCTACCTGCTCTGCTTTGCATGTCTCAGCTGCACAGACCAGGTCTGGGGAGATTGATTGCAACAGAAAGCAAAAAGGAGAGAATATGACAAGATAGATGTGTAAATTATCACAGTGATGGAGGCAATGATGCAGTCCCAGAACCTTCTGTTTTCTTTCCTCTTTCCTGAGAGGAGGGAGGGACGGAGGTGGGACAAGAGAGACGGAGTTTGGAGGAGGAGGTTGTTGTCGGGGGCGTGGTACTTTCTTGGTTATTGGGCAGGAGCTGATTGGTCCCTCTGCCACCATCTGGAGGTCTGTGTGCTGCCGAGGGCTCCTGGTGACCCTGCTGTCGGCCCTGTTTTGTTAGGAGACGGCTGCCCTCATGGCTGATCCCCATCTGGGTTTCCTGGCTGCTGTGTGATATCATGGGGATGTAATGTGTTGAGGGGAGGGTCCTTCCCTTCTGACACTCTTTCAACACTGCGGCTCCCTGCTAAGGATGAGGAAGAAATCATCGCGCTGACTCTGTTTCAGGCTTTTATATCTAATCTCAGGTGTTTGGCTCTGAGCAGCACCTGTTTAAGCTTCTCATTTTGGTTTACTTTGTGTTTCTTTCAGTGACACAACTTCGAATTGTTTATATTTATCAAACTATGGTGGCATTTTTGTGAACCCTTTTCTTTCCTGTGCAGTTTATAATAAGTTTTTCAGTAATGCTTATGTTAGTGGAACCACAGATCCTTTTCTTTTTAACTAAAACTTTTACCTTTGGAAACAGTTTGGTTATTAAACTCAGTCATTTAATAATTATTTTGTTTGGCTCTACTTGGTGTGGAAGGATGAATCTATTTGATATAGATTTATCTTTTTTCACATCTCTATAAGTAAGCACACGGGTGTGTCTAAATTATTTCATTTCTGTAGTTTGATTGAAAAAGTGATATGTACATTTTATAAGTTTATTAGACAGTAATATATTTACTGGGCTCATTTCTTTTGATTTTGATCATCACTCATTGGTGCTAGTAACCTGAAATTTAGTTTGAAAGAAAGTTATATTCCTACACAAGATCTGTCGGAAAAAAATTATATTAACATATAAAAAAATGGTACATAATTTTTGATATGATAGTAAACATTTTTTGACACAACGTATAATAATGGCAAGTCACAAAATTTATTCTCAGAGAAGCTTAATGCAAGCAGGTTAATTAGCATGTTAAGTGGAAAGATAAACATTTATAAATGCAGTCAAAAGATAATCTCGCTGGATACCTCCATCTAATCTAACTAAACTTGAACTATTTTTCAACAAGAAATTGACAAATTTATATCTCTACATTTGAAAGGTTTAAACTCATTTTATTGAAGGGAAAAAAAAACTTCAATTCTTTTTGGGGATTCGCCTGAGTTCATCCCAGCTCATATTTGACCTCAGTTGATGTGGAAAACTATTTGACCTTTGAAAATGTGCATTTAGTTTCCACATATTGAAGGAATGAGCTCCAGTTGACTGTAAAGCAGAAATGTTTTGTTTTTACGACAGAAGAAAATGAAACCCTGTATTAATATTTGTTTATATTTACCCAGCGAACACCACCAGCTGTACTTGAACGACGATTAAGGACTACTGCTTAATATCAAACAATAAAGAAAACCATTCAAAGCACAGAGGGGAGCCAATGGCTGCTGAGCACTTTATCTTATCAATATAAACTTTCAGCACCACATTACTCTCACTTTATGCCCGATGCAAAAAAAAAAAAGTAAATATTTAAGTTATTCAGCTTTATTGACTTTATAAACAAGAAGAAGTAAATGTTCTTGGTTCATTTCTTTAGCATAATTCAAAGTTCCCAACCAGTCTTCCTGCCGGTTGCAGATCCTCCACTGGGCGCTGACTGGGTGTGGGGGGTGTGTGAACAGCTGCGAACCTCCCAGGCAGCCTCGTCAGGTTTTGTGGTGAAGCTGCTCTCCCTCCTCAGGTTTAGGTTTCATAGGGAAGCTGGATGGTGCCGGCGGAGAGCCAAAGTCGTGCTGACAGAGGAACATAGAGCCGGTGTAGCCGCCTCTTGGCCATCATGGTAACGCCAGGGAGTAGAGCTCAGGACAACTCGGGCCCCGTAGGTCAGACAGAGCGGTGTGCTCGTGTGCAGGGAGGGAGTATGACTTTAGCGGCGGTCTCAACCAGTGAGGGAGCCGGGAACGGACCGCCGCAGCCGCCAACCGGCCCCTCCTCTGGGAACACACAGAGCCTAATGAGTTTGATAGTCTGCTGAGCTCCATAAATCATGCCATGCAAAACATTTCTCCTCTCTGAATAAAAGCATTTATCACCCTCTGTTTATTCACTCACTCTCACAAGATTGATTGGCTCCCAGCAGCCTGCTGAGCAATCAGCCATGCCGATTCCGCCGTTTCTCCCCCCTGGTCGTCGTCCTCCACTTATTTATTTTATTTTTCTCTTCTGCCATTCAGTGGGGAAACTTCGGAAGGAGTGGATGAGGGAGACCGTCTCCAACGTCGGCGTGGGGATGCTCAAGTCTGTCAAGGACTATGTTGACCCAAATAACATCTTTGGCAACAGAAACCTCCTCTAAGTCCAAGTTCCCATCCATTATCTCACCCTTTATTTCATTTTTTTCTAAAAACTTCCAGTGCATTTTGGATTAACAGCTACTAAATGTGAATTTAAAACACAGATCTCATCAAACATGTCTCTCGGTGCCATTTAATGATTCACTCTCCACTTTCACCATACGTCGCACTTAATCTGCTCAGCTTCTTCTAACAAGATTCAATGGGTGTAGCAAAACATTGACCTATCTCAGATTTGCTTCCTGAACACCTTTGCCAACATAGAAGAAGCTGTGTTATGGTCCTCCTGTGAGTGTGTGTGTATGCTTGGCACTACTTTAGTGGTAAGTAAAGCTCTGTGCCTTTCTAAAGCTTGTGTCTGCCTTTCCTCCTTCATGTCCCACATTTGTCCTTTCTCGTCTCTTGTCGTTCTGACCTTATGCCATATTAGACGTGTTCAAGGACCGAGTGTATCTGTGGGTGCCTGTCCTCCTGCCCCAATCAGTTTGGGTCCACTGATTCCAAGCCCATGTTTTGTACGATTGCTGAAAAAAATAAGCATACCTTTGTGTGTTTAGTTTTTGTACTGAAAGCTTTTACGCGGAGTGGTTTGTAACTTATGAAGAGAAGTGGAAATTGAAGCCATTTTGAACATGTTTCTCTTTTGGAGGGAGGGGCCTGTAAACGGTGGTGCTCACGTCGAACCAAAGACTTGAATCATCAGATTGTGTCTGATGCAGTGCACGTGAGAAGTTTACTCATCATTGGCATTAATCTTGATTTTTGATCTCTTAATTGATTTATTCCATCCTGGAATGCTTATGTGACAACTTCAAATAATTTTAGAAACAAGAATTAGATGAAGAGATTGAAAGGATTCAGCAGGATTCTTTGTGAATTCAGTCTTTGTAGCATCTTTGCTATAGTTAATGTCAGGGTTTTTAAAAAAGCTCAGTGCTAGCCTGCTTTATGGACTCTAAAGCTAACTGTAATCATTTCCTGTTGAAATCTCATCTGACTCAAACTTTCACCCTCAAATGAATGATGATTGGTATGAATAATCAGAAATTATCCAAAAATCACAAAGAATCGAGCCGACTGTGCACTGGAAACGATTATAAAATCAATGTTACTGTCCACGTTGCTGACCTGAAAAGAAGATCCCAGATAAAACCTTTAAATTCTGATATCAAGAGTCAAAGGTCAAAACCAACTGTCAAATATGATACAGCATACTCTGGGGCTGCTTTGCTGCCATTATTACTGATTAATTCCACAAAGTAGATTGGATAATAAAGTAACTGGACTACTTCTTAATTCTTCAACTTCAGCTTACAGCGACACTGATGACTGGAAGTTGGGAACTAGAATTTTCTATGCCAGTGATCCCAAATACCACCAAGTTAGTTTTTGGTTCAGATAAAGCAGACTTAGGTCAGCTTTTGAGAATCTCTGACAAGAAGCTGGGTCATGTTTAAAATCCAAGAAGCCTATCAATTTATTAAAATCAACATCATCAGTTATACAGTTATACCAAAGCCACTCTGGAGAATGGTTTTGTGGTCAAAGGAAACAACAGTGGAGCTGTTCAACAATAATCATGAGATTCATGTTTGGGGGAGCCTTCTACACCGGGACTTCCAAACTGTACCAAATGTCAAGCGTGGTGGTAGAAGCATCATGCTATGGGCTTGTTTTGCTGTCATACAGTTGGTTCCAACAGGACAATGATCCCAAACACACATCAAACTACACAAAATAGGCTAGCATTAAGATTTTGGTTATTTAAAGGGAACGTGTTATTAAACACATTTTTTTAATTATGGAGATTTCTCTCAATGATGAGTGCAAACCTCTTAGTGGCACATTCTTCATTGTCATGCAGTCACTTCATTCGTTAAACTGTTTTTTTTTCCCTATTAGTATATGCAAAGATTACCATACTGACAGATCCTGACATGTAAATATTTATGACTGTTACACATGCTAAAAGATTCTGCTCAAACCACACATCTTTAATAAGTTTGTCCCTCGAGAGAGTCCTTGAAGAATCGAGTAGTTTAGTGTTTCTATATTGTCTAAAAGCTTTTATGAACTCATACTGTAATGTGCTACATTTTGATACTGATCTTGTACCCATTTAGCTGCTCGTTCTCTGATCTTTGCCTCATTTTTTGTTGATTAAATATAACATGTTGATTAACAATGAACCCTCTCCAGATAAATTAGATCTCTGAGACCTGACTTTTTACCCCATGTGTCAAAAAACATGCCTTTGAATGTTATCGCTTTTACCTCTTTTTTTGTTTTGTTTTGTTTTTTTTTGTCAAATTTTCCCTTCTCAGCATCAACATTGAGTACATTTTGTCAATGCTGTTTGTGCAATAAACTAAAGTAAAAACATCAGCATGAGGGCTTTTTTTTTCCCCCATCATCTCAGTACACGCACAATCACAGGGCAAAGATGTTCTTGCAGCTCTGAAGCCTTAATTTATTCTGGCAGATGTGCAGCGGAAGGTCAGCAGAAGCCTGAAAGCAGGTTTGTGTTTGTTCTGCCATGCACCACGCAGAGCTCAAGGTAATCCTGCACAGCAGAGTTGAACAAAATATGCCTTTTGCTTCCTGTCAGGAAAAATCCAACCTCCTCTCCTCCCCTCCCCCATCAACCCCCATGTACCCCTCTCTCTCGTTCAACACATACTCTTTTGGGAGTCGTTCTCACCCACACATCCTCCCACACACAGCGGACTGACGTCACAGCCAGCCAGCAGCGACACGGCTCAGCCTTGAGCGATGAAATCCACTGCTGCTTTGGCTCTACTTTTAAGATTTTGTGAATGGAAACAGCTGATCCCGACAGAAGGCAAAGGAGCATTCAAATCCAAACATTTAAGTAATTACAACAGTATTTTGATTGAAACGTATTAAAATTGTTAAAAGGAAGGTCTTAATCTTCTTTTGCATCGTTGCCCATAAAATTTCACATGCATTTCAATGAGATGTGCTGGAATCTGCAGCGTTTCGTTTATGTATTTTTTAAGTGCAGATACTCATCAGTCCACAGGAGGTCAGCATCACACAGAGAAACCTCAACTTTGAGACAATCAGTTTTTTTGTTTTTTTTCCCTGAATAATATATATTTTTGCACAATTTGTGAACAAATCAGTTTGAAATGTTCTTTATTTTCAAGCCAATACATATGGTTTGCACTTTAAGCCAACTATTTCTAGACTATTTGGACAGTGGTATATTTTTCGGTCATTTTCAGTAGTAGTGTAAAATTTTAAATTGAAAAGGCGTGATTTTAATTTTAAATTATAACATAAAATATGTGGTGCTTTATAAACAACCCCTTTCCAGTAAAATACATAGAACAATGCCTCCACAGCCATGAGAAGTCATTTAACTAGTTAGTTGTGCATAATCTCATATATCGATACAAATCCAGCTGAGCTGTGAAGGCCTGAGAGGTTTTTTTTAAAGGGCATTAGTGAACAAACGCCATCATTACGACCAATGGGACTTAGTTCTTGGCAAGGAAACAATCTTTCAGCTGCTTGAGGGCAGCCTGGCATAGAGGCACAATATGTTCCCGTTTCTTTTGTAGATTCTATGAAAAAACAAACATACTAGCACAGTTTGACAGAAAATAGTATTTTACAGGAATGGCAGAATAGAGTAGGTGAAAACTGAAGGCATGGTCTGCTGTAATACAAATTCTGTGTTTTCTCACGTAGAAGAAAGAAATGAGCCCAATTTGTGGGTAATAATCAAAAGGACAAGCTCCTGAGAACAAGTGTCTGAAATGAGCTTCGTCCTTCAAGAGGCTGGACTTTTCAAGGAGAATGAGGATGAGGAGCTCAGGAATCCACATATTTGATACCCCCAATCACATCCAATGAGCGGGTACTGTGGGGTTAATGTTCATTACAGTCCTGATGTTCAGGGTTGTAAGAAAAGTGAGTAAAAAGCAGCCAAAATCTGCAAAACAATTCGGAAAGAGCTTCAGAAAGTCTGATGAACGTATTGATCAAGACCACCTTCAAAGATTGATGGATAATCTGCATATTTGCAGGCAAGACCAGAATCTTTAAACAGCATTGTACATCATTAAAAAACAAAAAATCTCCTCTGGGATGTTCTCTATCATTAACACAACACACTTAATAAACACATAAACATGTTAAATCTATCCTTCAGGAACTAAAGATTTCTTTTTAATTCTGTTTTATTGTGAACAGGTTAGCTGTTAGCAGTGTTGTAAGAAAAGTGAGTATGCTATGCATTGTGTTTCATTGTGTAATATGTATATTACTCTTCTGAGATATTTTACATAGTTACAAAACCAAATCATCGATGGATTTAGCCATGTTTACTTATGAGTGGATGCGAACTTCCTCTGTTCTTGTATCGATTTCTTGAGCAGACTATTGATAAATTTTGTCGCAAAAACAAAATGTTTATTCAAAGAATTTCTATCACTAGGTCTCGCAGATGTATGGACTTCTTGGCATTTTATTACATCACAAACACATGTCAATGTATTTTGGGAGGAATTTCACATGTCTGATCAACTTGAAGTACTGAAAGTTGCTTAGCAGATAGAAGAGTTTGGGCTAAAGTAATGAAGATGAACAAAAATGTGGATGCATTTCTATCTAGTCTCATATAATCTTCTGCTCCCTGCAATGTTGCCATGTTTTATTATACATATTTCTTAGTTCTTCAGAAACAAAAACCGAACACGTGTAGGAGATTTCTTTTTTTTTTCTTTATTCAAATTCTGAACAGAAACAGAAGTACATTTGCCTTTTTCATGCTCTGGCTTTCCTTCAGATTAGCCCGTCTTTAATAAGTCAAAAATCCAAACCAGGAGAGAAATACAAGAGGAAAAAGGAAGAGGAAAGTTTGTCCACGTGTGGAGCCCTAATAGAAAAATAGAAGAGCATTATTCATATGTAACTCACGCAGCATAATGCAGGAGAATTTAAGTCATGCATGTCTGATGAGATAAGGTGTGTGCTAGTCAAAATACGAGGTATTTGTCGGCTCACTTTGTTTGCTACATCCTCAGCAAATTGGTTGAGTCGAGACTGCATTAAACATGCGATTCTGGTCGTTTTCTGTTGAGCTCTTCAAATAAAACACAGGAGATCCATGCCTCACAATGTGCACAGTCACATTAGAAACGCCAGCCCACAAAGCTACAACATGACTCATAAGGCATACCCATACTCAGAAATAATGCAGTTCGAACAATACCAAAAGGAAAGCTTTGATATTAGATGGGCACTCCAGTTTTCGTGTGTCAGTCTTCTGCAGGAAGGAAAACAAATGGTTGGATATGTAGGCTCTGAGCAAAGCTTAGAAATGAAAGAAAATAAAGACTCAGGCTTTCTACAGTTTTAAAAATGAAACAAATGGATTTACTCAGAGTCAGGCTGTTGACGGCCTGACTCCATGGAAGCTGTGCTTTAAGCAGATCTGTGCTTGACTAAAACACCCAGTGACCTCATGGTGCCTTCAGATGGTGGTCTGCATGAAAAACAAAAATGCTTTCAAAAATTTCATAAACTCAAGCCTGAAAAACAGAAGAAAGGATACAGGGAAGATAAGAAGATAGGAGACAAGAAATGATAAAAGAAGGAAGACAGAGAAAGGAAGAAAGTAAAAATAAAATGAAAGGAAGCAAAAGAAAAAAGAAAGATATGAATAAAAGAAAGAAACAAAGTGGGGAGAAAGAAAAGTAGGAAAAAAGACAAAAAGAAGTAAACACAGAAAGATGAAAAAGGGGGGAGGGTTGATATACAAAATCAATCATAAGAAAAAGAAAGAACAGGGAAGAAATGAAAAGAGGAAATTTAAAAAGAAAGGAAGGACATAACATCAAGGAAATGAGATGTGGAATCATGTCAAGAAATACAATATGTTGCTTATTTTCCGGACTTTTGCTGATTTGGAAAAATATTCCAGATTTCACATACTGTGTGGGACTCCAATATATATCCATCTGACTTTTGATGTGCAGATTACATCAAAAGGGTGATTCGTTTCACTTTAATGGTTTATGAACAGAAAACCTAACAAAGTTTTCCAATCACTCCACCTGGTCTCTTTTGATGATTCTACACAAACCTAAAATGCTTCATACTTCTGCAGACTTCTTATGTGCAATCTCAACATTTGTAAGATTGTGCATAGAAGCTCAGTCTGACTCTCAGCTAGTATAAAACTGGCACATTGTAATGTGAGGAATAGCTTAACAATTAACCAGAATGTTGAATTTTCCTAAATGTTAAGTCAAATTTATGGCACCTACACCTGAGAAAACATCAAATGGGGCACAAAAGGCAAACAAAGATCTACACAATAGGAAATTGTTTGTTGTTTTGCTTTATGTAATCCAGTGCTGGTTTAAGACATACTCTAGTAGTATGTGTTGCTATAGCATTTCTGCAAAGAAAAAATGCATTGTGTTTCAGAAAAGAGCAGATTGAGATAAGACTAGATATTTCCATGTCCTGGTTTAGGTTACAAATTATTTCTTTTTGCTAAATGCAATAATAAGGGATGTGTCCAAAAAAATGTTTTTGTCCTTGAGTGCATTTTTCGAATGTAAACTGGCTTTTTATCATTGTTTTGGAGATATGGCTTCTTCCTCGTTGATTGACATTTTAGTTCATGTAAGTACAAGACTTGTTTACTAAAAGCACTATTACAGAATCGTTACGAAGTCAGAAGGAGACATAGAACCTGTCTCCTTCCTGGTATCATAGACTCAGCCTTAGATTAGAGCTATTGGCCACAGATCGTATCTACTGGCTTCCAGGATCTTTTTTGAGGTTTACTAGAGCCTGGAGGAACCTTATGTCCCTTCTGGCCTGGGAATGCCAATGCACTGGAGAGTTTCATTGGATATTTCTTCTGCATGTAGACTCTAAGCAGCAGTCTTGAATAGGTGGAAGACTATAGATGACCACTAGAGATGTTCTTTGCAGACGTATCATTTTTTCTAAAGCCTGTTTCACTTTAATTGATCAGTAAGAATAATTCTGCAGGAATCGAGTTGATTATGTTTCCCTTTGACAAAGTTAAGTGTTTTTAGGACATTTTAAGTTTTTGTTGCTCACTGCAGCCTTTTATATTCCTGATAATCATAACAGTGGAATGAGCTTCTACCATTGGTGCAAAAGGTAAAAAAAAAAAAGAAAAAGAAAAAAAAGAGGTACCCTGAAAATATCTAACCATGGCTTTTGAAATAAAATGTGACATTTTGTGTTCCAGCTGTCAGTACTGAATCATCAGAGCTGAAGTTTCGCCCTGCAGAAATTCATGTGATATGAGAGCAACTTTTCTCAAGGCACATTGTGTATATTTGTGTGACAAGAGAGGTATGTATAAAACTGAGCCAAAATATATTTCAATTTGTCAGTTATTAATAATTCTTTGCGGCAAACTAAGGGGTCAAGACATAGCTGCAATCGTTGGTTTTACAAATTGTGGTAGAAATTCAGCACAGTTCAACAAGAATTTCCATAATGTGAGAACCTCACACAGAGGCCATGCATTTTTCAGTAGGATCTGGAAACAAGGCACAGGAAGGGAGGGAGCACATAATTCAATTTGCATTGCAAGCCACAGGTCCTACTGTTTCTACACCTCTTCATCCTTCAGAAGAGGCTCTACAACCACAGTCCAATGCATAAAGTTTCAAACAACTCAAAAGCTTATTTACAGATTTACAAAAAAAGATTCTTCAACCTCTGGACAAATGCGAGCAACACAGAGATACCAAGAGCAAAAATAAAACACAACAGAGACAAACAACACTCTTCGTGTCTTTTGCCAGAAAGTCAGAGCAACACAGTGTTTGATTTTCCTCTCCTCCCTGACGAGGTGTCATCATCTGATCTTCAGTCGCTCTGATGAGCCGGCCAAATGCGGCTATGTCAGCCTTCAGCAGAAAATCTGAAGGGATCGAGTCACACTCCCGAGTGTTACAGCTCATCTCTGGTTGCAAAAGCGAAGAGGAGCAGAGCCCAAGAACCTCTGCATGCACTGCCTCTGCTGCAGGCTGCATTCTGGAGAATTAAAAAAGGCCAGGGACGTTTCAGCTCTTCAGCAGAAGCTAACTGGCCGTCTTGGATGGTGTGCTTTCAGAGTCGCCGCAGCAGCAGGGCGTGCTGCCGGCTTTGTCCGCTGGGCAGGCTTTGGTTTCCGTGGCATCGTCATTGTAGGGGCTGGCATGGGCGGAAACACTCTGGCCACTTTGTCTCTTCTTGTTCAGGTCCTCCCAATTGGCCCTGTTTGCTCGAATCATATCAACCATTGGCTGAAGTTTGGGATTCAACTTGACAAGAGTCTAAAAAGAGATGGAAGAAAAATCTTTAAAAACAGTTACATAGTTACATAAAATGTTTTTGTGAAATCAATTACTGTGTTAAAATGTGTATAATTGATCATACACTGATGCTTCATTAAGACACGATTGTGAATTATGAAGTTATAAAAGTTAACTCTGGTTCAACGTCCAGTTGGTAAAATATTTCTAGAAAACCTCGATGTTTCTCTCACAGTCTAAGTCAGTTGCAGCTTTTCAAAGTTTCCGAGACATCGGTGGTTCGCTTTGAGATTTGAACGTACTGCTGCTTAATAATGAACTCAAACTCGGCATTGTTCATCGAATGAATAATTTAAGGAAGAAGAAATAAAACAATATGCATAGAGGGAGAACAACCCACGACAAAAGTGAAAACAAACAAGCACTTGATAGCTGCAGTCCATCAAAACGCCTGCTCTTTAAAGATTAGAAGCACATGTGTGACTGAGATTAGTTGCTGTTGTCATTTTTCTCTGTTCAGGTGTAACTGGCAGGGTAAGCAAACTTGTCACCTTCCACTTGATAAATTACCAGGAAGACATTGTCTAACAAGTCTCTGCAATTACTTATTGTGTCATTAACTCTGTTTCATATGCAAATATAACATCTGTATGCATCCAATTCACAAAAGTGAGGAAATAAGTGTGAAAAGTCTCCAGTTAACCCTTAACTTTTAAACAACAGCGCAAATAGGGGTGGGTGTGAAAGGCATCCATTTTTCCAGAGATAAATTGGTCATATATTGCAGTTGATTGAGGAATCTCTCAAAGAAGGATCCAAAGCTACATGTTTAAAAATATACCCCAAGTAAGGCTAGGATCATTTCTATCTCACCAACAAGTTAAGGTAATTCAAAATTAAGGAACAAAAGTAATGAAGATAACTTTGAGAACTACATTAAAAGAATAGTAATAACGTTTGTCATTTGTGAACAGAATGATCTTGATTGAATATTTTTTGATAATATTGTAGTTTACATTTCCCCCCACCCCCAAAATATTTTTGTCTCCATGCTTCAGATACTAAACAACAAATTTAAAACATTTATGTCTTCAAACATCTTTACTCCTGCTGACACTACTGCACATTAGACTACATTATTGGGACAGACAATGTTGTTTTATGGTCTGATCATTTTGTAAAAATTTATCTTTGAGGCCTTTGTGCTAATTTTTGCAGCAACTAAAGGTTTGCATAATTTTTTTCCACCCATGTCAGTATATATTTTATAATTTTGTCAAAAAATAATAAATGATTAGGTATACTATTGTATTAAACAACAAAACAAATAGGGGGGGTCGAAAACTTGTAAAAACAAACACACAAAAAAGTACAAAATGCCCCGTGAATATTTGCTGTGTTTTTACAGCACTCTCTTTGGGAGATTGCTCAGTTATTTCCGCAGCACGATCGCTCCATTATTTAGTCTTAGAGAGACAGAAAGAGTCTACCGTCTCGTGCTGAGGTATGAGGACGGAAGCTTACATAATCGGGGACTATTAATATTCCACCACCACCAGGATGAGGAGATCAGCGAAATCAAGAACAAGATCTCTTACACCCACGGACAAAAATCCTACCGCCTCTGAACTTTTCTCTGTTCGCCTCCCCCCTGCCCTCCTCTGCCTTTCCCTCCTCCAGCAAGTTTAACTGGCAGAAGCAAAAGCGTGAGCTCCATATCTGCATTCTCCAAACATCAGTCCTTCAGATGAGGCAGAATCTCCTCACCCCCTACACGCACTGAGCTTTGCCATGTTAGCATCTACACACCACAGACAGTAACACCAGTGAAATTACAGCCCAGCAAAGATTAGTCCATTCGAACTTGCACCGACTGATCGGAAGACAATTCATCAGCACTCTGGAATTACTTTCATAATACCAAAAAGTAACGTGCTTCTGTACATTGCTGTGGAGATCAGTGATTTATTTCTTTAACAACTCATCCTCTTTGTGAGTTTCATCAATGTAACTTGATCACGCATCATGCTTTGACAGAGCTGATCTCCTCAGTAAGTTTGCCTTTTTCCTCCTCCCACGCAGCTGCTGGATGTGGGAGGGGCAGACCAGCCTCGACTGACGTCACACACAAACACAAACTTGTATATAGGCGCATTGCTAAATAGGCTGGCTGTTCACAGAGTACTGCATCCTAGCATTTTAAGGGAATGTTTAGTGGAAGGGAAAAGTCTGGATGAAAAACAGGACATAAGCAACAGAGATAGCTCCAGGCTTGATAGAGTTATGGATTATAACATTTACTTTCATGGCTGGTCACACACAGCCAAAATAACCAATAACTGGTTCTATGACATGGGTATCACCACACGTGATTAGCCAACAAACTCACCTGACCTGAACCTTGTAGAAAATCTCCACAACTTTCTAAAGAAGATGATTCAAATCAGCAACTCTGACAATGCAAACAAGCTGGAAGTCACTTACAGTAACCAGGGCTTCCTGAAAACCTCAGCAAAGTCACAGACCAATGGCCACTGAGTGGATAGACTGTACAGTACCACACTTTTTCTTTCCACTAAACTTTCCGTAATATGTTAGTACTCTGAGATCAGCCAAGCAGCAGTGAAGCTTTGTAGCTTCACTGTCCTTGTCAAGTTGTCAGTTCTTCCTTATGATTGTGTGGATAATATGCTTATTGAAAATATTTTTACTTGCCAAATATTGTCATTTTTGAAGGCTGAAAATTAAATGGAATACACAAAATATTATCCTCTGTGTGATATTCAAATTCACTGAGACAGACCCAGACAAGTTAGAATAGCAAAAATCTCCCTAAAAAGTAACCAGGAAGTAACTCGACTTCATATTTTTACATAGCAAAGATTCATCTGTAAAAGAAGCCAGAATTTCCTGTGTCTAAAGCTAATAGAGGTCAAAAGTGAAGCCACTGCAGACCGTCTTACAGAGGAGATTCAACCTGACTCACATCTCTATTCGCTCACAGTCACAAAGTGCACGCTCGCTCTGCTGCTCTGAACAAGAACGTAACCTTGAAGCTTTTTCAGAGCGCCTCGATTGAAAGCGTTTCTCTCTTTCACAGAGAAACCTGCGCCTGCAAAGAAAGTCAAACACTCGCTGGCGACAGTTTCACTGCTGCCGTCAGCGAGGGACAATAACCGAGGAAGGACGGCGTCTGCTGATGTCAGAGGCGGATGTGCTACAAGCGTGACACAGTGAAGGCCGGAGAGCAGCCATTCGTGTGGGTTTTCTTTCTTTTTTTCTTCTTTTTTACCTCGTACAGAGGCGAGCAGATTCCATCAATCCACTCCAGCTGCAGCCCAGGAAGCTCATCCTTCCTGTTACGGTCAAAGATGGCCTGAAAGGCAAAAAGAGAGAGAGAGAGAGAGAGAGAGAGAGAGCAAGAGTTGTTTGCTGTTATGATTTTCATGCTCGTACAGGCCCTGAAGTGTTGCTTTTAGTGCTCTCCTCTTAGGAACTTCTTCTTTCCGCTCTCAAGTCAGATGAGTTTATTTCACGCCCATTTTCTCCTCTCCCTCATTCATGCAGCCTGAGCTTAAGAGGCTCAGCTGAGGCTGCGCTTCAGAGATAGTTACCGGGCTACGACTCAGAAGTTAATATTTCATTTCCAACGCCCACATACAACAGAGAGCTAAAGGTTCGGCACAAGCAGCAGACCTGAGACTGACCTGAAATATTACTTATTTCAGAGGGGAGGCAATGTGGCCAGGCTCGATTACTTAATTGCAGGCAGAAGCCAGACAGTTTTCTCCTTTCTAGGCTGACAGTACACCTCTGCTGGCTGCAGCCATGAGGGTAATGGAAATATTTCTGAATGAACACAATCTTTGTAATTAGGACCATTTCTAAACCAAGTTACATTGTCACTGTGCATACCTTGTGACCATTTTCATATTTTGTCTCATTTTGTCAATTTCACTGTTTCATTGGGATGTAAAGTGGTAAACCAAAACAAAGGCGCGCGTGATTGTCCTCTCATTGTCATGGAAATGATGGAAAAGGAAAATGTAGAGGCATCTTAAGTTAAATGCCAGGTTAAATTAAACATAAAACAATCTTTTGGATCTCGAGACATCACTACGTATGGCAGATTGTTCTGAATACAACATCCACATAATGGAGGCAGTATTATGCTGTGGGAATGTTTCTGTTCAGCAAGGACAGGGGGAATCCTGAAAGAAAAGCTATTAAAGGACAACAACCATAAAAAGCCAGACCAACATTGGGATGGCTTATATGAAAGTATTTCATTGTGTTAGATTGGCCCAGTCAAAGTACTGACCTAAATAGAATGAAGAATCTGTGACAAGACTTTAAAATTCATGCTGTTAAATGTTTTCTATCCAATCTGCCTGTGTTTCAGTTCTTTTCCAAAGAAAAATAAAAACAATTCTTGGTTTCTGGATGTGCAAAACAGGAATTTCTACGATAACTTTGAGAATAAACACAAATGTAGTCCACACTTTTTAGATTTTCATTCCTAAAATCTTTGGAAACCATTCACAACTTTACACCTAGTTTAAATGCATTCACTATATTTTGTTGGTCTAAAGTCACAGTAATAAATGTTGAAGTTCTGGGGTTTATGGTGAAAAATGGGAGGGGAAAAAATCCAACAGCATAAATAGTTTTGCAAGGCCTTGGGTCTGCAAAACTGTCTTTGGGTTTGCAGATGAACCAATAGAAAAAAATCTGCTATGAATGCAGGGCAGCGGCGCGGTCAAGCTGACCCTACATTTTCCTCAAGCTAAGAGACACAAGCTCTCGTGTTTCCTACAAAGTCAGTGTGTTTCCGAACAGCAGAAAAAATATATCATCGTGTCGGCATCATCAGCTCTCAGAGGGCAAGGGGGTGAGAGAAGCTGCAAAAAGCACAAACGCTGAGCTGGTCTGATTTACTCACAGAGGGCGTGAGCTTTAGCTCCAGTCGTTCTCGGTCTCCCTGCTCAAAGAATTCACTCGTCACCAACTCTGCAACCTGAGGAAGAAATTGAAAGAAAATCCTACTTTTTTAGTATTAAAAGGGTGGAGAGTAGTGAGCTGAATCAGTGTATTATAGACCAGTCCCCCAACTAAGCAGCTTTGTTAGGAAGCAAGAAAGATCGAAATCATCTACTCTGATAACTTTCAGCCCCGTGTGAACATAAGAAACACGTTAACACGTTTCACAGCATATTTGTCACCTTGTGTGATATTTCCCATGGCTTCGTGACAGCTCCAAGATCGCAGGCTGTCATCATCATAGACCTGAGAAGAAGGAACAGAGTTATATTAAGCCTTGGAAACTATGACGTGTGTATTTTGTACTTTCAGGGACAACTAGACACAACCTCACCTGCACATGTCTCTGTGAGCCTTAACATTCCAGTTGTACTCCCCTTTGCTGACCAGTTCAAAGAACGTGTTTCTTTTCCTGAAGGGAAGGAAACAAAAGACCTTCTGGATGAAGTTGCAAATCGCATTCTGTCCACGAGGGGGTGCTGTTCGCTAGAACAACCACTCATCTCAGCAAGCAGTCTGCTGAAATGAGCCTGACGGCTGCCAGTGCGCTTTATGTTGTGGATTCAGTGGGTTTAGAGGAACATACTCAAAGTAAAGCGTGAGGTCTGTGGCCAGGATGGACTGTTTGAGCAGCTGCATGAGGTCGCTGTACTCCGTGGAGGAGAGGTTGGAGAAAATGTTGTGACCCTGTGGAGACAAACCTGGTTATTACACGACAGAAAGAGCACAACGCTTCACATCAAAAATACTGGCCGGCTCTGTGCGAATTACTTTTTAGATTCCTACCATCCTTAATACAGATTGGACACCCTGTTGAATATTCAGTTTTCAGGACATTTTCATCTATTGATATTTCTTAATATACCTCAGGAAAAAGCCTTCACTGCATAATTCCTGCTGGATGTTTGACCACTGATGAGGCTTAAAATGCATCCAGTCTGACTGGATTTAAGTTATTTAGTCAGGAACACAATCCAACACTTTCAAATAGCTCTAACATTTTTGCATAAGAGAGTGGTCAGACATCCATTAAGACTATCCTAGAGTCTTATTAATGGCAACAAAAGAAGATGTGAATTGCAGAGTTACATTTATGAAAATAACAGTGGAAGTGCATCTATATATATTCGAGTCTGTAGGTATAATTTTGACCCTAATGGCCTAAAGAAAGTTCAAACTAGTCCACTCAATTGTACTTCATGAACCATTAAAAGTTAAATATTCAACATTAAAACCCTAAAAATGACTGTTACAATCCTACCAAGGACAATAAATTCACATGAAAATAATAATATTAAAAAATCTGTTTTTAATTTCAGAATTTTGACTTTATTTCTTTTGGGAATTCTGAGATTAAAGTTATAATTCTAAAAAAAAAAAAACAATATTAATGCAGACAGATAATTGGGAGCAGCCAGCTTCAGTGACAAAAAGGTGTGCAAGAGGTGAACTGACATTCTAGAGGAACATGTTGGATTTAAGTGATTTTTTTGTGGTCCTAATCCTCTTTCTTACAACTATTGAAACGTTAACATGGTGCCTTGCACAAGCTGGATCAACTCTTAAAGCAGAGCGTTAAGCGTGATTTGTTTTTTCATCTTAATGGTGCTCCAAGTTATTTTCTGATCAAACCAATGCAGACATGAATGTGCCACATTTAATATACCAGCCGACTGCTTCCTCCATCCATGACTATGTTTGAAACATGTCTGCGTTGTTGAGCCAACTTCCTCCTGCTGCTTCACTGAAAGGCATGCCTGCTTTCGCTTCAGTGGCTCAAGTCACAAAATCAGTTCTAGTTTTAGTTTACAGGCTCATAGCCACCATGCTGACTTTTCATAGCAGGACGCACACAAACCTTTCACATAAAATTAAGGTTTTAATCCAGTTAAACCAAAAAAGGCATTCACAAATTTGTGGCAGTATGCAAAATCATTGCCCAGAGCGTTTTTTTTATTATTATTTCTGCACTTAAATGATTCCTACAATTAAATAAACCATGACTAGTCCATCTCCTGTTGCCTGTGATGTAATGGATGCTGTGGGAAAGGAAATTCCTCCAGTTTAGCACATCATAATGTGTTTACCAGGTCTTGGAGGTGGTGCTGTAAATGTGGAAAATACGACTGAACCTTCTATGACTTAAAATGAGTGGAGTCTGATCAATTTCCTAAACTCACATCAGCATGAGGCTGAAAACATGTATCAAAAGGCGAACATATCAGCAAATTTCACCATTTAATTTTTTATGCATTGTTTTTTGCTTGTTGGAGTAGAACCATATGTAGTTGCCGAAGCTATCTGACATTGTGAGTGGGAAAAATCTGCAGAGTCTTAACGTCATCACTACACACAAACTGGTTTTAAACATAATTAGTAAAATAATTGGGTGGTAAAAAAAAAGAATAAAAGAGAGAGATACATTCATGTCTGTGGTTTCTGATTAGAAGCTAGTTGTCAGATTATTATCTGAGATTCTGTTACGTTCACAAGTTTGAATTTATTGTGAATTTTCTCCAATTCACAGAAACTCAGTGTTGAGTTTTATTTTTAACACTATAACAAATCAAAAGGCTTTTTCATGGGATTTTTTCCAATGAAACTAATTGGATCTGTGTAGGGGAGCAGCTTCCCAACAGCTGCTAATAAGTGAGCGCCTTATCTTGGGTTTTTAACGCAGCATGTACGGTACATTCATTCACCATCCAGGCGCTCTACTGGAGAGTCAACGGAGCTCTTAAAACCAGATAACCACTGTTTTAAACACAGACGACTTAGCTCTGAACATTTGTGCAAACATGCCCCTGACTTCTCTCATCATCTCAGAGGTCCACGTAAAAACACTGAACCTCGTTCACAGCTGTGACGTAAAGGACGTCTGTGGTGCTGGCACACCTGCTGCAGATGGAGAAGGAGGCGAGAGACGCAAAGGTGACGAGTGACAATTCGACCCCTTTACACTTTTATCAGAGCTCAACTGAATCATCAGCAGCCATGCCTTCTACCCGAATTAGTCACACACTATTCATTTGTATTCTAATTAACATGAGGACGACAGCAGATCCAGCCCCGCATTAACAGACGCCTTGCAGTCGAGGTAAACATTTGTCAGCTCGCCGTGTTGTCAGCGCCGGGATAATGAAGTCACTGGATTCCTCTCCTCAGCCCCGTCCCCTCAAAAAACACCTTCAATTACAAGTGCATGAAACCTGACCACCTGGTAAAACGTCGCTCTCCCAACCAATTACCACTGAATCTATCATCTCTGTAATTAGATTGATTTGAAGGCAGCCTGAGTAAACAAATAGCTGAGGGAGCACACGTTTGCCTTCAAGCACAGTGAGTGCAAACTCATTCATTTTTTATGTGGCCTTTAGTACCTTTAATTCATTTAAACTTGGAAACAACATTATTTCAACGGGTGTAACCCACCAGAGTGGAGCTGAACATAAGAAACTTCATGTCAATGTATAATCATGTTTTTTTTTGTTTTCTTTTATGTTTAATTATGTTATCAAAATTCCTTCAGCTACAATTTCTGTTATAATTTGTTGACAAAAGCGTTAACTTTTAAACACTTGTTTAATGATGTTCTGTACTTTGTTTTAACTGTTAACTAAAAGCCCTGAAAAGTTCTTTGTTTTTTAAACTAATTCCTTACTCTAATGGTTGAGCAGGAATAAATTAACAGGCTTTTTTCCTGCCCCAATCTGGCCTCAGAGTGTAAAAAAGACTGCACTCGACTTCATTAATAAAATAGTGGTTATTACCAGTTAATCAACACTTATTTCTAAGGAAATAAAATCACATCACCAGGAGTGTGAAAAACACTCCTGGTGATGTGACTGGTTATTATCAATAAAAAAGAAGGTTTTATCTTTATTTTTGTTATCAATAAAAATGAGATACAACCTTTAAGCAGTAGGGATCCGCAATGTAGCCCTTTAGATGACTTTCTGAGGCTCTGCTTTAAGAAATGGTGCAGAACCAGCTTGTCAGCACAAGCCATTGATACAAGTTGACGCTTATTAAAAATGCTTTTTGGCTAAAATTTTCACTGCGTCTTTCTTGAAGCTTTTCCAAAAAGATGCAGCCAAATTAAACTCTTGTCCAGATGTCAAATCTTTGGTAAATGTAAAGTGTTCATCTTTTATTTTTTGCGTTTCCGGTTGCATCCAGTGTCTTATAAAATTGTGGACTTGTGTACATGCATACCTACTTTTAAAATCAACCAAACATCGCAAAACTTTTCAAATTCTGATGTGACTGTTAAGAATAAAAATAAATAAAATTCCAGATGAAGACATTTAATAGTTTTCTTTAAACTGTCCTGGAATGCAAATTATTTACAAATTTCTTCAATAAATAAATTTGATTACTTCATTTTATTAAAATATTCTAAAATAAATAATTAATCTATTTCAGATAAGCTGAAATAGACTACTTATTTAGTTGTTTAATCTTTTCTTTACTTTTCCTAATCCATCAGATGCCTTTGCTTTTCAGTTGGATTGCAGTTTGGAAAAATGTGAAATCAAACACATGACTCCTTTTAACAGAAGCACATAACAAATGTAATTGATCGTGCTATTACACTTTGCACCACGTTAACACGTACAGTCTTTATAAAAACAAGGTGCTCCTTGATTTTAAGTACAAAGATTTATTTTTTTAAATGATGATCTCATATCCATCAAGTTCTCAAAATATTTAAATATAATCTTAAGCATCCAAATCTAAACATATTGCAACATGTTGTTAATCATTTAAAAAACTGCAACCTTGAGGCAATTATCAAACAAACTTTTTATTGGGCCCACATTTCTACATTAAAAATATTTTATTATTATTATTGTTGATTTGCTCTGATATTTTAATCTCAAGAACTGTAGTTAATCTACATAATGTATTTCACTTAGTCTATCCAATTACTGAAATAAAGCAACTTTCCAATACTATTCTATTTATTTAGACGCAGATGTAAAGGAGCAGGCAGGTGATTCTCGTCCGGTTCACCTGACTGATGGATCCTCAGCAGAGGACTCTAGAGGCATCTCCTTACATTTTACATGTTTTTGTGGGCGAGATGCTTCATAAAAAAATACATAAGTTGCATTTCAATAAACAACAACACTTCTATAACAATCTTTTTTGGTCCTAAGAAACAAATTAGTACCCGTTAGCTCCTTACTCTGCAGATATAAGAGCTAAAGCAATGTCACAAAGCATAGGCTAAAATGCCTTCGCACTGATACAAAAATCGGATTAAGTCATACAGAAAACATCTACGTCAAGTTCTTCCTACTAAAAGTAGTTTTACAGGCCATCACATCACAAGTTGTACTTTTCCACAGATTTCTTTTCCATTTTCTGTCTTTTTAATTTAGTAAATTACGACAGCTTGGAATCTCTTGTGTGTTTTTGTGCACTTGAGATGTAAATGGTTTTAGAACCTGGTAGGGACCAGTTCTTAGCTGTAAAACAGTGTGTACTTTCTTTCTTCCATTACTGCACTGTATTCACATTATCCAGTTATCTAAAGCAGCCTTCTGCAACAGTTGTGCAATAAGAGACATAAAGTCCAGTTTCTACTGAAGGAATGTGGATGAAATTGCAGCTGCAGACTGCACTTTAAAAATATCCCATCTCCGAAGGGAACAAAGGTTAAAGGCTCTATTGCCAGCAGTGTTTGTAATCACATGCAGCAGAAGGTGAACGGTAACTGCATTGCAGCAGATATTGGAACATAACACACCTCGCTCTGCAGGATCATAACAGCGTGGTTAAAGTGGTGGTGTTCCAGCGTAGCAGAGGTCCCATAAAGCAAAGAGAGGGCAGAACCCGTCCTGCCACACACACACACACACACACAAACACACACACACACACACACACAAAAAAAAAAAAACAAACAAAAACACATTGGGATAAAAAAAGAAGGATAGCATAATAAGTTTTCCACAAGAGCTGTGAAGTAAAATCTGCTCTAAAACTCTCTTTGGATTTCCTCTCCAGTTCAGTCTGTCTCTAACTTATGGTTCAATAAAAAAGGACACTTGAGACTCATAACCCAAACTGCAGATGAAACTGTAATGTCAAAGTCTGAATGTGGTCATTAGCTGATCTTAAAAAAACAGGTCCCCATACAGCTTGAGAATTGTTTACTTAAGGTAAAGCTTGTAAGTTTAGATATATTTTAATTTTGAAACAAAAATAAATATTAATAGAAATTGCAGTTGCTCTGGTTTATAAAACCAGAATGAATATATGAGGGATGAATTGTCTGAAATAGACCAAACTCCACCTTACAAATTAAGGAGTCGGAAGAGATGACCACTTTTTCATTTAAATTAAGGTTTCTGTTAAAGGTTTCATAGTTTATATTTTGTCATATAAATTAAAAGATAAATTTGAGCAAAAACTGTGAACAGGAAGGAAAATGCTTGGTGGTTGTCCAATTCGTTTAGAACTAACAACAGAATATTGAAATGGGCGTTTATATTCAGCCCGATTTACTATGAAACAAAAAATAAATTCCCACATTTTTTTTCAGAATTACTTAAATAGTAAATAGAAATTCCAGTATACATCCAGCTGTTCTGTGAAGGCTGCAGAGGCGTTAAGAGAATATTAGTAAGCACTCAACAGCATGAAGACACATTGAGGTTTGTGGTTGCAACATGACAAAATGTGAAAACCGTAAACGATTATGAATCCTTGTGGAATGTATTGCAAATATTAAAACATTTTGCTGCACAATATGCAACAGGTTGTGTGCTTATGCTTATGCATATGTTTGCAGCAGCAGAAGCAGAAATGAAGTGCACTCACTTGGCCTGAAAAGCATTGTTGGTGCCCCTGTGGTCCAGGTCGTGGCACACACAACCCACAATAAGAGCAAAGATCTCCAGCTCAGTCAGCGTCTCCTGGAAACCCGCCGTCTGATTGGCACAGAGGACAGGAAGCAAATAAAACACACACACACACACACACACGCACATGCACACACACACACGCACACGCACACACACACACACACACACACACACACACACACACACACACACACACACACAATTTATGAGCATCAGCACACCATTATTCAATGAAATCCTGAGCACATTGAATAAAAATGGAAAAACAGCACCATCAAGCTAAAAAAAGAAAAACAAAAACACAGCATCTTCACAAAATGCCATAGGGACTGCAGTTGCATTGCTCTACATTTCTAGCTCGGATGAATGGGTTTCAGAGATCATGTGCTGACTGAGTCACTGTGGGTCACTGCAGGGATGACAGCAAAGATAGAGGGGCCCTCGGCCTCCTCATTACGACCTAGAGGTACAGAGGAACCTTGAACAGCTTACACACTGTTATTTCAATTCCCCCTGTCAATAATCAATTCAAATGGGACAGTGCACATTAATGCCACAGTTGATTAAATGGTGTTAGCTTAGCACATTAGGTGCTCATGTTGCCCCAAGGACCTCAAGAAAAAAGAATCACATGCTGCAAGTGATTCATCCAGCTGATCTCCATTCATTCAAATATCTGCACAGAACCACAGTTAATAAACACACAAAGTCATCTTACTGAGTTGATCTCAGGTTTGAAATCCAATTATTAAATTAATATGAGAATTTTAACCCACAAATGCATGGATCAGTGCACTCATCAGCCTAATGATTATTTACTGAGGAGCAAAGTCTTGGTGTTTTGATTCAGATTCAGATTCAGCGTGAACGCCGCTGAATCTGGCCCTCACTTTAACCCACATTCTGGCGAGGACTCTTCTTTCTGTACCTCCAGTGATGAAGTGGATATGAAGATGTGGAAAAAAATAGGAAACTCCCTCTGGATATAAAGACAGATTGGGCCTTTGTCTGCAGTAATGTCCAGCTGCTGGACTCCAGATTCTGAAATGAGCGTCCTCGATAGAGCGGCTGGGCTCCTTAATCCCAGGGGAGCTCAGCTGTTCTTTAAAATCGAAAGGCATAAAATAAGATGGTTAAGGCATCTGTTTACCTCTTGGGCAGCTTACTTTGGAGGGACTCCAGTAAAGCACCAGAACTAAGTCGGTATGTATTTTCCATCTGTAGCATATATGTTTTCTTGTTAAATTAAAAGCAGATAAAGGTTAAGAGTGCCTATTATTTTCTGCTGAATTTAAAGCTACTTCTATAAAGTAAATTGTGATACATTTCCTCTTGAGTTTTGGACATCAGAGGCAGTTCAAAGAGAACAACAGCAATTGGGACCTGGCATAAAAAGCCAGATCAGGCTTTTTTCTTCCAGGTGGTAAAATTCAAGTTTTTCATACCTAGTTTATCGAATTTGTGATAACAACTACAAAAGTTGCAATAATGTTACCTAAACCATCCTTAGAAATCATCCGTGCTAATATGTGCATACCGTTAGCATGGCAAACATGCACTGGCAAACGTTGAATGCATGTCTCCAGTTGTGGTAGAGGACCATTCTGTAGTTTTTTCTGACAGTCAGCAGCCATCTGCACAGTGTCTGGAGGGGAAGACGGACAGAAAGAGATAAGAGCATGGGTCAGTGGTTTCATGAGGACCTACAACAGCATTCATAGCAAGCCCAATCAAGTATTTAAAGCAAATAAGATACAGAAGCGCTGCTCTTTTACCTCGTAGTCGATCTTAAACTTCTGCACCATTCCCAGCTCGATGAACATCCGCAGAGCAGCTGTTATCATCGCGTCGACATCCAAGGAGAAATCATCAAAGGAGAGCTTATCAATGCCCAGCTCGCAGACCAGGGGAATGTTAGCAGCCTGTTTCATCATGGTGAGAGCAAACATAGAGGAAGAATGAGAACATGAGCCCACAGAGCAGACGTGGAGGTCAGTGGAGCCATTTTTGGATGATGTATGAAAATATGAAAGCATGCTAATTAAGACTCAGAGGCCTCGTTTTCAGAGGGCTGATATTAATGAGGGAGTTTTACTGAAGGATTTCTCTGTTGTTTACTTTCTGAGCTCATTGACAAGTTGTGCAATAGTAATGCTCAGCAGCTTTTTGGCATTGTTACTCAAACAAAAACAAAAATAATTTCCAATTAACCACTCTCAGCATGAGTCTTTTATCATGCACATCTGAGCAGAAAAACTAATTCCTGTCTGTGTTGACAAGAATGACCATTTCAGACTTTCTACTTTCTAACCTCCATTTATTCTCTAGTAAAGCACATTCAGTGATGAGTCTTCAGTGTCAGCGCCAGTGTGTCTTGTTTCTCTCACAAACATTTGCCTGTCAGGTCGGTAAGTATTCCAACTCTCTCAATTCACAGCCCCAGGTGACAAAATGGCATCCAGGTTTGTTTGTCACTACGTTTTTGCACTCCAGTGGAATCCCAGGCAAGTGAGCTCAATGGGGCTCTCTCTGTATGTAGAGCAGTTATGAAAGGAAGAACGGGGGGGAAAGGCAGGCAGCAGAGCATCGCGCTGAATGAGGGGGGCTGAAGCATCACACGAATTCATGAGAGAGCGACAAGGAATCCTACTATGAATATATTGTTGGCCATAGGGGAAAATTGTGCTCATGAAACTGGAAGAAAATAGGTCACATCTATGTTTCAGAAATGTAATGCTCTTAAAAAGTATAATTATGGCCAATTTTGTCATTCGTCTATAAATAATGCATTGTGAATGATTACTTATTGACTGAAGCAATCCATTTCTAATGACACAATTGGTCTGTTTTCACTTAACACTTGTTGGTTTATCATTATTTTTGTTTGAACAAGTCAAAAATAAAACACTCATTAAGCAAAGAATTTATTAAACTTAAATGAGTCATTTACAATTGAAGTAATTATAGGAGCAAATATGTTACCTTAAATTTATCCACTTCAGTCTTGGAGCAAGTGGCGTGGTAAGACAGAACCTGCAAAATAATAACAGTGTCAGTTTTGTTTTTTAATTCAGTAATATTTCTTTCAAGACAACTGAAAACACCACAGTGGTGTTCAATTTGTGGATCTCCCTGATTAAGTCAGCGGTGGCATGTGGATCTGCTCTAGTAGCAGCATCAGCACAGATTGGGTCGCCATGTTCCTCTCATTCCCTGGGAGAAATACTTTGCACACTCTTGCAGTAGCTTATTTAATCATAAACGCTCATGTTTATTCAGGGATGCCAGGAACAAAGCACACACACTCGCATTATTTCATTCTGCATTTGTCTCCGGCTATCTGTTCTCTGCCTCTCGTACTTGAAACACTGGTGCTAACCAATGTGCCCACCAGCTCCCAGTTGTAATCTTCGGACACATTGTAAAGGCTGACGAGTCCTGAATGGTTGCAATCTGCAGATCAGATGAGGGATTGCTTTACACTGACTCTCATTAATTTCCAATAAAATCTTTGTGAGAAGATTATCTACAAAGAGAGATCAGCATTTTTCATGCATGCATTCCTTTGGATATATAAAATTTAAAAAGTTATACAAAGACCCATGAGACAAATAACTGAAAATGAAATTTGTAATTTCCACTTTGCAACTGTTACTTCCTGTGATATTTGGTTAAATATGTCACACTATGGCACAAATTCCTGATTTAAGAAAATCTGCCTCACAGTCAAAGGTATTTTTTTGTCTTTTCTAAAAGTGCTTGAGTTATAGGGTGTACTTACTTATCTATATACAACTTTTTTTTCCCACATAAAAATGTCAGTTTTCTGTGTGTTCTTGCAAAATGAAGGTTAAATTTAAGTAGTTTCAGAACCAGGACCAAACCATTACATCCTGACAATGTAAAACCGGAGAGCTGAAATTTCACTGAGACTGAATGTTAATTGTGATGGGAAAATGAATACAAATTCAATGGGATTTTGTGCCCTTACATCTAAAGCCACTGACTGCTTGGCCCAAGACTTCTTCACCTGGTCATACATGATCGTGTTGTTGATGCCCAAGCCACAAAATATCACAAAGGCCTGAGGAAAAATGAGTTAGAATAAATAAAGCATGGTTTCCACAATCAGTCAGAGGATGTTTGTTGTTAAAAAAATGCAGAAGGCAGAGTCATACCTCAAAGAGACGCTGGTCCGCATCGTCAAATGGTTTCCCGTCCAGCCTGTTCAGCACTTGAGCGACACCTGATATGCAAAACCAGTTTATGCATTAGATAAAATACCACTTAGCTCAGATTTGACCAAAAAGCTCCACTTTCGCTAGAGACTAGAAAATAACAAAGAGACATTATGTGTTTTTAACAATGGTTAAAAAGGAGAAAAAGCTGTTTTTATCAACTTCAGACATGGTCGTAATGAACTAAGGAGCACATGCTGTTAAATAAAAAATAAAATGACACCAACAGGGACGCAATTAGTCTTTTAAAAGTTTATGTCTATAACTGTCCTATGGGAATAACCTCTTCCTGTTTGACTCCTACCTTCAGATGTATTTCACTCTAATTGAAAGTAGAAAATGATTTAATAAAGTCTAAACATTTGATGAATTGAGGGTAGGATATCGTCACACAATTAATGATCATTTTTAATTATGCCGAAGAGGTTAAACAGCCTGCCAATACTATGTCTTAATATGACTCATTGGTTGAAAATGAATTAGCTCTGCAGTTAATTACAGTTTTTTTTTATCATGGTTGAATTTAAAATGCAGAGCAGATGTTTTCTCAAAAGCATGATTGTTCCTACTGTAACCAGCTTGTGATTTGTAATGAGCTCCAGAAGATGCTACAACAAATATTAGCAAACTAAATGACTGCTTAGAGCCTCACGGCCACCACATTATCTCCAACTGCACCACAATCCATACCTCTCAAATCTACAAGTTTTCATGTTCAGTACATTTTTTTTTTCTTTTTTTACATAGATGACCTCTGGCTGCATGGCTGAACAATGCAGTTTGTTCACCGGAGGCGATCCATGGAGGGGGTGTCGAATTCTGCTTAGAGCTTCACAAAAACCGGAGCCGCAACCAGCTCAGCATTGTGTTAACCCATAAGGAATTTCATCCAACAAAAGCTGAACTCAAGTGCATCTTCATACAGTGGCTGTTTATCATATTTGGACACGACAGAAAAAATGATCCTGTGGCACAGCAAACAGCCTGTAACCTGAAATGTTCTTCATTTCAAAGAGATACTTAGCTTTGAAGAACTTATACAGATGACTTGGAGTTATTTAAATTAAAAAGACCAAAAAACATTATTTTCCCCTTGACAAATACATTAATCATGTATAACATTATGTCCACTAACAGGTGACAAGAATAGCACATATTATGATTTAATCGAGGCCTCACTTTTGATGGCTACAGTGAGATGAGGGAGCTTTTATCCCATTAAAGATTTATTTACCGGTCAAATATGAAACATAGTATTTAACGTTGAAAGTCATTGACTCAATGCAAGCTGCTGTATCCTTAGAAACCTTTTAAACGACATTGTTGTTTGATATCTAGTATCAACTGATAATGTAAGTGTGATTGAATTGAAATTATTTCTTTGTAAGGTGCCTCGGCATGACATCTGTTGTGAGCTGGCGCTATCTAAATACACTGACTGGAACTGTAGTGTATAGCTTCACCACCACTTTTGTCAACTGTAGGTAAAATATACAAAAGTTTAGAACGTTTTCACAAATAAAAATGGGAAAAGTGTGGTGTGCATTTGCATTTTCTTACATGTCTTACTGCAAAGTAAAAACAGAACCTCTCATAGCCTTATTTTCAGCAATAGGTTTCTTTTGTGCATGACTAAAACGTCCCAGGTTGTCTGGCTTGATCGGATCTGTAGTGAATTTTGCTGAAGGGAGGTGAAAAAGCTGCATATCTTCTTTTGTTAGATTTCTATTTGTGAAAATTTTTTAAACCATTCATCATTTCGATCTGCTTCACGGTCATGCCACACTTTGTGATGGGTTGTTACATAAAATTTTAGTCAAATAAACTGACATTCATGGTTGAATTCTGAAGTAAAATATGAAATGGGTGGAGAAATGTGAATGTATTTTGAAAGGTGGTGTATTTCTATGTTTTTCTACTGTAAGAAACTTCTGTTCAATAAAAGTCTAATTTTTGTTTAGCAATTAAACCAGGAGCCAATTTGCTCTCAACACGCCATACCTGCTGTGTCTTCAAAACAGTCTTTTAGGAATTACCTGGGATGACTTTCAGTAAATTAAAAACATAAATCTTAAAAAGAGCGATTGCAGTTCAAGCTGCTGTTGGTATAGTAAATCTCAGGAGAACATATCTGATTGAAATGCTAAAAATTAAAAATTAAATTTTATTTACAGCCTAGGTTACATTAAAATGTGGCGTGCATTTTTTTGTTACTGAATGTATCCTTGAATGAAGAGTTTCATCTCTGCTGCTTTGTTTGGGTAATGATTTTTCACTTAACATCCTCAGGTGCCACCCACACACTGCTTTTTCTCTCCCCTCTCACTCCTTCCGTTCGTTTCTCCTTTCTCCCTCTCCCTGCTCCGACGAATGCACAGACACCTACGCAGAGACGCGCCCAGGTTTTAACCAGCCATCTGCAGCAGACCTGCTGATCACTTTGCACTCACATAAAACTAATGACTTCCCTGCGTCAGATCTCACCGGACCGAGAGGAGCTGCCATCACCTGCTTCCTCCTCTGCAATATTCCAGCACCAAAGAAGCGGACAAGGGATCAATGATTTATCAGTGTCATTGTGCTTTTAGCCCGCGGCTGATTCGCAAGCATAATGCACGCTGACAGAAGAAGGGAAACTCCTCCTCCACGTGTGGAGTGATGCTGCAACACAGCATGGATCTCAGCAAAAGTCTCAACTGAATACACGAGCTTCTCTTTGCCCTGCTGTTTGCTTAATGCAGAAACGTGCATGCATAGTGCTGGACCATGCATGTTGGTATTTAACTGTATAATGAGCAAAATGTTCATCCAGTGTACTGGTTTATCGCCATCGTCTGTATCATTTGTGTGACTTTCTGGGCACAAGCAGAGGTTTCCAAGCAGAACTCAACAGACCTGAAGATTAAAAAAAAACTATGATATTCAACAACGTTTGGATTTACTGATTAAAAACCAGCAAGGGTTCAGATTCTGGTTTACCCTCAGAAAAAAACATAAGCACAGTTTTTTCTCAATATGTTCACACTCGGCCAATTCAGCATTCCTGTGGTAATATAGTATCTTCAAATAAACAGATATTATGATATATTATATTATTATGATCACAATTAACTTACCAATAATTTGGTGGTTGCTGTTCCATATGGGAACGCAGAGCACAGAGCGGATGTGAAAGTCAGAGAACTGGTCTGCCTGTAAAATGTGGAGGAATAAAACAGAAAACATTTCAAAAGTGGGTTTGGCTTTGATTATTTCATTAGATAAACCTTAAAAACAAACAGAATTGCATCAGAGACTTCTTTAGAAATTATGTTTTGTAATCATTATCCAGAGGCATTCAAAACAATTCACTAGCACTAAAACAAAGTTTTACTGTGTAAAGTTTTAAAGCTACAGCCAAATTCTCTAATAAATTCATTACTAGACAATAAATTGAAACATTCCTGATGTATTTTGCCATCTGTGGTTGATGGCTCAGTTAATGTCCAAGCACGCTTTGTACTTTCCTGACTGCAATGTTATTTCACCCCTCAGGTCTTTCTTAAGATTTACATCTGGGAAGTGAAATAAGATAGATTTTTTTGCATTTTGACAACTTGTGTGTTGATTTGATTGTTTTCCTGTTGATATTTCCAACAATAACCACCTTATGTTTTCTGGTAAACCTCAACATTCATTTCAAATCTCTTGGTATTTCAAAGTAATCACAAAGACTGGCATTTTTGCTTTCCCAGAACCTTTAGAAAGTAAGTAAACCCACAGCACCACAGATCCCCTACCATACTCTACAGTGGGCATAAAATGAGTTTCCACTTGTTTGCCCTTTGTTTTACACCAACTGCAGTGTTTGTTAGATGCCTGTCAAATCTGATCATAGCACACACTATACATATTTGTTAGAAGTCCTCGTACCAGTAGGTCAATCTTTTCTGCCTCTGCTACGTAAAGTTGAATATGTCAAACCTTTCTAGGTTGCCTACAAAAGAGCAGGACAGCTCTCTAAATAATAAGTGAGGCCCTCTTTATTGCTGAAATCCAGATGTTGAATAATTTGAATAATATTCTCCTGGTTCTGTAGTATAAGATCCTGGTGGGACTTTGTACCTCAGCGTCGAAGCGAGGATCCTGGTAGGCGTCGCTAATGTTCACAGGAAGTCCTGTTGATGCAACCAGCTCTGCAATGCTGTTGTTGATGAGCCAGTCTGAGTAGGACGATTTTTCCATACTGTCTTTGAAACTAGGGTTGGAAGAAAAAAACATAAACACAACGCTGAACAACTGCTGAACCAAACGCAATCTCTAGGTCTCAATTCTCAACAAATATTGTTTTATAATCTGCGACTGTAGCTGAAAATACATAATTTGATTAAAAAAAAAAGAGGTGTCTTGATTCGTCTTCCTAACGACAGCTTTGCAACGGCTTCTCCTATTTCTCCTCATGAGCTTTCTCCAATATTAATTTGTGTTTAATGAACCTCTCATAAAGCAGATGTCTGTAAACTTCTTCAGCAGCTCATGAAGTAATGAAAATTTAAATGTGCAATCGTCCTCCTTGTTGCCAGACACCCCCACACACTCTGCCAGAGAAACACCTGCATCATCACTGCTCACATCACCCATTGACATTTAATACAGCAGGACCATCGTAAAGTTTTCCCTTCAAAGCCAGCAAACGCTCTGTGCTGCTAATTTTATCTTTGAAGAATAAAGATAGCATGATGCTGATGTCAGATCTTTAACTTATGTGGAGCGTGTGATGCGGCAGTGTAGACAAGCTCTTCATGGTGCAGCACAAAATGCATGACAGTTCATGATGCATTAACTCCTGGGTGCTTTACTAATTGAGATGTTTTTTTGACATCAAATCTTTTTAGCTGCTTATATCTGGGAAAGTTACCTTTCAGTGTTTATAGCAACAAATACTTTGAAAAGAAACAAATGCAATTTAATTTGCTGAATTCATTAACTGTGGCAAAATTGTTATCCGAAAGGTGGCCATTTAAGTTAGGAAAGTTAAATTAGCCAATCACAAAATTGCTATTAATTTAATAGCAATTTTGTGCTATTAAAAAAATCAAAAATCAAATGTACAAGCGTGGACCTAAGAGGAGAAGTGAGCAGCACAGACGCTGGTGTGGCAGTTGCTACGGCACAGGGAATGTTGCCCGCTTGGTTGCTTTTTATTCCATGAGTTTCTGAAAGCAGAATTTGAGGCAGAGGTTCCAGGTATCAGACTCCTCCTGTGGAACCAGCTCCCACTTTTAGTCGGTGATGCAGACACCCTATCTTCCTTTAATGACATGTTTAAAGTAGTACTTTTTGATAACCTTACATCTAGAGTGGCTTAGGTTATCCAGCAACACCTCTATTCTGACAGAGGTGTTAGTTCATGCATTTTTGTAGTTATAGCAGACATTATTTTTACGTTTTTTCTCTATAGTTAACTGTTTACCTGTGTCTCTTTTCCAGACAAAACCACTGACAGAACTATTGCCACTACATGTTCTCTGCTTATCATCCCATAGAAAGTGTTCCTGTGTCAGTGCATCTTTGTTCTTTCTTTCATGGACAAAGCCACTAATGCAGCTATTGCTGCGACTTACTATTTGTATTCTGTTCTTCATCCAATAGAAAGCACTCCTGGCTTAGTGTGTGTTTTGTTCAGCTAGTTCTTTGTTTGTCTTTCTCTCCAATACAAATTTGGCAATTATTTCTTAGCCATTTCTTTTTCAGATAAAGACAGTGAAAAAGAATTTGATCCCAGTTACTCTGCATGATTTTTGTTGTTGTTTTCTCCCCAAAATATAAATAAATAAATAAACTCAGAGCTTTTTCGTTTATTTCTGTGTGTTTTATGACAAAGCTGCTAATATAACTACTGCTGCCATGCGGCTCTTCTTTTCCCATTTATCGAAAGTGCCACTGGCTCAGTGTTGCTCAGCTTAGCTTTGCTTATTTCCTCAATGAAACCACTGAAACAGCTATTGCTACCTTCCGCGTTTTACCAATTGTCATCATACACGATCATCTGAGTGTATGTAACTGAATCTGAATCTGTTTCAGGATGAATCAGATTGATTTGATATCAATCTTTAACTTATTCGATCCCATGTGTTTGAATATTAAGACCTATTTGACTTGATATAATATTTGTGGTGAATTGGTGTTAAATAAATGAAACTATAATGAGTTGTATAGTTTTATATTGTTCAGACTGCTTGTAGAGGCCAGTTATGGCCACTGCTTTGAGGTAATGATATTAACTATGGCAAGCATTCAAGGGTGTGTGTGTGGGGGGGGGGGCTATTTGTCTTCCCTTCAAGCTTGTTTTCATCCATAAACAGCCCACACAATATTAACTCAGCCATGCCTAGCAGAAGCAAAGAGCAGCAAAAGATGTACAGAAGATGATTCTGTACATCTTCTGAACAGAATCAAATTTTATGCTCACAGCACTTTCAAATAGTCACATGTATTTCATACATATTTCTTGCATTTTATGTTTTTTTATTTTGTTTGTTTGTTTTTACTATGCATGTGGTGGCAGAGCAGATTATGTTGGTATAATTTCTGTTGTGAACACATTTACTTTGAACTTAAAATCTAAAATATTTAAAGAAAAATCTCAAGGTGGAAATGAACAACAGTTTTCCAAAAGTTACTGAAGCACAATACAAACCTGGTTTCAGTATCTGCGCTGCATTTTGGAGACAGTAGCTCAAACGACTTAGTGAACTTGACCACCTGCGTAAAGGAAGAAACATTTAAAGGTCTGAAGTCAGAAAGCAAAACTGAGGCAGACAAAGAGAAACGGGTTACATGCGTGAAAACATAGTAAGACACACACATGGCAGGGGAGCAGAAGGAAAAACAAAACAGTACCGGTGACTCAATGTCCTCCAGCAGCTGGACGGAGCAGCGCTCACACTTTAGCAGAGTCTGAGCGCGGTGCATGATCTTCCTGACGATCTTTTCCAGGTCAGTCTGTTCCTCAAACAAGTCATTGACCACTTCTAGTAGTGCCTAAGTGCCAAGAAAAGAGAAAATATTATGCTGGAAATACCTTGGACAATCTGAAAGCTCATGAATGCTAATGTATTTCCAACACAAGAAATCGGTTGGCAGGCAAGAGTAAGAGCCCCTTAAATAAATGTGTTGTGCTTCGCGCTGATGTTGGAATTTAATTACTATCATAATCCCTAAACCATAAACCAAAGGGATGATATAGTGTAATTGATTTCCTCAATACAAGTAAATTAAACCCTTTATCTAAGGGAGAGCCAATCCAGTTTAATGTGCTGGCACCTAAAAATGAGGAGGGAATATCTCCTCATTTTTCTCCTCTGCTCTCTGAACTGTGCTCTCGTTATGCTCCCTTCGATTACATGTGACTGTGAGACATGAATTAGAGGATCTCCTCATATTCTCATGTAGATTTAGGTCCTACTCTGAATACAGACCCATCCCCCTCGTCAGATCCTGAGAAAATGCTCATGCAAAGCTGCATGGCACCGTGATTTTCCACTGCCACGCCAGCAAGTGGGCTGCTGCTGATCAATACCAAGCCTCAATGTCAGCATCCAGGGGGAGGGAGTAAAGCTGATCCTTGGAATGGGAGCTTTATCATCCCATCAGCCTCGTGGCCCTTACCCGACTCCGGTCGTACTCCTTTCTGGAGGCAGCAAAGAGTTGAGCATTGGAGATTGCAATACCACAGAAGGGGAGGTACATCTGCAGAACCTATGGACACAATAAAAACTCATAAAAACTGTAATATGATGTGAACATTTTTCATCAAAGAAGAGCTCTGTCACATCGCATATGTCAATTTTGCCACTGGCAGCAATGTGAACAGCATTTATGCAGTGCAGTGCAAAAGGCTTGGTGAACTTTTTCGTTTCTTGTCACTTTACAACTGCAAGCCCTAAATTCCTGCTAAAGAACAGAATCCCCACAGCAAGGTGTCTGATAAAATTGTTTTGGTTTTTATAGTTCCTATTAAGCCCAGATTATTAATGCCCCTTGAAAAAGTTTGTTTCTGGTGTATGATGAGACAGCCTTTGTTTCAAGACAATAAATCAATTTATAAAGGGACTATGTTCTGCTGATAGTTATTTTTTTAAGCAGTTGAAAAAAAAATCCAATTATGAATATTGCCCAATTATTCCAATTATGAATATTTTTTTTTTATATTTATATTTATTTTTGGTGATGATGAGCTCCAAGTCTTTGAGATTAGCTCCTTTACATTTTCCCAGAAGAAACATGTTGGTAGCTTAAACTTAAACCTAACTCTTCCTGGGGTTTGAATGATTCTGAAATTAACTGCACCCAGTAAACAGATGAAACTGAGCAATGAGACCAAACGTGATGCTGTTTCAGCTGTCCTATGAAAATGTCCTATAATGATCTTCCAGAAAGACCGTAGTCATCAATAAGCCCAGCGGGAGTGGATTCATTAGCAAGCAGGACGTGGGGATCTGCACATGGATCTGCCTGCGGAGCGCACAGGCGAACTCCGAAGGAGCGCTGCTCTTTATGATTACATTTTGTCAGGCAGCCCAATACATAAGGTTGCATTATAAACAAGATGTTTTTGCATGGAGCCCTTCAAACTGACCAATAAAAAGTGGTTTAATACCAATAATTTTAAAAAAAAATCTTAAAAAGTGGCCAAGACCATTGGGGACACTCAGTTCCTTCCAGCCTCAATGGCTTCCTCTCCCACAAATTGTATTTGTTATGAAACAAGCCAAGAAAAATTACATACCACTTTATTTCTCCAGCAGCTCTCAGTGTGAATAACTATGAGGTGATTTAAAGTACTGTTTCACTTTCCGTTGCACTGGTGAGGACAGGGCCAGAAATATTTTGGCGAGAACTGATTTCATGAATAAAACTCAAACTTTGCGGTGAAAAGACAAAGGTTGATTTCGTCAGATGAAGAAAAAGTGCGTTTTATGATCGGTCGCAATCGTGACTACATTGTTGTATACTTTGTCTGGCCATCACTAAGTCTAACAAATCAAGAACCACACTCAAAATTAATCTTAAAAAGGAAGACGTTTGGAATTGGAAGAATATGGTATGTATTTAAATAAGCGTACCCAGGTCAAATGTATTGTCCACTGGTCACTATTGAGACCGTCAACATGTTAACACATCCTGTTCACACACTAAAAAAAGTTTTGTAAATGCAAAGGTGGAAATTATAAATAGACACTTTAAAAATGACATGCAGCAAAAATCTTTGTTGTATATTTATTTAAACATATAATTCAGCATAAGTATTATCTAAACACTCTAAACACTCTAAACTTTCAATATTTGCTGAACATTAACTGGAAATTTAAACAGTAAGCTTTTTGGAGTCCTTGAAAGTGAAAGTCATTTCTTGGTCACTATTGTGATCGGTGGGTTTAAATGGGATAATTCAAGGGTTTTTGAAGACATGACTTATTTTCCAGCTGTTGGTTTCAAAACGATGGCAATAGCTAAAAACATTTTGCGTCAAGCTGAATCAAGTAGCTGAGCAAGTTGAATAACCTCTCACCCCTAATATGTTAACTGCTTTAATCTCCAGTATCGTATCAGGATCCTAGCATTTTGAAACAATCAGAACAAAAACCAGCAGAAAATCCCTGAATAAATGTAAATCTAGCTACATGTTGTCTGTCTACTGTCTGATTTTCTATTTGTTTTCAAGGGAGAAGTTGCAAAAGTTAAAGCTTTAAAAGAACAGTGTATTGTTGTTTTTGTTGTTGTTTTTTTTTGTTTTGTTTGTTTTTTTGTATACAGCTTGAAAAAACTGCTTACAAAAAAAACTGAGTTTTCCATTATTAGCTAAGTATTTTTCCTTTTCACCATGTTGCTGACAGTGGAAGAGAGACACAAAACGCCATCTATTTTTGGGTAAAGCCATTCCTTAAATAGAAATTAACTTATTTAATAAAAAAGACTTCAAACTTTATATTCTCAGTCTTCAAATTCAGAATAATCCAGTACTGTCCATATGTATAATATAAAATCTGAATAAAATGAATTGAGACTTGTTGTAGATGTGATTGCATGTTGAAAGGTTTAAATAAGTTAAATACTTTTAAATTAATTATATGGTTTCTCAAAGAAAATCTACACAGGAAACAGAATAATAAACAAGAACTCAGTTACTGAAGGCCACTGACTGACTTCTTGAAAAATTTTAACTTCTTCTAAAACATGTTCATGTACAATTAACATAACGTTCTCTTCCCTAACACAGAGGAACCGATTGTGCAAAAAATACTCTGCGGATCTATTTTCTCTTGATGAAACACACATAATGTGACTTTTTGTGCGACATTGGGTCGTTTTTTTTATGATTACCACATTTGTTTTATTGGATCCAATATACACCTGTTCTTTTGCTGCAGACTTACATCTCTAAATTGTGTGTTGTGGGGGGAGACAGTTTTTTTGACGAATCTCACTGACGTTAAATTGTACTGGATGGCTGAAAATGCACAATTAAACATGGATCTTACAAAGAGGTATAATGTCTACCTGTCAGTAACGCATTTGTATGTAACGCAAAGCAGAAACAAAATAACACAATCTTAATCAAAATGATATTGTCAGACGCATCGCAGCACAGGGTCAGTTAACTGTATTCCTCCACAGAAATGAGAGACTGCAATTACAAATTATTCCCACTCCCCCGAGCTCCTAAATCCTGCGGGGTATCAACAGCAACACAATTAAGGCAGCATGAGACGTAAAAAGCAGCTATGTAATATGAAAAATCCTCTCAGAAGTTTAGGCACAAATTTGTTTTGATGAAGGTTCATTTAAGCCTCTAATGACATCTGCCACTGCTTCATCATTTAATGCTTTATAAAGTATGATTTGTTTTCTTATTACAAAGTCTCCTATAAAAGTAGAGCTGCAGCTGTGCTGTGCACCGTGCTCACTGCGTTCACTGATGCTACCATCGCTTTTCATTACTAATTCAGCAGTAGCCATCCCAGGCATTAGTGTAATGTTAATGCAGTGTGAAACCTACTCTCAGAACAAGAGAATTATGAAAAAAAGAAAACCTCTTCAATGAACAATAGATTGCATATGTGTATTATTTTAGATATTTTGCTGAACTAAGAGGAACGTGGGAGAAACAAAACCCTAAAATAATAGCACAGCTACTTTTGTTCTTTCATGTTTCATCCTATCTGCCTTTTGAGTGCTCATGCAACAAGAGAGGGAGTCAGTGTATCAGCCTGTCATCATCTTTTCTGCTACATCCATTCAGGCGTCCCGATGGGCTTAACATGCGCTCTTCTGATACACAGAATGCTATCTGTCTCAGGATGAGATGCAACTCCAACTGACCACTGTAAAATGTTATATTTGTCTAATACAAACCTTCATTTATACCCATTAATGATTTGTTTATGTACAAAAATATGCTAAATTGAAGTCAAATATGCTCCACATTCCATGGACATCTGCAATGGTTCATAAACTTTGCTATTTCTAATTTACTTGCGTTATTAATCACGCCAAGACCAATAAAAAGGCACGATTAGTTGCATGGGCAGGGCATGTCCTGCTTGTAAAAGAAGATTGGCTGCTGCAAAAATCTTGTCTAAATTTTGCTGGTAAATAAAGGCATTGTGATCAAACATATAGACAAAATCCTCAAAACAATGTTAAATATGGAGACTTCACATTGGACCACAAGCAACTTGAATTTTGTGCCTCTGGTGCTGAATAAAGCTCCAGATCCAACAAATCTCCCTCCAAATGTTTGAATTCTGCTTCGCCTTTGCCACTTTTCAACCAGAGCAAATTCTTCCATTCAACTTTCCATTAATGTGCTTGGATTCAACCTTGTGGGAACAGTCAGCTTCTGCAGCAATAATCTTTAGTGGCATACCCTCAATAAGTATGGTTCAGTGACTGTCTTCTATGCAACTCTGAAGTTAGCAGTCTTTTCTGTGGTTGTGTAGGACATATCATGCCAATATTATAACAATTTTGTATTAAATGCCATTTTTCAATAACTTTTTGATATGATCACTATAAGAATAAAATTACTGAAATAAACTTTTCATTGATTTCCTAATAAATTGAAAAGTACCTGTATGACTTTGAATTCAAAATCTCCATGAAAAGCTTGTGCAGCTATTGTTCCCTAAAAAGTTGTTATTTTTTTTTCTACAAACTCGACTTCACTGGTGTTATTAATCTTAGATGGTGCAGTAGTATTTGACACAATGGCTATACCACTACGTAGTCAGGTCAAATTTTAGGTTAACTAATTTGAGACTCTGAAAAGCAAATATGGGATTTATATTAGTGCTGTGACCACAGTGTTCTCGCCCCCTGGAACACACTGCTTAGGAAAAATATAATAATGACTACCTGCGACCCAGCCAGGAAACCCAGACACTAAGTTCTGATATTAAGTCTGTCTGTATCACACAGGAGACACATGGATAGGTCAAACTCCTACAGTTCACAAAGTACATAGTAGTTACAATGAAACTGTACACAAAGACAAACAAATTATAACCTGTTTATCAGACAAAGAGTATATGAGCAGGAAGCATATGTATAAGGTGTACCTTGCAATGATTTTGTTTTTTCTTATTACGAAGTATGTGTGTGTGCCATACATATGGTTGAATTTGAGAAAATATATAAATTCCAACATGAGCAAATAATTCTGATTTTAAAAGATGTTTGAAGTCCAATAAATTGTTAAGTCTCAAATTAACCATGTCCATGACTTGACTGGGATTAAGGAGCATAGTAAAAGAACAAATGGACTAAAATGCACACCACAAGTAATTAATACTCTCAAAATCCTACAGAAAAGTTTTTTTGTTTGTTTATTTGTTTTTTCAGGAAGCTCATAGGCCTTGTAGCCATCACTTTAATTTTTAACTGCAACAGATTTGCAGTCAAATTGTAATCTGGGCTGCAATACTTTGGTATGTCCAGTAATATATTAATATTACCTCTGGTCAGATTATTCTTGTTTTTAAGATTAGAATATTGCATTAAAACTCTAGGGTGTATGAACAATTTTGGGTTTCATATCCAGTTACGTACAAGCTTAATTGGATATTTCTTTGCTTTTAAACATTTTTGGCAAACAAAGAAAGACCACATTTTGAATCGCAGCATAATTATGATGCTAAGCAACAGAAAATAATGAATTAAATGTCTTATGCATGTAGGTCACAACACAAAATTGAGAAAAACTGAGAAAAAAAAAATCCCAGTTTTAGCTCTTTTTACATCTCTGCTACTGTGAACTCATAAGTGTTACAACACTGACATTAATAAATGATGACAGTCTGTTGCCCCTTTATGCACTAACCCTATGCACAGTGTTTGTCTAAAAAAATCTGAGTAACATCCTTGAAATGCCACAAATGAATCACAAAGCATGAGCATTACTTCAGGCTTATTCTTCTCTTTGTGCAGTAATAACAACACTTGGAGGCTGCAGTCTTTTGCTCGGAGCTCTGTGAGGCTTCAGTTCAGCATCTGTGTCAGTACCTGTTTAATCTAGATGGTAATTTGCCCTACTGGGGTAATTACTTGTGGAATAAATTTTTTTTAATCTGTTTTACAATTTTAATGTAAAGCAAACATAGATAAGATAAAATAGATAGATAGAAAAAGTGTTAAAGTTTCATTCAATGAGGAATTTTAGGGTCTTATAATGTCATGTATTGCATTCAACTGGAATATATCAAGCAGCATCCAAAGCAATGCAATATCAGTCATGACGTTTTCCCCAAAAAAATTTTTGTAAGTTTAAGTTTCATTTCATTATTCTTGTTTACGTTTATATAGTTTGAGCCATTTTCCCAGTGAGCCAAAGTCAATTAAAGTTTCTGAACATTTCTTAAGTCAAAATGTATTGTTCCCAATTCAAATTTTGTCAGATCAGCTAATTATTTAATTAATCATTAGAAGAGACACATTTCACTATGGCAACTATTCCAGGTTCTTCTTCTTCTCTTTTAAATAAAACACAAGAATTTAACAACTAAAATTGTGTTTAGATCACTAAATGACAAGCATGCAGACCAGCAACATGTGAGTACTGAGATATTTGGTCCTATTTGCAGCCTCCCTAAAGCATAAGTTCTATTTTTGTACAACTTGAAAATTATTTGATCTACAAAAGTCCTGAATATATTTCTATTGAAAAGAGAAACAAAACTTAGGAAAACCATAGCATACATTAAGAAAAACACATTTCCACTGAGGAAAAAAACCAACAAGAAGGCAACAAAATAAAGGAATATCACAAGGAAAAAATTACCTTCTCATCATCTTCAGTGAAAAGTTCCCCACTTGAAGTCTTGTTGATGGCCTGAGCAACTCCAATGATCTCACCATCGCTGTTGCGGATAGGCATGCACAAGAGGGATTTGGTTTTATAGCCTGTCAATTTGTCAATTTCGTCGCTGAATCTGCGATCCTGCAAGCAAGGGCACAGCAAATACATAAAGACACACTAATTGTAAAAAGCAGACATTCCTTTATTGGTCTTTTCAGATAACAGAGGACTTGAACGTGATAATGTTAAAACAATAATCATGTCACAAGAGGTTAGATTTCTCGTACAGCACCAAGAAATAAAGCAATATGTAAAGAAATCCCACTGTTCCTTGCGAAAGTATTCACACTCCCTGAACTTGTTCTCATTTTCATGTCACAAGTGAAAACTGAAATGCTTTTTTTCTGGGATTCAGTTTGACAGACCAATACAAACCAGTGGATTGCTGTGAAGTGGAAAGAAATTGTAGAATTATGTTTAAAATGTATATCTGTATACACATATATTCTGCCACCTTTAGTCTAATTCCACTAAACAATATTCAGCACAACCGACTGTAAGAAGTCACTTAGTTAGTAAATAGAGACATGGAGAGCTGGTCTGTGAAGGCCTCTGACATTTGTTAGCGAACACAACACACAACACTCTACAATCCAATATCTGAGCAACACCAAACCCACGAAGACATTGTTATCCAACCTATCTGGAAGGATGGATGAGGAAAGCATTCATCAGAGAAGCAAACAAAGAATGGCTGCAGAGGAGCTGCAGAGATCTGCAGCTCAGGTGGGAGAATTTGTCAACATGACAGGCAGCAGTCACAACTTCACAAAACTGGACTTTATCAAAGGGTGGAAAGAAAAAAAGGATTTGGACTTTGGCAAAAATTCAAGTAGGGAACACAGTAAGCATGCGGAAGCTTGGGCTCTGGTCAGATGATGAGGATAGTATCAAACTTTTTAACCTGTTTGTAAAACACTACGTATGTTGAAAAACCCTGAAAGAATATGTCATTGAACACTAACATGATGTGGAATTCTTAAAGGTCATCAGAGTGACAAAACAATTGCGAATCGGGCCAAGGTTCACCTGACTGTAGGACAACTACCCTAGACACAGGGCTAGCTCTTTGGAATGGTCTAGTCAAACTTTGAACCTAAATTTGACAGAGAATCTGTGACCAAACATGAAAAGCATTTCTTTTAATAGATACAATCTCACTGAGTGTGAACTTTGATTGAAAACAGAGCAGGAAAACATTTCACTGTGGTGCTCTAAGACTTGTGACTGTAATTTTCATAAAAGGTGGTTTTATGAAGGTTTGGTTTTTGGGGAATACGGGCACGTCACGGGGCTCAGGTTTTTATTTGGAAAAATAAAAAATAGAAATTGAAAACCATATATTTTATTCCACTTCACAATTATTCTACTTTGTGTTTCTCGTCAGATTGTGCTTGTCTCAGATGTTTAACCTGTTACCAATGAAATGTGAGACATGAAGTTAGAAGCTGAGAAGGAAATGCACTCACTGCCTTCCTGCCTCAGTATTTCTGTGAATCACGCATGCATTCATTCACAATGAAGGAGCAGGCACCTGATAGGCGTCGGGGATGTTCACCGTCTCTCCATGTTCAGCCACGTAACCAATGATCCCTTTCCCCCACGGCACCTGAACTTCATCCGAGTTCATCGAGGGTAAAACTGTGGTGCCCGCGTGCACGTCAAAAAATTTCGACACCAGTGTTTTCTTGTTGCCAGTTCCTTCCACCAAAAACAAGGAGCACCGGTCTGCATCCACCATGATACAAACAAACACCAGGATTTTGTAGCTGAGACTGGTCAGGTCCAGGTCGTTGGATATGTCTTTCACGAGCTCAAGGAAGAACTCCCTTTCGCTGTGTTCTTTCAGATAATACTTAAAATCCACGGCCGTGGATGGGTACTGGGGGATGTTGACTCTGGACTCCAGCAGCGCGCTCAGGATGTGCGCGGTGGTCGGAGGCAGTGAGCTCGCCTTCCTCAGCAAAGCTCTCCTCCTCATGCTGGTCAGCGGCTCCTGCGCCCTGGAGTTCACATGCTCGTCGTAAGTCCTGTTCACGTTGATGGCCTTAGACCTGGCGAAAGTTTTGCGCAGCTCCTTCTGAGACGCTCTCCGCTGCAGACCGTCGCACTTGCTCGCCCAGCTGTCTTTGCACGCTTTGCCCTTCTCCTCCCGGGGCTCGGCGGCGGGCGCCGCGGCCGCCGGACCTTTACTCGCCTGGTGGTTCTTGAGCCATTTCTCCACCATGCTGTAGTTGCCCTTCCTGTTCAGATAGTCCTCGAACAGGTCGGGATGCTTGTCCAGAAAACTTTCTACGTCAGAGAACAGCATATTTGACACTGCCATGTCTGCACTTCGGATGGTCCTCAGTGAACCAAAGCCATGAAATTGCGCACAGAAATACCATCTATGAGGATTGTACCCGACGGGGTTAGAGCAGAGAATCGTGCAGATGCAACAACTTCCACGATGCGCTACGCAGGCAAAACCTCTGGAGCTCCAAATCCAGGTCCTTCTCTGAGCGGAGAGGGTCGGAGAGTCCCTTTGCGCACCGGCATCTTCCTCCACTGAGCTCAGCTAATTAGAGATAATTCACCCAAACTACCGTAAATACAAAAGTGAGAGTAGTGAGAGCATCTCACACAGCCCCAGTACTGCGCACTCCCGTGGTTTGTGTCCTCCTGTGCGGATGACGCGGGCTGTGGTTGGCTCGCTCCCGCTGATGCTCGCTTCGTCACGCAATCAGGGAGCTCAGGGTTGCCTCAGCGATCGGTCCTCTGGCCATTTGAACTAGTTGCCCTCCCTCACGGAGACAAAGTGTTGCGATGTTGATGAAGGCAGCTTGAAGGAAAAATCATTTAGGGGCAATTAAATAAAATTGTTATAAATTAGTTAAATAACACAGACAAATTTTGCAGAGTCCATGATAATACTGGACTGCAGAGAATGCTTGCACATTACTTATCTTCAATAAGCCAATAAGCTACAATAGATAGATAGATAAGATAGGTAGATAGATAGATAGATAGATAGATAGATAGATAGATAGATAGATAGATAGATAGATAGATAGATAGATAGATAGATAGATAGATAGATAGATAGATAGATAGATAGATAGATAGATAGATAGATAGATAGATAGATAGATAGATAGATAGATAGATAGATAGATAGATAGATAGATTTTAAAAAATAGCAAATTCGAACTCTCTTTCATAAATCATAAACTTTCACAAATTTCTGTTCTGCAGTGTTCTATTTCATTAAGTTATGTAACAGCGACGTTTATTAGCAGAGCGGGTACGTCAGAAAATGTAAAGTATTACAACTGAAACAGCCTGCAGAGTCGCCATTTGAACGCCAGGGGGAGTGATACTTCAGCTGTTGCAATGCGGGGTTTACATGAGCGACTACACGGTGGGGAATTAATAATCAGAGGTTATTATTCTGATTATCTAATATATGTATGACTAAGAGAGAGGGGGAGTCTTTACTCCCAGAGGGACTTATTAATAGTGTGTTTATGACGAGTAATGTCATTATGATAATGAGTTACTTAAAAGCAAAATAGAATTTCTCAAGGAGTATGATACAAGTTGAATTTATACTAGTTTGAATGTGATCCATGTATGTTTCCTAAATTTTCCTGTCAAGCACTATGCTAACATTGTGTGTAAATGTTATTACATTAACAAACTTGCCCCACGTTCAAAGATTTTTAATTAGTAAAAGTCAGCCCATATATCAGACATTACTATCAATACTTGGCTGGGGGTCCTTTTGCATGAACTAGCATGGCATGGAGATGATCATCCTGCAGTACTGCTGAGGTGGCAACATTTTTTTTATTAAAAACAAAAACATTTAATTGCAAAATTTAATTGAGCTTGTCTGCATTGTTGACTGGTGATTTTCATCACCCTCTTTATAATATTTCATAGAGTATCTGTAGGGTTTATGTCAGCCCATGTCTTCTGACCTTTCAAGCACATGGACATCCTGACAGGAAGAGATACTTTGTACCCTGTGAGCAGGTGCTAAGTTCAGCCAGAAAATAAAATCAGTATCTCCATAAAACCCATCAGCAGAGGGAAGCGTAAAGTGCCCTAAAAATACCTGAAAGATGACTTACCTTGGACTTGATAAAACAGTAGATACACTAGAAGATGGCATGCTTCCAAAATGCACAATTAACAGCTAAAAAGAGCAGGTTTCAATTAAAATAGTTTTAATTGAAGATCTGTAAACAGGTGAACACCTGTTTACAGAGCTGTTGTGATTACAAAAAGATCTGCAATAACTACAAGAAAGGTTCCAATTTCTTAAACTGCTTCATATAAAAATTAAAGATTTACCTTTAACTCAACACAAAACAGATCTGTGTTACTATTTAAGAAAAAAACAACCTGAAAATTTGGTTTAGTGTCAATTTTATTCAAGAAAATTACAAAAAGAAAGATAGAATCATTAAGAAAAACATATCATGAGGAGGTCCAACTCATTTTCTTGTAAATGCACAGTACTTATACTTTTTTTTAGTTTACAGAAATATACCTGTTAAAACAGGAAGTTATCAAATGTATAAACAGCCATCACAATTACATAAACAGTTTCAGCATATGTGACATTCGATTTCAGTTTAGTTGGTTCCTGCTCTGTCTTAGTTTGGAATGAAAATGTCTCCTGAGCTGCTTAACTTACAACACAAAGACAAGTACAGCTGCGCAGCAAAATGCTCGTTTAGGAAGTAGACGACTTGAGATATGCGATGAGGTCAGTGCGCTCGTTCTTCTTCTTGATCCCAGCAAAGATCATCTTTGTCCCAGGAATGTATTTCTTTGGATTCTCCAGATAAATCATCAGAGTCTCCTCATTCCATACAATTCCTGGAAATTATAGTAAGTCCAAAAGTAATATTAAAGTCAAGCAGCACGTTTCCTGAGATGAAACTAATTCTTATTCACATTATACAGTATTTACCTTTGTTTTTGTTGGCGTCTGTGTAAGAGTAGCCCTCAGCCTGGCCCGTCGGACGTCCAAAGAGGCCCCATAAGTTGGGTCCAGTTTTATGCTTTCCACCTTTTTCTACAGTGTGACACTGGGCACACTTTTGGACAAAAGTCTTTTTTCCCTTCTCAATGTCCCCACTCATAATTTCTGGAAAGGAGAACACAATTCATTGGCTTTCATTTAACAGGACATGCCACCAGGGGGCGATATCCCACCTGTTACAAAACTACTTTCTTAAAAGAACGAACAGAAACTAATGTAAGTGCTCTTAAAATGAAACAAAAGGAGTGACTATGACTTTTCTGGATATTTAAGTTACTTGTTTATTCAGCAAAAACTACAGCAAAAAACGTCGACGTTTATTTAAGCATCTTGGGATAAACCAGGAAGGACAAAAGATTTTAATTTGAACACCAACTAATATGAAAGCAATCCATTTCCGCATTATGGTTAAAATGTACTTGATTCAATGGTAAAAGGCTCAGACCGGCACTAGGCCACGTTGTGGGAGGGAGGACGTGACAAATCCAGATCTAAACTCGCTTTTTCTCAAGTCGAAAACTCGACAAGGAGGAGCAGAAACCCCAACAACCATTAAACCCAACTTTTTAGGAGCGTGGTCTTACCTTCCGCTTATTTTTGTTGCGCCTAATCAGGTGAATCGCGAGAGTAACCTCTAACTTCCCGGCTCTCGTCCTTCTACCGGCTTTGTCGGCTGCCCAGTTGAGAAAAAAAAAACGTGCTTCCTTATCTTAAAGTTACTCAGAATTACACGTCATCAGTCAGCTGACATTTCATCATCCGCGTCAATGTCAAAGAAACAAGGTCAAATCTGTCAAAACTCATTGAGAATTCACTCCTGTGCGCCGATGCGATTACGTCACGCAGCAACAGACTCGAGAGGAAAAAGTAAAGCTTTGTGGAAGGAAAAGAGGAAAAAAAGACATCATGATGTATGATGTTCAAAAACTCATTTCTTAGTGAATGACACAAATTCTCAAACATGTTTTACTTTTTTGCAAGACATTTGAGATGGTGTCAGTCAGAGAGTCTTTGAATAATATTTAGAAATGTAACATGAGGCAAAAAAAATTTCTATTCAAAAGTATGAGATGAATAATGATGCGTTCTGAGACATTGGGGTGTTTGCCTGAGACTTTTGAGTTATTTATTAATGATTATTATTATTATTATTATTATTATTATTTTTTTTTTTTTTTTTTTTTTTTTTTTTTGCTTGAGCTTAAAGTGCACAAGCACCTTCTTCTGGGCGTCATGACCACAGCCTACAGACTGCAACAAAGTCCAAAGTTAACAAATCTTTTTCACTAATAAAGCAACAGTGGTTTTATCTGTTCCACCATGCAGGCCAATAATAAAATCCAGCTAAACTATTTCAAAGCAACTGTTTCAGAAGTTTAATTTCTTAAAATTTCAACAGCCTGACGCCTGAACTAAACCCCGCCCCTTTTATCTCCCCCTCATAAAACTTACCTTCTCCCAATCCCAGTTTTCTCACGACTCCACCTCCGTGTTTTCGCGCTCGCTCTATGCCCGCCTGCGTTCGGTCCACTCCGGGCATTTCTTCCCGCCCAAAGCCGATCTTGCTGCAGGGAGGAGCGACGGGGGTGCAGTTGAGAGATGAGCTGAGCATCACAGCCCCGCATTCAAGGAAACGGACTAACACAGCACTTTTTTCTTTTCCTCCCTAGCCTTCCCACAATGTGTCTCGCTTCCGTAAAGCACAAGAGCTTTATGATGTGAAAAAAAAGTGCGGCGTGCGCGCAGAGAGGCAGATGTGAGCAGGTTTTTGTCTCTTGAGGAGCGGGGGGATCTCTGCCCTGTCAAGGAAGACCCCCTCAATTGTTTCCTGCGCCAAGAACCGTAAAGACATGGTCGTCACAGCGCATCTGTGGTAAGGCACTAAGCTTTTCTCTCTGATCCACGGCAGCCTAAATACCAGCACTGCTTGCGTTTGGTCTATGACACTTTCATTGGGTATTATGACGAAGAGCTGCTGCTTTAGTGCTCCATGTAGCCACTCAGACTGAGAGCGCAGCTTCTCATCCTTTTGAATTTGCATCCCGAGTGGATCGGCGAGGACCGGTCGGCATAACACCGGTCAAACATGACCACACAGCCAAGTGCTGGGATGCTACAACTCCTGCAGTGTGTATCCAAACATCACGATCAAGGATCCATAAAAAAAAATCATGGATGCTGGATATTGGAGTAACCAGCCCGACCAACCAACTGATGACTTTGATGATGTAATGATGATGCGTCACTGTTATGTTCACCCTTTTTTATTTATGTTTTAAATTTATTTTAACCGATTTATTTCCCACACATGTTCCACAACTGTAAATGAATCAGCAAAGATTTCCACCAATAACTCCCCGCCCCCAAACACCCCACTCATTCTGTTACATGGTGTTTGTATGGCAGCTAATTTAAAAAAAAAAGTTTCATCCCACACTATCACTCAGCCTCCGTTTTTTAACTGAAGGTCAGCCAGTGACACTGCAGTTAGTCATGGGCCACAAAAAAATGCAAGAAGATATGAGAGGTGTGTGTAGTTTGTAACTAACATTCTCTTTGAATTGATGCTGCTTTGATCAGGATTGATTATTGATTCTCTGATGTATTGCTCAGCCCGGGATGAGGACTCATCCAGCTGAAGGTGTTCCCACACCATTTGGACCGCTACCTCCAGGCCTATAAGGTGGTCATAGATCTATATTGCAGTATGATAACCTTGATTAAAGTCATCGCTGTATCTACATGAAAAAGTTGAACAAAATGTACAAAATAGTGTTATTTTCAATATAAAGTAACAATCAGTTCTTCTCCTGCTACAGGTATACAATATTCTGATTGCAGCTATTTATTACATTTATTTATTCATTTATAATAAGATGTTTTCAGCTGTTTAATTAGCTGCACAGTGCTGACTGTGGTGGGTGGAGCTCTGTTCATTTCCAGCCAAATGTCTGTCTTGTCTGTTGTTTGAGACCTTACATATTTTTCAATGACACAGATTAATATTTCTTATAAGCTTGGGATTAATGTAGGAGCCTTCTTTTAGCCAGCTGACCAACATTGTGAAGCACTGGTATCTACTAATAGGAGTTTAAACCAGAAGATGATTTGATAAATCATTTTAGCCATTTTGAAAATGTAACTTTCTAAAACCTTGGTACACTTTGATTCTTGTAACCCAACCATACCAATTACAGGATGTTACTGAGATTGTTTGTTGGTTTTTTTTATTTGTTTGTACTATTTTATCAAAAAATTAGCACTCATTTTGGCTCCAAATCTATAATGCCTCAGCATAATATCTGTTGCTTGTTATCTATTATTAACCTGACATAGCTTTTTTTCTTTATAAGTCAAATGACCAAAGGAAAAAAATCTAGCAGTGATCCCAGTGTCATCTCACCTGCTCCTTTTAAATAACATTTTTTGCAGAACTTTGATAAATGTCATTTGTCTCTTAGTGGAGCATTTTAACCCTGATGTGATATTAACAGTAACTCCATTGAAACGAAGGAAGCGGTTAATGCAAAGCTTGACATGTAGGAAGCTGTGATGAATCATTTGTTGCGGTCTTCAGCGACCAGACCTCAACACAGCTGAACATTTATGATTGTCGGAGATGTTCAGTAGTGATCTCAACCTTCACCATTACTCCAAATGAGGGAAATCACAGGATTACTGTCGAGGTGTCGGTCAGTTTTAGGTAGTGGGAATATTTTTTGTTAGTGGGAAAACTAATGAACGAGATAATAATAGCAACTTATGATAAAAGGGAATTTTATTTATGTAGCATATTTTCAGCAATAAAGCAATACAAAGTGCTTTACAAGATATAAAAGGAAATACAAATAAAACAACAAACCAAAGGAAAGAGCAAAAGAGGAAAAAGCTAATAATGTTGATCCAAAGTAAATAAACTAGATACTCCTATGGTGTTTCCAATAAACTCCAATTTATGAGGGGTGGAAACCCCTTTTCCCCAAAAAATATTTTTTCTGCTGTTTGTTACATTAGAGAATTGGTAAATGTCAGTTCTTTGAAAGTATTACAGGTGTATGACATGACAGATGATTTCTAAAAGATAATATTAGATGCTAAATTATGTTTAAAACTTGTATCACCACTTTTATCAGTATCAAAATAAATGAATAAAATGATTGTGATACAACTCTAATTCCACAGCACCATCCCTATTTTACACCCACTTTGTATAGTTTTGGTTCTGATGCCCATTTTGCTGTGGCCCAGTGCAGACTTGCATTATATATCAAATCACAATATCAATGTTTTTACGGTTTCATTTGTTCAGGACTGCTAAGATGCATTTGTGGTTAGGGTTAATTAACATCTATGTAGGATAGTATAAACTATCCTGTATAGATTTTTTAATATTTACCCTATAATTGAAAATTGTAAATTATGAAAGGTTTTTCATGTCCTACTATAAAGTGTGAAACATAAAATTGTTAACATCATTCCTCAAAAAAGGCCCAACCTTTTTTTTTGTCATTATGTTTGGAACAAATAAGGTAGTACCTTAAAAGCCATTTGATGTGTTATGCCTTATTCTACCTCGGTGATGTAATATGTGCAGCCCTGTCCAGCTGGTGCTGTTTTAAAGGGGAAAAAAAGGAACCCTAGTTTAAAGAGACACACTGATGACTGCTAGCACACAAGATCTACATCTATTTAGTCTAAACTCCTACACTTAGGGTAAAAGGTCAGAATTAATTGATTTGCATTATAGTTGTAAATTCAGACAGGGCTTGTCCTTTAATACCCTGTAATATAACATAAGGACACGACGCTGCTTTTGTTGCCCCACTTTAATTATGCAACAAAGTGTGGGATCAGCAAACTTGTTTCACTTTGGAGCTCTGGTCAATACTGCGAGGTTGTGTTTCTTGGACGTGGTGAAAACACAGGGACGACTGTCATTCTACTCCCATCACAGCACAGTTACCACTGAGCTTCATCATGTTACATGTGTGTAACGAGTGATGCCATCAGTGTTCATGTTGCATTTAACAAGAGGTGTAATGTGGAGAACTGCAAGTTGTTCAGACCCTAAAGGAGGCAGAGACTGTCGCCATAACAACTGATGGCTGAGCATCCAGGGATACGTTGAGCTACATCCAAATCCCAGCGCACGTCATCATTAGCAATGGGGGAATGGTAAATGTTGTACTGCAGACCATGCATAGTTGAAGCACTGCTATAAGGGGTTGGGTATGTGGTCTTTTTTACAATGTCGAAAGTGTAGGGAAATGTATAGATAGCATGTACTTCATACCAACAATATTAATATCGGATATTGATGCCGGCCAATCCCAGTTTTTTGGTTTTTACAGTGTATCGAAATATTTGGCTTCAGTGGTTCTTCACTGTCAAGACAGAAGTTCATATTTTATACTTATTTATTTGCGTAAATATTTCTTTGCAAAATGACTAATGAAGTGTGCCACTTTATTAGGCACACTTTGCTCAAAACCCATTTTGGTCAGTTGTATCCGCAATCTCTAATTGTTTTTACATATCTTTGGAGATAAAATGACTAACATATTACTAAGATCAGAAATGTTTCATAGCTAAAAATAAATTGAAACCTGGTTTTTGGTACCAGTTACCCACAAATCTGTCACATCAAACTGCCAGACCCACTTACTTCCTCCTTTACTCTATTGCCTACCTTCGTATTTGATGTAATACACACTCACTTTTGCAAGAAGACTCATTCCTTTTAAAATACTTAACTTCCTCACGTTTTCTCAGGAAGTCTTGCTCTACTATCATGAGGCTGAACGCTCAGATAAACGCTGTTAACAGCAGTTAACTTATTATATGCATCTTGTTTTCTTAGAAAAGAGCAGCTACATCACATTAAGTCATTAGATTCAATTGAAAGCCAAGTAAACCTCTGGACAACTGAAATTTACACAGATGTTCATATTTGGTGGAAGAAGAACCATTTGTTATATTTCTGAGAACATTTTTGTCTGTAAAATTTCATTTCAACCTTTAGGTGTTTGGAAAATGCAAACACAAAGGATCACTTCCTCATACTGTTGCATGTTATTGCTATAGGTGCTTGAAACAAGTGAAGCATCTTCTTGCTGTGACATGACCCTAAATGCTACAGTTTGCATTGTTAACCCAAATTTGGCTGAAATGAGTTTAAGCAGTAAACTGATATGCTGTGTTGGGTGAAAGGCTTCATGGATGCAACATAGTCATTTTTTTGGTATACCTTCCTAAAAGAGTGTGCTATTGTTCTATTGAGATTTGCACACTTCTGTTCAGTCATTATCTTCGCACATGGAAGGCATCTCTTGCAGCAAGCAGATGGCCATTCATCTTCATCCAGAATAAGTACTATTGATTGGAGAAGTAACAATGGCCATAAACGCAGCAAACCACAGCTTCACACAAAGCTCTTGAAAACGTTACAAATCAATAAAAAGCAAGCCAATGTACTTCTTGTTTGGAAGCTTTTTTTTCCTTTTCAGGACAATGTACAAAAGTTGGGTGTATCGAAAATCAGAGGAATCCAAATGAACTTGCAAAAATCAGTTAGAAAAACTTAGAGATGTTCAGGTTTCAGCTAAGTGGTTTAGCAGTGTTTTTATAGCTGACTCATTCAACCTGCCTGGTCTTCGTTCCGAGTGGACAATACTCATGAGGACTGGATTTAGAACAAGAAGCTTATGACTCATTCTGTCCTGATTGGACTCTTCCCGGCACCACCATAACTTTCAGAGTATGAAGCAGCTTTGTCGTCTTGTCAAATTTATGACAAAGGTTTTATTTTATTAGCATCAGCATGTGATGTTGCTGTTTATAGTAAATAAAATGGAATACTTATTTGAGGCTAAACCAAAAATTGGCTTGAAGTACAGTGCTTTGCAAAGGTAGTCAAGTCCCTTTCACGTTTTCATATTTTGTTATGTTACAGCCAGAAAATTCAGTTTATAATTTTTGCAATAGAAGAACACAAAACAGCTCTAGACAGAGTCCAATTGGATGGACAATGCCTTTGTACATCAATTTTTCTGTCTTTATAAAGATTTTCAATTGGATTTAGGTGTGAACTCTGTTTAGAAAACTGTACTGAGAGATGGACAACTTCCATATGTATGTATTGGAGCATTTGCTCACATATTATTCATCAGATTTATGTCCATCTCTCCTTTTTAAATCCAAAAGCACCTCATGCAAGCTTAAAAATGTTTTTTGTTTTGTTTGCAAAATTCAGGATGTTATTTTGAATTTCCAGTAAACAGTGATGTTGTATTAGTATCTAATACAATACTTCAAAATGTGCATTAAAAAGGACTGATGGAACCACTGTGTTTAAATATACATTTATATAACACAAAGGACAGTAAAAATCAAAGTTGTGCGGTGCTGGAAAGATCAGCCAGATCAGTGTTGCATGAGAGGAGATTGTATGTGTGCTGCAAACCTACGGAGCAGAGCAGAGGGAGGTTAGTGGGTCGTCACGTTTTAATTAACCGAGGAAGTCCATATAACAGTAATCAGTTCAGCAGGGGTTGTGTCAATGTGTGAAAAAGCGGTGAACATAAGCCACCTCTTCTTTCCAGTGCTCAGTTATGCACTAGTTTGTTTTAGTTGTCTCATAAAGTGTCAATTAAACAACACTTTTACCGGGCGTTTTCATTTTCCAGTTGACATTTTTTTATTATCAGTGGCTTTTTTGAAGTTATTGTCACAAAGAGGGTTTGCATATGATAATCTTCAGCCAAGAAATGTTCATTAAAAGTGAAAAACCGAAGTGAAAACAAAGTGTCCGAATGTATTTTCACTTCACTGTTGCTGCAGTCGCTTCACATCCAGTTTTGTGTTTCATATCCTCAAAGACCTGTGTAACTTAAATGTCAATAAATTTTATTGACAAAACCTATATTTTTTCTTGCAAACTATAGGTTGTATTTATTGTGATTAATAATGCATCAGAAGAGTGAAATTCACAATGAAAGCACAACCACGTCTGCTTCTTACTGGGTCAAGGAGAGCGGATGTGTTAAATAGGCTGAGTGCAACACATTGTGTGAACCGACTTTGCGCCTTGTCTTACATTAGCTTACACCCTGGCTGGCTTAAGACAAGGCAGAGTGGGGATGATGACGCTATCGCAGGAGCTGAATTATAGATTATAGTGCATGAGAAAGCTGCACAGTTGTATTTGAGCATGCTCAGTGCTGCTTAGTGGACTCAGGGAAGGTTCTCACACATGGGAGAGCCTAACCAAAACATCCTGCAGTTAAAACCACAGGGTGTTCCTAAGCGGTGTACACCAGTATCTATCCACTAGATGAACACAGGCTGCTGATGACAAGACTCATCACTGCCTATCAGTTTGACATACAGTTCACCTATCGATGGAAATACATTGGAATATGTCTTTAGCTTCATGTTGCAGCAAAATTATATATGTATATATCTGCAGTGGATAGAGCCAGTCTAATAATAGATATTATTTTTGAAGATGTCATCATGTCTGTGCTGCACCATTGTAATCATTCAGTGACAAAGAGGCGAAATATTTAGCAAAATTAAAGACCAAATGTGATTATATTTAATCTTTTCTATAGGAAAAGAAAGGTTGGTTTAAATGTGTGCTTTTTGTTTTTCAATAGATAAATGTGGAGCTACCAAGAGTTCAGGCAATTACACAGCAGCCCTGCAGGCAGTGTTAAGGATGTCAGCATGTGCCATGACTAATGATGAAACGGGCACTCCCTGCTGCTAGCCGAGCCGGTGTTTAACCAGATGTTTTGAAGTTGACTGATGCAATTATTTCAGGAGATTACCTCACATTTAGGTTATCGATGTTGGTTGCCTGTGAGCTGTGGGTAGGCGTCTGCCTTACAGCACATTGTTCAACGTCCTTATTTGTTTCGTATATTCTCTTACATATTCGAATATAATTAAATGTTTAAAGGGTTTATCATTAAGTTACATGGTCCTAATAATCACATCAATAACATGCTGAAGTGGTAATTATGTTCTCAATGTAACTAAAGCTTTTACAATCATTACAATTTAGTTCACAACTAAAAATCACACAATCAATTGCGATTAATAGATAATTTTGGGTTTTTTGTGTTCAGGTTTTGAATAATGTGAGCTACACAATGAAGTTCAGTTCACATTCTGTTGCAGAATCCAAAGAGCCATCAGTTTTGTATAAGAAAACACTCCAAACTCTGTAGAAATGTAATTTATAAAAATTAAAAAAATAATAATTATTATTAACATTTACTAGTGTTAAATATTATAACTTTGGTAAAAACTTGATTTTTAAATAAAAACAAAACGTTTTTTGTGTCTTTTTTGATGAATGAAACTGATCTCATTTTGTAGAAGATGGATCTGTAATTTATGCTGGACTTCAATAATTTTCCTATAAAGAAACGTATATAATTTCTGAAAGTTTTGAGTCCATTTTACATTGTACTTCAACAAAGAGTAAAGGAGATGAGTCACAATTTCTTAAAAAAAACGACTTATGAACTGCCTGTAATAGTCTGTTGAATTTGTCCTATTCTTGAATTGCAATTAGTAGCCCGACACAATCATTCTGGGCTGAGTGCCACACATGGCCCCCCAGCCACACTTTGAACACCACTGAACTAAAACCTGCTAAAAATAACAATGCAGCTCATTTTGATCACCTGATCCTGGGTCAAATGTAACGATTCAGTCCTGGATTGATTGATGAACATGATGGGTTTGACCCAGTAAACATGTTTAGATTCCTGACTAAACATGAAAACACGTGAAAATGGGTTAAAGTGACTCAAGTCCAACTCCATCAAACTATTGAACCAGAGAAAAAATAAATGAACACTATATTGCAGATCACATATTAGTTTTCTTGAATGTTTATGATGCTTTATTCGTGTTATTTTAATGGGAGGCATTTTACAGATTATGTAATGCAAATTTCAATTTTTATGGACAATTAAGTTTTTATCTTTTCTTTTATGCACAAGACGATATAAAATAATCATTTTTCTCACTACCTCTTTGGTCATAATGTTGAAAACAATGGCAAAAAACGTGAAGTTGTAAAAAACAGTTAATATAAATACTTATATTATCTTTGTCTTTTTGTATCGACAATACAAGCAACTATTTCACTTGAAATAGGGATTACAATACAGGCCAAAAAGAATAAATGTTTATATATGAAAAGGTTTCAAAAATATTTCTTTGGGATTATCAGTTCACTTTTGAACTGAAAAACTTGTCTTGATGAAATAAAAGAGATTATATTTTACGCTTGAAAGTCCAAATTGTTAATTTGCACAACAATTAGTAATACTGACTGATAATAAAGGTGAAGGATCAGTTAAGCTTTTTGATGTTCATATCTCAGCTTGACGCATGCTAAGTAATCTTTAGTGGCAGTAATTTCACAGCGTAGTGGATAAGCTTTACCCAGTTCCTCAAGTGGAAGAAGAAGCCAGGCTTCAAAGAAATGCTGAGGGTCAGTCAGTTTCTCAGATTAACATGCTGAATTAACGGAGGCTTGGAGTGGCTCAGATGTGATAATTCTAAAACTCTTTTTATAAAAAAAAAAAAAACCTCTTCTGCATTGCAGCGTGGCTTGAGCAAGTGGAATATGACTTCCTGATCCTTGTGTTTCAGACGAGCAGCAGGCTGTGAGTGTGAGGAAGTCTCAGAGGATGTCCCTGACCTGTGGGCCCCAGTGCTGAGGAAGCTCCACAGGGCTGACTGGTGGCCAGCATGTCTCAGCACCATCAATACCAGCGAGGCCCCCATGGCCGCACCATGAGCACCGAGGAGAGGAGTTCCACGCCAGTGAACAAGACCTCAGTGCCGGTTCAAAAGAGCGCCTCCTCCTCTTCCTCGTCCCAGCGAGACAGCCGGCAGGTAACGATCTTCTCACTTCAGAGGCAATCCATCGAGCAGCAGATTCCTGAGAGTGAAGCCGGAGCAGAGATGAAATTATCAGGAGTGAATGTTACAGTACTTTGGATACTGGGGGGACTCTGTCAGTAAGGATCGAGGAAATAGTAAATTATGAACAAAACATGTTGCGGAAACATAGCCAAGGTAAATAAATACATACGTAAAAGAAAAAGCTATGCATACATTTATGCAGGCATATTCATATATGCCAGAATTCCCTTTAATCATCACTCAGCCTTACGCTGAAATAGCAAGATGCGACAAACACAGATAAATGTTATCGTAACAGCTAAGCATTATGCATAACATTATGCATACCATAACAGCTAAGCATTATGCATTCATCCCTTATGAAAGGTTAAATACATTTAGATAAACCTGCTGCCAACATTTGCAAGATATCTGCTCATCAGCAGACTAATCAGCAGAGAAAGAGCAGTCACTACCAAATGAGCTGCGCTCTTATGTCACAGTTCACAGAGCAGTGGCTCAAACTTAACCCCTGCATTAAGTCATCCGAAGGCCCCAGTCGTCCTTCCTCTCCTCTCGGAGCTGCTGTGTCACTGTGGCCACACAGAAACCAGACACCCATACTGGAATCTCTGACATCACTGCTTTTCCGTTGGCACTGGCTGGTGAATATTTCATGAGAGATAGGCGAAGGCTTGGTGCCCCAGTGAACATGTGGCACATTCTGCAAGGCCAGTTTTGTCTGTGCAAGAGAAGGAGAAAGAAAGCCGATCTGAGGAATTGGGACAGTTAGCTGAAACCCTGCGGCTTGATGAAGCAGACAGTTACCCATTCAGACGCTCCGGCTCATTATTCCTTTCTTGGCTGCAACCTTTTGATGAAAAGGTTCTCCGCATTTTCCGTTTCACATAGAGTCTGTCCAAAGTACCTAATTGATGAAGTCAGACAGTAGACAAGCTGGAAGCTGAGACAGAATTAAAAAACAAAACATTCTCTTCTATTGAACTATTGCAAGGCTTTTGTAGCCGATGGATCAGAATCTCGAATGAGATTTGATGGTTTGCAGAGCATCTATGAAGTCTCATTATCTTTCTGGATTCTGTGTGATTGCATTTTGCTTGACAAATCTTACCAAAGAAAGAAAAAGGATTTGCTGCTAAGCAGAATCTCTCCTTTATGAAATAGTTATCTTAAAATAAAAACACTGTTATTTTTTTTATCTCATAGCCCTATTTATATATTATTTAAGGTCCAAAAATCCCAAATCTTGGGAAGAGTTTAACATCTGACTTATGTGATGCTGCCAAATCAGACGCAGATAAAAATAGGAGGAGATAAAGAGCAGAGGTTCATAATACAGACTAAACACTTGATATGAGGATATAATTAGTTTAACATTAGTTTATGTAGGGACTGGATGTCCCAAGCACAACAAATTAAAGATACAAATGATCAGACTTGGCAATGGATAACACAGTTACACAAATTACCTACTGTACTGCTGGCATTGTGACACAATAGACATTAACATTCCACAATAGAAATGAAGACCCCTTATTCAATTTAGTAAAAATAAAGTCACCAGAATTTTATTTTCATTGTGACCTATTGTAGTTAGTAATGCTGTAGTTCTTAACCTGGGTTGGATGAGTCGGTCTCAGGGGTGCGGTGGAGGTAAAGACACTGATGTAAAGTCGTGATGACACGCCCCCTGGGTCGTCACTTGCTTCACAGGATCACATGACATTGCTGAGCCAATCACTGCTGCCGGGAATTTAGTAGTCAATGGCTGTAGTAGTTGTATGTCATGTGGTTTCTTTGTTGATATTTTTGCATGTAATGGTTTTACAATTTCATGCATATTTAAATACATATTCATACATATTTTTAACTTGGGCTTTTTAATTATTGAGTTAAGCAGCGAGAGGAAATTATCATTGCCCCAAAGCAATACCTAAGGTTTACAGTATCAAAGGTTTAAGGAATGCCTCATTTTTTTAGGTCGGGTGACTCTGTTGTGATGAAAATAAATTCAGGGAAGTAAGACTCTGAATACTTCTGCTGTTGTGCCATGAAGGAGGATAAATGTGACCCAATGAAGAAATATGTGGAAATTGTTTTCATCTGTTGGACTTAATTGGCATTTCTGCATCTGCATGTATTTAGAGCTTTCTACGTTGTAAATCCTGTGCAAAAAAAGTAAATGGCATGTGCAGTATGTGTACAAAAAAGGAGCATTTTGCACTACTTTGTAAGCCTGTATTTCACAATTTTTTCTGTTATTTGTGGATGTTTTCTAACTTTAATGTATCACACTCAGTTCCCCGATCCATATTTATATTCTGCAAGTTTAATAGAAAAGATTGGGAATGTGTTACGGCTGGGACGCTGGGCTGTGATTGGTTGTTACATGTATACATTACTTCCTGCTGTATGAGTTATCAGAGAAGTATATTTTAAACTAATGTAAATGTTAGTTTCTTGTGGTGGGTCATCACGCTTTCCATTTCCCTGGGTGGGTGGCTGGGTGAGGGGACCATGGTCCTCACAGACTGCTCTCGCACACTTGATAAATCAGAGAAAAGGAGCAAGAGAGAAATAATTAAATGAGATGTTAAATACTCATCTGAAGCAAGAGTTTGATCTGCTATAACCCACATGTAGTCGTACCTCGCATTTTAAACATTTGCAGCTTAAGTGAGACGACCCTTATTACATTTGAAGTGGTGAGATTAATCGAGGAAGCAGAACTGAAATTGGAAAAAAGCTTCTTCACGATGAGCTCATTCAGTTTTAATTTTTTTTTCCAAGCACACCCTGAACGTTCTGCTCAAATTAGCTTCAGCATCAGTTTTCTGGGAAAGTAAAGCTTCATTTGAGCTTTGATGGCAAATGTTATGTATCCATTATGTGAAAAGCTACAGATAAACTTTTTCTCACTTTATGTATTCCATTCAAAATATTATCTGCTTTTTAATTTTATGTTGACCTTTATTATGCCTTTAGATGCTCCGCCAATGACCTGCGTTTTGTTGGCCTTCAATGATTTTTGCGGAAAAACAAAAACAATGCATTACTGTTTGGAGAAAGCCTTAATCGGATCCTGACCCCATTTTTTAATCGATACATGTCAATATACCGGCTGCTGATGGCTGCTTTTCACGCCCTCATGGGAGCACTAAGGTGAACCATCTGCAGTAAGCAAATTTCACACAAACACAATAACATGAATCTAGTTAGACATTCTAGTTAGACATTCCTAGATCCAAAATTACTTAAATGCTGCATTAAAAAATCTTTCTTGGTGAATTGTTCTGAATCAGGACAATTCACAAGTTTTTTTTAATTTTTTAATTTTATTTTTATCTATCTGTATGTTTGTACAGCAGTTTGGTAGAAATTGCTTTCTTGTCAAATGAAAGAAGATATTGGGAATATTTCTCAGAGCTGCACCAGCCCACGAGTCATCAGATGATACGTTTAGACGTCAAGCTTGTGTAACTGAATCTGGTGTGTTTATACTGTGTGCAGGCTTCTGCTTCTCTCAGGATGTCCACATCCTCTCTGTGTGGAAGCCAGCATCACTCTAAGCTTTACTGCTGAGCCAGCCAAATACAGCAGGAAAATACATCCTCAAAAACAATAGCTTTGTGGTTTGTAGCTGCTGAGATATCATCTTCCACTGGTGATTGTGTTGCTGTGTGAGGTGTGAATAGATTGCTTTTTTTTTTGTTGTGCAAGTGATATAATTTTTACTTTTTGGTTGCTACTATGGAGTTTAAAGCTATTAAACTCCATAGTTTAATAGGAGTGCCACATTTGAGAATGCTTGTTCTGTTGAGAAATAATTGTTTTTGAATTCGAATTTAAATTGTGCACGATATTCCTAGATGCCATTTTCTGAACAAGTCATGGATTTGTCTTGAATCACACACACAGATAAGGAAAGGACAGATCAAAAAGGACCAGTGGAGAAGATCACCAGTTACTCCCTCTGGAACATTATGCTTCTTGAGTTGCTGCAGAAAGTACGATCTCTGCTGGACCTTCTTCCGAACAGTGCCTGTGTGTGAAGTGAGCCGCAGTAGACACGGTTTTGTTGAGGATTATGAGGCGAGGCTATATTCAAATATGCCTAAATTTCATGCAGTCTTCCTAAAACACACAACTGAATTATCCAAGCTCCTTATTTTAGAAAAAAACAATTTAAAGGTGTCAATGCCTCATATATTCATTTATCGCTCTGTTTAATTGTGGCAAGCAAGTCATTTATCAAAAATATTTCTTAGAATGTATGCACACAACATGTTAGGAAAAATTGATTGACAGACTGTTCTTGTGCGTTACTGTCTATGCCAGAGACATAATGTAATGTAAAGCGGTCTCCAGAAGCTGGCTGTAGAACTGATATTTATAGGGCTGATTTAGCCTGAGGTGTCCCCAAAGAGTGTTTGTCCTTTTCTCAGCTCAGTGAAACCTTAACTGTAAAAGTTTGATTCATTGCATCAAAGGTCTGCTGTGGCTGTGTGTCACCTACGATGAAACCCTGAGGGTCTGTCTCATAGAAAAGGCTCGTCTCGATTGAGTACTTATTGTCTAAGCTTATTGTCATCTTTATCCAGTATAATTTCTGGTTCAAGCAAAGCCGTTTTCGAGATTTGAATATCTAACTTGTCAAGAAGACGTACATAAATTTACTGTCTATGAACGAGCAAATTTGTTAAGCTAATCTCCTTAAGGATCTTGCCTTTGAAAAGCAGGAGGCCTCTTACAGAATCTGCCACAAAATTCTCCAATAAAGGAGTAAACTTGCCAAGAGGGACCAGCTCATTCAGCTGTAAATTATTCTGCAGCAAGATCAATGAACGGAAGCAGAGTGCAGGAAATCACTTTGGCTTAATTCAGTTCAGTACTGAGGGCTGAGCCACAAAAAGCAGCAACTCTTATTATGGGCCCCATTTCCATATAAGCCAGTAGTCAGCATGTGCGTTGGTATTTACGTGGAGTCGGTGCTGTGGATCTTTTTAATGGTTTGGGAAGGGTACTGTATTTAAATATTTGCAGCACAAGCAATTCTTTATTTAGTGTACCATTGATTTATCAGTTTAGAGTCATTTAAAAGTCTTTAATGGTGCAGATAACAGACAGGAAGTTTGCCTGAGGCATTCCTCTATAACAAAAGTTTCATTATCGCCCTATAAGGCGTTAAGTATATACAGCGTAGTGTGTTAAATGAAGAAACATCGAACCATAACCTTTTATACAGGTAACAGCCGACTTGTACAGTTGGTGTATATTTTAAACTCCTCCACTTCCCCATTTTCACAAGGCATTTGCCCCCCCAGTGGAGGAATATGACCTCATTACCACCCAGATCTGTTTACCTACTTGTTAGATTAAGCAAGCTGTTGTCCTCTTTTGTTAAATGTCCTGCAAACCAAGGGTAGGTGTCATCATGCACCCCCGGAGAGACATCAAGGTTGTAGCGTCACATGGTGCAGCGAGAAGCCACAGGCTGTTTGTTGCTTGAGAAGTGAAGCTTGTGCATACTAAGCTGACTTTTTGTTTCAGAAGCTGCAGTATTATTGATTCAAGTTTTGAATGTTAAATCTAATCAAATACATTAAGTGTTTTGTTATCTTACTTATCCACATCTTATTTAAAGCTTTTATCAATTTGGCTAAAGGTGACCTAAAATAAAATGCCATCGCTGACAGAAAGGTGTTATAACATTATAATGGTTGAAAAAAGAGCAGACTGATTAATTCATTTTTTGATTTTCAATATTAATATCAAGATGCATGCATCTTATTCTTATATCATGCAACACTAATTTCAAGCAGTTGTTTCCAATTCATTTAGATACAGATATGTATGGTACATATACGCTGATGCTCTAATTCACACAGGATCAGAAATATACATACAAACTCAAAAATGTGCATACTCTCATATTTGGTTAAATATGCCTTAGTACATTGCAGAGAGCCTAACACAGACTGGATACTAAATAACTCTTACCAGAATCGGTCGGGCTCATTTACGTTGGATGATTTCTTGGCACTGACCCCTCTTCTAAGCAGAGTCCATAAATTTTTAAAAGCATTGAGGTTTGGGCCATTCGGGCAACTTAATCTTACTTTATCCATTCCAGAACCAAATGTAATGTGTGTCGGATCATTGTACCAGCAAACTGCTACCTCTGCTGAAACTGACCCGGGTCACATTTTCAGGAACATCTCATGAACCACCAGGTTCATGTCTAGATAGTGATACACCAAGTTATTGTGGAAACAGTTTAATGTCAATATGGTCTCAGAGAGTCACAATAAAGAAAGATTTCTATGCTCCAAAATCAACACTTTCAAACTGTCTCCAAAATCCTTAACGTCAACTCAAATCACCAACTAGATACACAAGGAAAAAAATTTAAATCTTCAATTTACAGTAGAATAGACATGTGGTTTTTGTACAGTGATGTTAAGACTTGAACCCAGAACTCTGTATTTTTAAAATTTTGTTGTATAATCATTTATGTCTGAAAAAAGTACTGTTGAAATACGTATTTGAAAGTTTCAAATTATATGACAGCGATAATCCTGACCAATAACAACTAACTGCATTAATTTGCAGGAATGTATTGGCAGCGAACCCCATAATTATTTTCTTCCTTTAGTCCATGAAGACCAACAGCATTTCTTTTAGTGAAACTGATGGTTCCGCAGAGAGACAGAAAATAGGATCACGTTTCTTACTCTGTTCCTGGTCATATTCCTGCTATCAAATCAGTGACCCCATTCTCCCGTGTGTCTCCTCCTGAGGGACAAAGGTTGGATGTCACCTGTCCCTGTGTGACCTGTCCACGGTTCCTCCCCAGAGGCGTCATTTTGATTTACAGACCCTCTCAGAGCTGAAAGAGCGTAGTCAGGAGAAAGCTAATGAGGTGGAAATGCTGAGAGAGCACAGGGGGACAGTATTTTGTTATTTTAAAGCTGTACTAGTGGGCTTAAAAGAAGCACTACACGTGTTCTTGTTTTTCCTATGACAAGGCCATGTTTTCTTTTTATTACAGCCTGTGTGTATCCTGTTTGTGTATCACACTAGAAGAGTGAGTGGATTAGTTCTGACACGGCTGTGTATTTTTCTTTCTCTCCAGGAGGCAGACAGCTGGGAAATAATCGAGGGACTGAAAATCGGTCAAAGCAATGTCCAAAGGCCCGACAAACACGAAGGGTTCATGTTGAAGAAAAGGAAATGGCCCCTGAAAGGATGGCACAAGGTACGATCCACATGCCAGGCCGGACCGAAAGCTTTCCCTTCTACAAAGAATGCACCAAACTGTGTCCTGAATATTAAAAGGCCACTTCTTTTAAGTCATTCTTTTTGTCATTTTCATTTCTTTGTTGTTATTTAACCAATTTTACTTTGATATTCTTGTTTTTTTTGTTTTGTTTTTTTTATTTTTTATTCTGCAGCGTTTCTTTGTTCTGGACAATGGTATTCTGAAGTACTCCAAGACCCCTATTGATGTAAGTAATCCTGACCGTCACCCCTGCAGGCAGAAACAGAGCTGCCCAGCCTGACCTCTGCTAGGATAGACAGTGAGTCAGCTGAGACATCTGCAGCGTGTTGCGTCTGCACGAAAAGCAAAACTGTCTGACAGAGTGGGGAGGCAATGCATGACAGTGACAAAACATTTTAGTCTTGCGCATTTTGGATTCTAGTGTCTGCAGGACCATCACTGTGATCAACATTTGTTATGAACCTGTTAGGAAACATAAACTATAACGCTTGCAGAAACCACAGAAATATTACATACTAAGAAGATAAACTGTGTTGTCCAAACAGTTGCTCCTAAAAATCCTCAACCACATTAGGTTTATTGTCAACATTTGAAGCCATTTAGGTGTTTGCAGTAAACAAATTAAACGAGAGCTGTTTAATTTGTTTACTAATATGGTTTATAACCAAATCTTTCACTGCAACCTTCTGTCACTGAGTACTGCACTCATGATTCAACCCCCTGAATTCATCACTGCACAGATTTACTAATCAAACGCATTCTCAGGGACTCTTGATGTAACCGATCGAGGGCTTCAATAATTGCATTTTATTGCATGTTGGAAAGATGGCTAAGAAACTGTCCAAAACGTTTAGAGAACACTGCCTGGCACAAACAACAAAGCCTGCACAAAAACATGGCAGAGACCCTGAATGTAACTTGAGATGCATGTGAAGGATTCTCGAACACGACTAAAGAAAGCAGTAGCTTAGCCACCTGAACATGGCAGAAGGAGGAAGTTGTCAATACCTCCCACTGGATTACTGGTGATTCAAGTGGTCAAAAACCCTCAAATGGTTATAAAGGCTTGGAGCGAGACCGAATGGCAGTTCAGTTTCCACAGTAAACCCCATTCTAAATGATGAAGATGTCTGTGCCTGCAATGTGTGGCGGGTGAGACGAATTGAAATTGAGCATCAGAACATCTTGGGAGAAATATATTACCGTAAACCAATGTCGAGCCGAAGCTTGGGTGTTCAGGCCTTCAGTCAACAATAATCCAAAGGATATCTCAAAGTCCACAAGGGTTTGGTTTCAGAAGATGTACTAATAGGAAATAAAGTGGAGTGAGTTTTACCCTGACTTGAAATCTTTAAAATTGTGGCATTTGAAAAAGGCGCTTGTACCATAGAAATCTAAGAGCATCAATATTTTGTCACCATCTAAACATTGTAGGCAAGATGTGGCACAGGCGTTTTGTTTTTCCCTTTAAACAGTTATTGCACAGTAAAAAACGTGTGACACTGAATAACAGACAGGTACTCAGAGTTCAAGTTTTATTGGTGCAGAAAGACTTTTGCTTTTCTCCTTATTGAACAATTCTGTTGCCCTTAAATCAAAAATAAATCCTTGTGGCCTTTATATAATTTAAGACAAAAGAGGGTTAATGAACTGGAGTCCTTTGCCCATGATGGGTTAAGATTCCTCATGAATCCAGCTGATGTTTTGCAGTTAATCAAGTTGTCCACAGGTCATAACAGCAAAAGGATGGTCTACTAAATACGAAAGATGCTTTTCATGGTTTGAATTCATTTAGGCACAACACTAATCTTGAATATGAATCTCATATTGACTCAAGGCTTTTGATTTAAGTCAAATCTATGCATCAAATTCTTGTTTTCGAAGTCGTCACTCATATCATTTAAACAAAAAGAACTGTTCAGATACATTTTTGAGTCCCAAATCTTTATCAGAAATACAGATAATGTGTGTAAATTATGAAGAGGTCTGGATGTTTTTGTCTGGATGTTTTTGCCAAATGTCTACAGATTCAAAGGGGAAAACTTCATGGCAGCATTGATGTTGGCCTTTCTGTCATGTCCATCAAAAAGAGGGCGCGTCGCATCGACCTGGACACCGAGGAGCACATTTATCATCTGAAGGTAACACTTTCGATGACTCACTATATCAAAGTGAAAAACAGCAGCTTGGTAAGTGGCAGAGGTCAAAGTTCGCTGTCTGCTTCCTGTCCAGGTCAAGTCTCAAGACATCTTTGACGCCTGGGTGTCGAAGCTGCGCCACCACCGACTCTATCGACAGAATGAGATAGTGCGCTCTCCCCGGGAGCCCACGATGCGGACGTTTCCTCCTCCAGCTGCCATGGAGACACCACAACCCTCACCAATTGTAGTAAATGAAACAAAGGTGAGCTTCTGGGGGAAAAAACATTTACATGTTAGCATTTATCTATTTCTTTTTGTATGTAAACTTTTTACATATGTAAACATGTAATGAATCTGAAAAGAGGAAGTTCTGTTCAGGGGCAAAATTTCCATGTAAACCAGAGTTTACATGGAAACACGCTCCTTGGTGTAATTACTGCCATTTTTCTGGTATTTTCTTCACTGACAAGATAATTACTAACATCATTTGTAGAAGTCATTCCAGTTCTGGATAAACACTGGAAAGTATTTTTAATTTCCAGATTATGTTCATCTAAAGTGCCTATAAGTTGTATCCATCTCTTCTCAAAGGTGTTTTTTTTTTTGCTGGTTTCATATTTAAAATTCTGCCATAAATTCACTGCAAAGTTTATAATAATAATAATTATTATGATAATAATAATAATTATTATTATTATCAGAATTTCAACATGGAAATGAATAGAAACCATGTGGATTATAGACATATATCTGCCTAACATAATAAAGCAAGACGTGAAACTGTATCCAAACCATTAAGATAACAAAAAGGATTGTCCATTCTCTGTAAGAGCGCTTGAAGTGTGAGTAAATGTGAGCATAGGGCCAGAGAAGCTCCTCCTGGGAGTGCTGCTGAGTCACAAGGAGGCCATTAGAGGTGATCAGTAGGATTTGGATCCCGAGCAGCTGGCTGCAGCACGATGAGCTCTCCCTGAAGATTGGCTCAAATGGAAGGCTCCAGTCCTGGAGTCAGAATTATCTACTGCATCAAACACTTAGAAGATGCTGGAAGCCTGGAACAAAAAGGGTTCAGAGTGGCAGCATTTATTCAAGCTGTGTATAATAGCTCATTTCCACAGCAGCTTTTATATAAGTGCTGGTTGAGGATAACAAAGTGTAGGGTCGGTGTTTCAGTTCCCTGATGGGTTCTGTGTAAAACTGATCCAACTTTGATATGCTGTCATACGTTTTTATGTTCTCGTCATCAGCATCAATGTTCCATCGTGGGGTTTTCATAATCATTAGTAGGACATATGGTTTTTTTTTGTGCCAGCTTTTCTGGCACATATTATATATTATACATATTATACATCATTGGAAAGTTTGGGATTCTTGAGATTATCATAACTGTAACTGTAGCGGCAGTAAATGCTTTTGTCAAACCACTCTGAAATTCAAAATATTATCCAGTTCACTGTTTAAAGTCTCACATAATTGACAGAAGAGCCTTTTTGAACAAAAACAGACCTTTCACATCCGGAATAGTGAGATTAATGTACTTCAATAAAAATAGCTAGTTCACAACAAGTCTTGCGTCCACAATCCAACATAATCTGCTGCTAAATCCTTCAAAATTTCTTTCAGCTGTGTCTGTTTTCCACAAAGTTGTCATTGTTTTGTTTGCTTTGTTTTAAGTGCTCTGCAGGAAACTTAAGGAGTAATTCCGAACCATTCTTTTTACATACAGACTCAGATATTTACATACACCTGCAGTAATATGTAGGTAAATGCTTCTTTGCAAGTTACATCCAGATCACATTCTTTCATGCCATCAACAATCTTTTGTGTGATTTTTTTTTTTCCCAGATATTTGATTACGCTTCATACCAAAGTTAGTGGAGGGTGGTCTTCTGCCTGTTGACTCTGCATTTTAAACAAGACTCAGTTCAGAGCTGTGGGAAAACCACTACAGAAGCGCAGTGTTAACCCGGTTTGTGCTTTCCGAAACCTGTTTCGATGAATGTGGCATCATTTTATGTCTCAAGTTTCAACGAGCAGCCAAACAGGCCCTCAGCATGATGCTCTCACCGCTGTGTATTACATTTGGAACTGCAGTTATAAGTTTAAGAGTCTCTCCTGAGCTCTTCTAATCATACCTCTCATCACTGATGCCAAATAGCTCAAACTTGATTTTGTCTGACCATAAGAAACTCTCTACTGAAAGCATTTAGCTCATCTTCTAGTTTATATTGCACTTGGTCTGTAGTAGAAATACAAAAAAAGAGAGAAAAAAAAGAAAAACAAATTGCATTTAATTTTCCATTATTTCAATATTGTTTCTTAGGAAACAATTATTTCAATATTGTTTCCTATTTTTTAAGGCTTACAGCTACACTACATCCACCGTCGCCTCCAAACTATATCAGAATGCTGTTGCATAACCTCAACATGTCGATCCAGCGTTTGCCCTCCAACATATCATTTTCTGTTCTCCTTTTAGTGAAGTATCGGTGTTCGTTTTGTAATTCATATCTATCTTTTTTTTTTTTTTGAGGACCAAACTCCAAATCCAGTGTACTTTCCTGTGTGTAGTGCATCATTGTGGCACATCGTGTTAAAATTTCCGGTTACTCTCTAGTTTCCTTCCTTTTTCCTTCTGCAAAAGTTTTTCTCTTTTTTCGCCCTACTTTTTGTCGTGTTAGCATTTAAGTTGGGACACAAGTGCAGGCAAAGCCAGAGGCAGATGATAAAGTGCAGAGTATTTCCTACAACAGATTAATAGTGGGGTGATTCGTAGTATTTATTTTTGAATTTGATTTATGTCATTTTAACTCAGTAGCGAATTGAAAGACTAAAATAGATTTTAATTTGTACATTCAGTTCCTAGTTTCCAATAAAAAAAATTTTTTTACATGCTTCATTACTAGGCCACATAAATGAAAAGGTCAACAATTAAACAGAAAAGGAGTTTTTCTTCTTAGTCCAAAAAAAGAAGAAAACATATCACTTTAATTCCCATCTTCCTGCATTGTTTTTATAAGACTGCTTTAGTTTATCTAATAGAAAACTTATTTCTTATAAAATAATCTATAAATTAATCCCTTCTGCTTTAATCCAGCATATTTCTTAGGTACCATAACTAGTTCGTGATCCTCTCTTAACTTGTGTGCAATAGAATCTGACGCGATTCCTTGGACACATCAGCCCTTCTGACCCTGTCTGTTATCACCTCACCTCAGCAGGCCAAGTCCACCATCTTGCCGTGGCAGCCGGCGGCTCCCAGCAGCAGCAGCAACAGCAGCCTTCAGGCGTCCTACAGCAACGGTCAGAGCAGGGTGGTCGCTTGGCTTCAAGAGTCGGAGGAGATGGACAAGTGTGCAGAGGGTGAGCGAGACGAAAGGCGACATTTGGGATTTTACAAAAGAGTAGATTAAATCGAGCCTGCCGTCTTTCCATAAATCCCTCAACGGTGGATGTGATTGCGCCATGACACGTAATGAGTTTGAGAGCTGGTGGGTGTGCATTTCATTTCCAGAGCTCGCACGCTGCCAGTCTAACCTGACCGAGTTAAGCCGGTTGTTGCAGAGCCTGGAGATCCTGCAGAGGACCCAGTCAGCGCCCAACTTCACAGATATGCAGGTAAAACACACACCTGAGAGCAACATACTGAAACACACTTACAGCGGTGTCGAGGATGAACTTGTAGTCAGTACTTCATTAAAACATTTTTTTTTTCAACTGGAAGGTTTGCTGCTGGTGAGAAGCTCACATCCATTATTCATTGGCATGAAGATCATATTCATTTTGAGCTTTTAAAGACTTAATCTGTTTATCTGTGAAGATGCAACAGCTGTACAGGAGATAGTGTCGGCTATTTTAAAAATAGAATTAGGTGGACAAGCTTAACAGCAGAGTAAAAGTCATACATGCTGATTTTGATTTTCATTAATTTATGTATTTTTGCTCTTTTTTTCCTGAAAGTAAGTATTTGTACCAGGAGAGATTACGATAAGCCTGCTTTATCAATTGTAAAACCAGTTTTGACGGCTGCTGATGATCATTGTCCTGTTGGAACTCTCAATTGTGACCCAGTTTCAGCTCTCTGACTCAAACTTTCATCTGCAGATGGAGAAAAAAATATATACTAATTAACCCAGAAAACACAAAAACCAGGAATGTAATAAAACAGGAAGTCACTGCTGCGTGACTGTAACAAGTTGAGCACCAACATAGACTGAGATAACACTGAGCAGGATATTTGGTCTTTTATGTGTAAATTGACTGGAACTTATTTACAGTTCTTTTTTTTTAATCATTTCCCTCTTGAATAATATTTGTACCTTTAAAATCTCTAAGTTGAAAAAAACATATATCCATGCCCTTGATGAGTGTATGTCTCACCAGCAGTGTATGTGTGTATATATGAGATGCAGACAGAAAGGAATCTTCAGATAAAGATGGAGGTGATTAGGTCTTTTGTTAGTTGGAGTGAGAAATGTGTCCCATTAGTTGCTGACATTTTATTCATCTCTCACCATTTGCATGGCATGTGTGTTGCTCCACAGCTGCGTTGTGGACCCTGACCTTTACGCTGCAGCACTGCATACACAGAATAACAATGACTGTGGCAATGACCATCAGGAGGCGGTTAACTGTTTAAGAAATTAACTTCTCAAGCTTGACTGGTTGAACTGAATTATTTCATTAAGTAAATTAAACTAGCAAAAGTGAAGGATTATAACAATTGAATCGCATTCATTGCTATACATGATTGTTGCTGAAAAGAGTCTCACTGAGATTTAAAACGTGTGTATGCTTTAATCTGTTTCGTTTGTGAACCAAACTAAAATGTGTATAAGATTTTGCAATACACATGCTACACTGTCACCTGACCCATCCATCACCTATGACCTATTGTTATCTATTGATTTGTTGTGTATTATAGTGTTTGTCTCGAACTCACAAATAAAACAACTCACCATTGTTATGTTTGCAGCCTAATTTTCTTTTTTATAAAGCTGTTCTTTTATGCCATTTCACTGCAGTCTATGTGCGGCTAACTCTTGCTTCTTTTGTGTGACGTGTTTGTCCTGTTAACCTCCCTTTGCACTGCTCGATCCACATGTGCCTCAAAGGCCAATTGTGTAGAACTGTCAAAGAAAGAAAAGCGCTTGAACAGAAGATGGAGAACAAAAAGTGTCGGCAAAGACGCGAAATTCCAACTGCAGGTAACACACATGCACACTAGCAGGGTTGGGTTAAACTCTCACTAGATGTAAACGGCGAGGGGAAATAATGAAGCTGCAGCTAATAATTGACTTAATTATAAGCAATATTTGTATGTTCACTAATAGGACATTGTTTTGTTAGTTCAGAACAAAATGTAGTCATGTTATTTGATGACATCAGGAGATTTTTCTTTTTTACTCATGGTGAGATTATACTGCTCTAACAAAATAAGTGGGTTAGGCTTAATACTTTTTGCACATCTTTGTCTGGGGTGCCCAAAACTATACTACTTAAATATTTATCATGTAAGGCATTTTCTAAAAAAGGAGCAGCACATGCTTCAAAATGCTACAACAGTCATGTCTCATGAAGTTGCAGCATCTGATTCAATGTGAGACTTTAATCCAGTTGATACCTAAATATTGTTCTTTTATTTTTCTCCTTTTAATCAGGAAATAATTACCTCACCATAACTGATTTAACTTCCACTGAAATAACATTAACAGAACATTTTTTGTCAGATTAATTCAACAGATTCACTGAGTTTAATAGATACATTTGGTTTCTGGCTTGGCAGCTGGTTCTCATCATAAGACACAGAAAAGTGCAGGACTGTAGAGTTTCTGACAGTAGTTCTCTGCGGCTGTGATCTCTCCAGGTTCCTCTGTCTGCCAGCATGTCGCCTGTCCGCCTCCACTCTTCCAACCCAAACCTGTGTGCTGAACTTGGGGACTACCAGCCTCCAGTTTCTCGCCTGTCGGACAGTGTGGAGTATGCCAGCGACTACATTAAACTTCAGGAGGAATTCTGCACTATTGCCCAGAAAGGCAAGCAAGCGACTGCTAAGCAGTTCATTTGTTTTATTGGAAAGAAACATTTAAATCTCTTGGACTTTTTCACACTTTTTATCACAATAAAACCACAAACTTCCATTTATTTTGTAGCGATTTGATGTGATACATCAAAGCAATGACTCATTTTGTTCTCTCTTCAATCTCAGGATATCTTGCTGTAATTGCATGGCAGCAACCTACTACTTAAATATTTATCATGTTAATGTGTTCTTGAAGCAGTGAACATGTTGACTAATGCACCTGAAAGTGATACGAATCACCTGAGCGCTTGCTCATTTCCTTTGCTTTTTGATGAATTATTGTCATTCCAGCTGATCAAGTGCATAACTGAATACAACTGTACCTGTTATAATAAAACATTTTGTTCTGTTTCAAGAGTCTGGAAAGCACTTCAAATGACAAATGACTTAATAAAGGTCAAAGCACAGATGCAGCACAGCACAAATTGGGATCGTTCCACATTAAATATTGATGAAATTGAATAAAAGCAGCAATGATGTTGGTGTTGTAGTTTGTTGAGGGAACAAAAATTTAGAAATTTTCCTCTCAGGTGGAAATTTAAAAAGATCTCTGAAGGTTAGAAAAGTGCAGAACTCTGAGTACTTTGTTTTAATTTTGAACCGCAAAGTTGGGTTCCTGTGTTTAATTTAAAAAAATAAATAAATAAAAATAAAGAAATGAAGATACATTTATAACATCAGTCTTACTTTTTAATATCTAAGTTGGAAAAATATCAATTTTTTTTTAGTCTTTTCAGTTTCAGAAACAGGCAAAAAAAATTGTCATAGTTAAATCTGTTGAACATTTCCATAATCATGTTTTTTTTTCTCTTCAAAACAACTATATTCAATTTATGCAATTTAAACTGTTTCTCACCAGGCTGGGAACCAGTCTCCTCCCTTCAGTCATCAAACTCCTGAACTCAAACTGCGTCTAATACAGCTTCATCTTACAAATTATTTACACACATATATATTTGTGTGTGTCACATAATTACTTTTATTAATTATTTATTATTTGTTTTCTGTGTAGTAAATTAGTTGATTAGTTGACCTGAGTTCGAATTTCAGACCACAAACAAGCAAGGTGGTATGACAATCAAAAGTCCTTGAATCCTTGAATTCTTAATTGAATAGAAAATCTACAAGCAGAAAGGCAGACCTCAGGAGAAGAACCAGTCCTGCCTAATGTGGCAACTAAATTAGTTTTTTGCAAAACCGCCATTATAACTTCACCATTTAGATCTGCATGATTGTATCTTGTCTCTAGAATGAAGGTCTTTGTCCCGGTGTGCATATTGATCCTGTTTTACTGCAGACAATGTTACTGTCTATGAGTTTTATTACTGCAAGATGAAATAAAACGGCGAAATAAATGATGTGAATCTGTACATTTGCTGTTTCAGATATGCTTTTGGGCCTTTTTTTTGCCCACAGATTTGCACACATTGAGTTTTAACCTTTGTGAAATTCTTCCATCTTTTAATATGTCAAATAACTCAATGAAGGATGTGCTTTCTCTTTCCGATTGTGTAAAGCAACAGTTTTCTGCTTCTTTCTTGCTTCCCCACAGTCCATTCTCTCCTGAAGTCGGCCTTCAACACCGTGGCCATAGAGAAAGAGAAGATCAAGCAGGTTCTCTCTGAGCAGGAGCAATCCGACCAGTCATCCCAGATCATCTCTATAAGAAAGTCTCTGTCGCTGGTATTTTTCATTTTTATTTTTTTTCTCCTCCTCACCTGAACTGTTTACAAGCAAATGTGGCTTCTTTTGTGCGATCATAATTTGGGGGGGACAAATGGAAAATTACAAAAATATTTTGTTTTCTTGTTACCTCAATTTATTTTGAAAGAAATCACATAACATAACTGAGTATATCTTGAGAGTCTCACATAGCACAATTAGGAAGAGATGACTTGTGCAAATGAAAGCAGAGTCAAGCCAGTCATGAAAGCCCAATCATCTTTTCCCAGTGTAATTGGTGATGGAGGGAGATGTGCAGCGCAGTTCATTAACCAAACTCCTGAGGGCTGTCTCTTTACACCAGCGATGTAATTGGACTGTTCCTCCTTCTAACCGTTGGCATAATTTTAGTGAAATGTTCCACTTGCTGCTTTATCTCTGTTATTTCCTTAATTGGATGGTAGTGTGACATGGCTCTCATGCTGCAGGTCGGATTTCCCAGCGAAGCTCTGTGGGAGGTTGATAATCTGTGGTTAGTAGTTGCTATAGATACAGCTGTTCAATGGGAAGATCTATATTTAGTTCACCACACATTTCTTCTTTTACTTATTTTAATAAACACTTAACACATTTGGCTTGTTTGCTACATCTCACAGTAGTTTGCGCCTTGATGGCTTGTCTCTAACCAGTGAAGAGACCTAATCCATTTTTCACAAAGCACTAATGCTAAATAAAATAAAAAACCTAAAAGACAACTCTTGTCTTTGTGGATTCTGACAGACTTTGATGTTGTCGTTTCCAAGTCTGGATAAGTATGGAAAAACGAAAACTGAGCATAAAAAATGTCAATATTTCCAGATTCTTTTCCTTATTTCATCATCTAAAAGATAGAATTCTACATTTTAGAAACTAAGATCTTTTTATATTGATTTCTACATAAATGATGTCTTTTAGTTTTAAAAATCCAATGTTCATTTTTCTCAGATAAACAGATAAATCTCTAAATTATTATTTTAGTGCTTTTGTTGCCTCGACATCAGAGGTCTCAAACCTAAATTAACAAAGCTCCATAGTTTAGTTATTCATTTAGTCTTGCTTACACAAGGACAAACCCAAAAGCTGCAGGACACTGACCCTCGAGGATTATAGTTCGGCATCTCTGCTCTGGACTCTTTGTCTGATTTGGATAACTGGCTGATTGATTAGTGCGTCTTTACTTAAAACATTTGCATCACGCTTCTTATCTTTCAGGCTCTGGCCCAAAACGCGGAGCTTCGAAGCCGCCTCAACCGCATTCACTCTGAATCTATCCTGACGGAACAAGTTGTCAGCGTGAACATCATCGCCACGCCTGATGAGGTAGGTCACTGCTGCCGGTCTCTCTCTGACGGAGCCAATTTCCCATGTCGATATCAATAAGATCACATCTACCAGGGGACGTCCAGGTTCTCGCAGTGCTTGCTTATTGCGTTTGTCTGTGGTGTTATTGATTCCTGTCCCAAAGATTTATGCTTTTTTCAATACACCCTGGCGAGTAAGCTCAAATGAACACTATTTGATGCAGAACTTGACATCAACGTTAATAGAAAAGATGACTAATTCAAAAAGGATGGGAGTGCGCCCTGTGGCGACGAAACACATGTTGTAATATGAACTTGCCGTTGCTCCCTCCGGTGCCGTTTCTGTTTCTGTTTGCTCAGGTCCGCTCGGCTCCGAATGCTGTCATCACGTTGAGCAAGGGTGAACAAACGCTGCTTTTGCTTGTGTTTGCCTGCAGGCCGTGGAGCAGATGGGGATCCCTCTGACTCAGCAGGCCTCTAATGAAAGCCGACTCTCCATGTCGGAGTCTGTCTCTGAGTTCTTTGATGCGCAGGAAGTGCTTCTGTCAGCCAGCTCGTCGGAGAACGAGGTACGAACAGACAGTGAAGACGTTTAAAGGCTGGCAGGTGTGTGTTGTGATTGGGGTAAATTAAGAGCTGGATTAAATTGGCTCTTGTGCTGGAAAACCACAGAGCTGTAATCAGACGTAGTTAACGGGAGCAGCCTGAAAATTAGAGGAAGAGCAGAAGGTTTTAAGCTCAGTCACTTTAAAACAACTTTTTCTGCTCTGTCTCCTTTTTAAAAGCAGAGTGTTGCATTATATCCACTAACTCCTATGTATTTTATTGGAATTTTATGTAAAATGCCAACACAATAGCAATGATAATGCTTATTTGTGGAGTGGAAATAAAATTTGGCTTTGAGTCTTTGTAGAACCACCATTAGCTGTAAGAAAATCTGCAAACAGGGAAAAAGTTTTAAAACAATGTTTCCGTTTTCGACACCTTTCTTAAAAAACCAAAATGCTGTTATTTTTTTTTCTTTTGGAGTGTCGCTCAGTTGGGACGTTTTTAGTGGATCTAACCATTTTCTTTCATTTACCCTTAAGTGTACATTGATGTTACTAGTTGTTGAAGACATGTTAATAGATGTGCAAAAGTCACAACTTCAGTGTGAAAGTAGTGAAATAGGTTTACATATCGTATTCTTTGCCGCAATCTAAACCAGAGGTACAGTGGACCCCCAGTATGAATGGACGACGTTTCCTAATACTTGAGATCTCCTCTAAATCTCCTCTAAAAATGTTTATAACTACCTATTTTAAGAGTTCAAAACAACAGATTTACCTTAATCTGCAGACTCAGTCTTACTTTCATCCCACTCTTGGAGGTACAACCAATCAGCAGCAAGGATAATAAATAGTGTTCCTGGATTGGTTGCTTTCGGTACCATGTCAAGTTGCACGGCTCCTTAATATTTCAGCTTCTGAAGTTGTATTTTCTTATTTTTTCATATTTTAAAAATAAGGATACAAGAATATCTGCGAGTAGCCGAGTTTTCCATGAAGAATTTGGAGTTGCATTCCACAGAAAATTCTGCAAACACCAATCTGTAAATAGGCAGAAATCCAGGCACGGCTAAGGCAGTGGTTAGACACGATTTAATATAGGGGTATCACCATATTTAAGTCCCTCTGCATGCTATACTTATCTTTTATCTTCCACTTGACTCTTTGTTTTTCTCTGTTACATATAATTCAAATTAAATATGCTGAAGTTTATATCAAGGTCACAAAATATGAAAAGAAATTAGGCGTTTAAATTCTTCTGCAGGGGAAGTAGCTGCAATGTCCTCCTTTCTGATGCCTTCAATGACCTCCTTGTGTTCCCATACAGTATGAAAATGCTGCAGTCTCTCCTACTACTATTACCGCAGTAACACAGATAGTTGCTGCTGCAGTTTTTTAGCCAAAGGCAAACTACATTTTGTGTGTAAGGCTAATCTGCACCATGCTCTGATCAGTTAGTAACGCACCGCCTCTTCCCTCGCTCTCCACCTGTCCCTCTCGCAGGGCTCAGACGATGAGTCATACGTCAGCGACGTCAGCGATAACATTTCTGAGGATAACGCCAGCGTGACCGACAACGTCTCCCGACAAAGTAGGTCCGGTTTCTGCGCCACCACGAGCATCCGCAGTCTCGAAAGGGAGACCGAAAAAAGAAAAGAAAACGAGTCAAGCAGGGAATTCCTGCATGTCCCATAAGCTGCGCTGCTCCCACAATGCCACGCACAAACTGACAGACACACGCTTTCACTGGCGAAGCCATTTATCAGTGTTGCAGAGGCATTTGACTTTGCAGTGCTGCTCTGTGCCAAGGGCTTTTCTCGGGCTTTATGAAGCAGTCGGGAAGGGATCTCCCTCCTTCATCTCTGTCACATCCCACACAGAGGAGGAGAGAAGGCAATAAAGCGCACAGGAAAAGAGAAAATACTCTGTGTTCTTACAAAATGAGTTTTGTATATTGGCAATAATATTTCAAATGGTTTGATGCATTATTAGAGCTGCCAACATTTAGTATCTTATAGTCTGGGGAATAAAGGACACTATTCTCTCAGGAAACAACTTTCAGTCATGATACAGTCTGGCCGGGTTCACTAAATCATTATGATTTATCACACATTAGCAGTCTATTTATGTCTGAGGAGTCAGAAGTGAAACAGATGCTCACAGATTAGCCATTCTTCAAAATAGGAAAGACAAGAGAATGAAAAGAGAGGTGTAAAGCCATAATATGTGCACATTTTATGTCTGCAGTAAAAGCTACAATTTAAAAATGTAAAAAATTCCCTAACAGCGATCTGATGACGTCTACATACCAAGCAGTTGCGTGGGAGCGATGCCATAAAAAGGCTTCTTTGTTTTATCATTACAAACATAAAAATGTGTTGTTAAACTTTTCTAAGTCTTTATCGAGAACCACATATTTGGTCAGAAACAAACGCTCCCGCAGAGCCTGGCACATAAATAAATGAATCTACAAAAAAGTAAAATCATAGGTATGATTTTAATAATCTCAAACATGAAACCTCAAATCAAAGTAGAGACTAAAACCATCACATTCCCCAGACCTAAAACCAGTAGAAAACCTGTGGACAATAGTAGAAAAAAAAAACTATTTCTTAACATGGAATATTTTAGCTAAATGTTGGCCACTATTCTCTAACGACCATCAGAGTCACATTGTTGTTCGTTTTGCTCAGTGGCCAATGGGGACTTTGCTGGCAGCGCTTTCCGTAACGGGCGGCGCATCTGCCTGCCGGCTCCCTGCCCGGACACCAGCAACATCAACCTGTGGAACATCCTGAGGAACAACATTGGCAAAGACCTGTCCAAAGTGTCCATGCCCGTGGAGCTCAACGAGCCGCTCAACACGCTGCAGCGCATGTGTGAGGAGCTGGAGTACAGCGAGCTGCTGGACAAGGCTGCAGAGACCGAGGATCCCTTTGAGCGCATGGTAAACAAAAACAAAGGTCATTTGATCTCAAACTCAAAGTGGATGGATGGATGGACGGACGGACGGATTGTTGTTCACTTTTTTCCAATGTTCACAATGTGAATGCTGACTTGTGAATATTCTGCAAATAAAGTGTTGTGTTTAAATCTCACTCAGCTCATCAAGTGAGCAAACAAATGGTTGCTGCAGTAAGTTAGTGCGTCTATTACTGGAAGTCATGGCTCTCAGGTGTTAATTGCCTTCATACCTTCGGATCGGGTTTGACTCCCTGGTGTTACAACTCCTTCCTGTTGCTCTGACTCCATCACAGGTTCTCGTCGCAGCTTTCGCCGTGTCGGGGTACTCCTCCACTTACTACAGAGCAGGAAGTAAGCCATTCAACCCCTTGCTTGGAGAGACGTATGAATGTATCCGGGAAGACAAGGGCTTCTGCTTTTTCTCTGAGCAGGTATATCTGCCAAAGATGTAGAAATATTTTTAGGTGTGTTTGATGGAGCACAGTAATAAAATCTGTGACTTTGTTCCAAAAAACCTGCTTTATTGTATTTTTATATTTGTGTTATTCTCTAATTTAAAAACAAAACAAGCTAGAAAGACAAGAAACTTGGTGGAACATAAATCTATGAACATCAGTGTGACTGTCATAAGAAATGTGACTCTTTGTTTGATCTTTCCTCTCAGGTGAGCCACCACCCTCCTGTCTCTGCCTGCCACTGCGAATCCAAGAACTTCACCTTCTGGCAAGGTAGATCACCTGGCTGATGATTAGTGAGAGAGAGTCTGGCTTAGCAGATAGGAAACATCAGGAGTAAACTCTCTTGTTAAAAATAACTTTTTCTGGCTTGATTCCCAATGTTTGTCTGCTTTTCTGCTTCTTAGATGTGAGATGGAAAAACAAATTCTGGGGAAAGTCAATGGAAATTTTACCTATCGGTTCTGTGAATCTCACAATTCCCAGGTAACTCCCACCCCATCACTGAGCAACAATTTGTTCTTAAAGGAAAGAAGTTTAGTTATTTCAAACCAGCAAGTTTTCAGATTTATTGTCCTGCTGAGTTTAGAATGGAAAAATGTCCTGTGTTTTCATTGGACAGGTCAGTCTTGGAGCAATTAATGAGCTACACTATGCATAATAATGTAAAATGATATAAAATACATGTAAACATACTTATCAAACAAATCTGCTATTAAAGATTAAAGTGAAAGTAGCAGACTTTAGAACATTGAATATTCAAATACTTTTTTACTTTATTACATTAGGTCTTGGTCAAAAGTTCACAAACAAAATAGAGCTGAAGCAGAAGACGCTTCAACTCAGTGTGGTTTTTAATTTATGGAATAAAAAAGCATAACTGTGACGTTGTGTGAATTTAAGAAAATCCAAAAAAAATAAAACATTTTTCACCTAAATCATGTTTAAAGAAAATATATTCAAGTTGTATGTTGTATGATCAGGGCATTGTGAAAAAGAAGGGCTCACATAAATCATTTAAGGCTCTGAAAGAAATCTGAAATTCATGCCAATCATAAGTGTATGTAAACTTCTGACTCATTTGTTCTTATCCCAGAAAAAGAGTAATGCTGTGAATTTCAAATGTTTCTGTTTGGTTGTGTCAGCTGCGTGTGTTTATTTGCAGGTTTGGAGATAATTATGAATGGAATAAAGTCACAACCTGTGTGCACAACATCCTCAGTGGACGGCGGTGGATCGAACATTACGGGGAGATTACCATCAGAAACACAAAGAGCAGCGCTTGTCTTTGCAAACTTACCTTTGTCAAGGTAAAAAATATATATGTATATATTTATGACATTGTAAGCATCTGATTTTATTTTATTCGCTGATTTATCAGAGACTGTTTCTCGTAGGGAAATTACTGGAGCTCCAACGTAAACGAGGTCCAGGGATTCGTGATGGACCAAGAGGGAAAAGTGATCCACAGGCTTTTTGGGAAATGGCACGAAGGTCTTTACTGCGGCGTCCCTCCATCTGCCAAATGCGTCTGGAGACCGGGTACCATCCTTTCACACACAGCTGGACCTCAACTAATACTGGCTGCATAAAAAGCCCCTCGCGTCCGGATCTTTGAGCTAAAAGGAACCCAAATTGCTTTTTCTCCTCAGGCTCCATGCCGACAGACTACGAGCTGTACTATGGCTTCACCAGATTTGCTATCGAACTGAATGAGCTGTGCCCCGAGCTGAAAGACGCCCTGCCGCGGACAGATGCTCGATTCAGGCCCGATCAAAGGTACAGACCCCCGATAGCCTTTCTCAGCTAAAGAAAAATGTTTAGATCAATGATGTCTTGCAAAAGTATGCATAGCAATTCCCCGTTTTTCTCATATTACGACCTCAAAATCCCAATTTAAGTTATTGGGATTTTATGCAACAGACCAACACAAAGTGCCATTTAATTGTGCTCACATATCGTCTTCAGAAGTGGTCTGGTCCAGCTGTGTGTATAAATAAAGCTGTGCTATAAAGACCCAGTAGGTTTGTCAGAAAACACGCATGAATAACACCTTGGATGTGTGAGAGAGTCAAGGCAAAAGCTGCTATAGAAAGAAAACCATGAAGTTTCAAAACAATGAAGAAGAATCTCTGTTCAGGTGATGCTGCAATTTAATAATTTTCTCCCGCATGCTATAGATAGAGTGATAGAGTACTTACTCCTAAAAATCATCATCCACATGATGAAGCAAGGCAGTGGCATAATCATGCTGCGGGATCTACACTTAAATCCATTTAGGATTTGAAATGACTGATATGGCTTCAAAAATTATATAAAGATAAACTCCAGTCTGACTGAGCTTCAGCTATTTTGGAAAGAAGAATGGGGCAAAACTTTAGTTTGGATTTGCAAAGTTAGTAAAGACAGATTTGCTATCTGTCTTTTTGCTGCCACAGATATCTGGAGGAAGGAAACGTGGAGATGGCCTCTTCTGAGAAGCAGCGCATCGAAGACGCCCAGAGAACCAGGAGGAAGTGGAATGAGGAGAACAACATCAAACATGAGCCGCGCTTCTTTAAGTAAGGGCAAGCCTCATGTTGAAAACACATCTTTTCACCCAGATGATACTGATTTTATTGACTTTGTAATCCCAAAGACTCAGCCTGTAAAACGTATCACAGAAGTGCCTCCCGTGTGATGCATGACTGTTCACTGAAGCATTTTAAACAATTACAAACATGACTTATGCAGAAACCTACAACACAAAGTGATACAAAGTTTGATATGTAGCGTAAGATCTCAATGAATATCATCTCAGAGTATAATTTAAACCAATTTATTACACATCATTGACAAATACAGTTAAACATGTTGCACCAGCTGGTATCAGTCAATCAGTTGCATCTGATTGTTGCTGCAATCCGTCCTCTGGAGAGAAACCGTCCCCTTTTAATTGAAGAAAAAACATCAGCAGAACCAGGCTGGGCTTGAGGAGCCGTCTGTTTCACGCACAGAGAGGTTCAGAGGGAACGGAGGAAACAAGAAAAAACACAAGAAAAGCATCAGGATTGCACCTTCTCTGGAATGATGGAGGGCACAGAAAGTTTCAGGAGCTGCACCAATTCCTTTAGTCCAGCAAAGATGTACAGCCAAACCAAGAAGCCCTCAGCCAAGAGTATTACCTATAAATAGAAAAAATAGGGGAGTACAGAAAGTTTTTGTCAGCTGTTGTTCGATTAATCACACAGTCAATTTCTGTCCAGCAAAGAGACTCAGCTAAAAACAGAATTACTGCACAAAGAACATTTTTTTATTCTAAACTTGTAAGTTTATAGAGCAAACTTTACCAAACCTTTTCTCACAGTGACTCATGTTGGATATATAGACGATCTGAATCTTGTATTTGATGTTATGTTGCTGCAGTAACTAGTGGGAGCTCAGCTTCATCATTAGAACCTCAATTCATAAAAGAAATTAGCAACATAACCATCATTTTCATCTCAAAATTTGCATAAAAATGATAAATCGTCATCTATTCCCACTTATCCTAGCAGGGTTGCGGAGGAGCTGCAAGAGGCATTATTAAATAATTAGAAAGAGAGATAATTAAAATAAAATAGAGTTTAGGGGCTGTGTAATTTTCTGGTTTTAGTGTCTTATGAATGATCTAAGACGATCAAGACCTGCTGTTTTAGGTAAAAGCATAACCGAGGAACCATCACTCTTCTTATAAAGCATCACCTTAGATCGAAGTCAGTTTATTGAATTTAAAATAGAAAACGCAATAAGCAGATGAAACTTGTGGCAGTTCTACAAAGACCTGATTTTTTTCTTGTTGCCTAGATGCTCAAGCTGAATCAAAGTGTGTAGACAGGAGAGAGAAGCAGATAATTATCCCACGTTCACCTGCTGAGTCCCACGTTTCAGCTCAGGGTGCCATGGTGATTGTAACGGCAGCAATCATCATGCGCTGATGCGTAAAAGTATTCAGATTGCAAGTTATTGCAAACATGGCAGTAATTGCTGCTAAGAGCTGTACAAGCAGTTTTTAGGATAAGAAATGTTGAGGAAATCATCAGGAAAATATTCTCTTATATAAAAAAAAAGCTAAAAATCCTGCATCATTTTTCCCATTTTGTGCAGAAAGGTGGTGGATGCCAACCACAGGGAGAGGTGGGTCTCCAACAACATGTACTGGGAGCTCCGCAAAAACCCCGGCTTCATCAACATGGAGCCCACCGTCAGCCTGTGGTAGCACACGGAGCTCCGCCTCCATCGCTGCGGACCGGGAAGCTCTTACCTATGCACCGCAGGGTGTCGGACAGGAACACTCAGCAACAAATGTGTGCATGGACAAGAAGGAGTGCGGAGCTGAGAACGTCGAGGGGCTGCGACATGGTCACCCATCCGTGGAAACATCCTCATCCTGCTTGTCAAAGCTGGGTCGTCACTACTACGTAGATCTCTCCTCAGCTCTTCTGACTTTCCCAGTTTGTCCTTGCCTTAAAAAGACCCCCATACGAGTCAAAGGATTAGGCGCCTTTTAGTTGAAGCCATTTCGTTTCCAGACAGCAGTTTGGCTTAGACTAGTCTATGGAGTAGACGTTTTGAATACCTACCAATATGTGCATGCTTAGAGAGCAGCTTTCACTGGCATAAAGCCGTATTTACTACATCATCAAATATTGTAGAGAAAAAAAAAAAGACGTATTTTTTTATTAAAAAAAAAAAAGAATATCTTGTGTGAAAGAATTATTTGAATTGGCAGATTTTATTTATTTTTGTTTTTTAATACTAATGAATCTGTTAGGTGGCAGAATCTTCTCTGGGGAATCGACTCATGCAAGGTTAACAGGAACAGTGGCAAGAGATCACATCACTAACACATTTACAGGAGTAAAACATGTAGGTTGCGTCAGAATATAAATAGAAGAGACGGTGAATAGTTGGCATTATTTATTATTTTCCATAAAATCAACTCTTCTAAATTACACAAAACCTCAAAGACTTGTTTAGGATCAGTATGTGCAGCAAGATTACATTGGAAATGAATTTTTCCTGTGTGCAGATGGTGCCCTGCAAGGGTATTTATTTTCACAAACTCCTTCACATTTTGTCACAACCGCAAAACCTAAATGTGTTTTGTTGGGATTTTAGATGATAGTGGAGCATAGCTGTGAAGTGGAAGGAAAAGGAAACAAGCATATGCTTATGCAAATAAAAATGTAAAATGTTCTTATGCAGTAACCCTTGCATGTCTTTTGGGATATGTCTCCAACATTTTTGTACATCTAGACACTGAAATATTTCAAATCTTGCTTCAGATTCTCATTTGGATTTAGATCTGGACTTTGACAGGGCCACTCTAACCCATGAATACCCCTGTGTCAAATCATTCGCTGCCTTTAGGAATTTATCTTCGCCTATATTGGATTGCTAATAAGGATGCTTCATAGTACAAGGGGCTGGATATATTTACATGCCTCACTTTTCAGATATACATCTGTAGAAACTGTAAACAGCGTCTTTATACTCCTACTTCACACTGTGTTGGTCTATCACATGCGATCTCATTAGAAACCCATTGCGTTTTGTGGCTGCAAAAATATGTGAAATAAATTTGTGAATAATTTGGAGAGGCAGTGTAAATGTTTCGCAGTGTCAGCGTGAGAAAAGATGAAGCAAAAGTGCGGTAGAAATTGGGAAAAGTCTTTTAACATGCAAATCACTTTAATTTCAATTTTTTTTCATATTTTCATTAATTTTCTTGATAACAAAATACCAACCCTTCTAATAAGTTATTAAAGCTATCATTTTAAATCTGAGGCAGCGGCGACACCTAGAGGTTGCCATGTAAAAGAACAGGAGGCTAATTTTTCTTTTAGTTTTTTTAAAACCAGATTCATGTTGGATTCTCCAGAAAACTTACTGCTACGTCTTTTGCTTCTGCAAAAAATAAGAAAAAAAGAAAGTTATATAAAGTTTGTATATTTACTGCAAAACAGAGAAGCTTTAAGGTTTTGAATAGCTCCCGATTTTTCATTTTGTTCTTCAGACTAATATGATGCCCTTTTACGATAACCCTCTAACACATTTGAGTACTCTCACACTGTCCTACATATGAACTGCTTCCTATAGTTCTGGACTGGAGGGTGAGAGAGGAAAATATATAAAGCCAGAGTGAAGTTTAAAAACCAAAAAAAGTAGGTCTGCTTTGCATCTGTGTGATTCTCTATTTAAAAGAAGGAAGAAAAAAAATTCTGGATCACAATCTCAACGCTGAAACTCTTCAGTTTCACTTGCTGTGCCTTAATGCATTTCTCAATGCGTCACACACACACACACACCTGACAGGAACACCACGCCAAGAAGAAGATATGCCATTAAAGAAAGTCACACTTTCCATCTACCCGCAGACGATTACACACACCGAGGCTTTCCCTCTGGACAGAGTAGTTTAGATTTAATGTATTTTTGTTCTGCCTGCGTCACGCTGGCGGGTTAAAGACGTTCCTCACCTCTGAAGCCGATTTCCTTTCCTCCACCGGCTTCAGTGATCGAGTCCCAGCAGCTCAAAACAGTACTTCTCGTAGGCCTTGTATCATAAAATCAGGAGAGATAAAAATAAATAAATAAAAGATGACCTGAAGCTTTCTACATCCATCGCTCCACCTGCATGTCTAGACAACTTTCGCTTGCCAATGAATGTCTTTGATGCCTTACAAAGAAAGGTTATTATTTTCTAACTTGGACCCAATCCTCCTTGTGGACTGACACGGATCACAAAGCACTAAAGTCAGCTTGGTTTTATTCAGATCTACTCCCTTGTGGATACCTTCTAAAGTGCAATTTTAACTAAGTACATATCTTTCCATGGACACTGTACACTGCTGCTGCATAGTGCTTGTTCTAATAAAATGGCAAACGACAAACAGGAGTCAGTGTTTTTTTTTACATCCTGGAGGAACTGCAGTCGTGGACGAGGGTTTGGGGGCAAAGCTGAACATCAGAATGCTTTCAGTCAAGATGAAAGGGGAAAAAAATGCTAATTGAGGCAAGGCAAGTTTCCAGGTATTGCACATTTCAGCAGCAAGCAATTCTTCCAAGAACTAAAAAAGTGCATGTGAACTTCTGAACATGAAGAAACTGATAAGAGAATTTTATTTTTGCGTGTCATCATTGTGGCATTTAGTAAATAGAAATAACTGAAGTAATCTTAACTGAGCCTGATGGACAGCTCCTCGGAGAAATAGCTCCACCAATAACTGCAACAACCATCAGCCGGACGGTGAGCAAACAGCAGCCATAATTCAGGAGTTGATTGGGTTTATTTGCTGGTTTCAAAACAAACCGAGAATCCGGTCTGACACAGGTTGGAAGTGTAGTTAAGAGGATCACATCTATACATTTAGCTGCACCATGGGAGAGTATGAAAGTAGCTGTTTTAAGAACACACCGCATTCAAGGGAGCATTTCTGACAAAATGTCCAGAAAGTATTCACAGAGCTGCACTTTCCACACATTTTAATACATTAGAGCATTATTCTAAATTATCTTAAATTAATCTCTACACACAAATATGCCATTTTATGACAATATTGAAAAAACAAATTGATTTGTGTAAATTTACTGAAAAAAAAGGCGATGGAAAAGTCCCATTTATGTAAGTTTTCACAGCCTTTGCTATGAAGCTCAAAATTCAGATGACTGCAGCTAACATGGAGTTCACCTGTGGTGAATACAGTTGATTTTGAAAGGCACATGCATCTACATATGGTTCCACTGTTAATAGTGCAGATCAGAGGTCAAAAACAAAGAATGAAATCAAAAGAATTGTATTGAGACTCAGATCTGGCGAAGGTCCCAATGACCTCATTGGTCTCCATCACTGGTAAATGGTAGAAGGACTCAAACTGGAGCTGGTTGGCCCGTTGAACTGAGCGGTCGGGGGAGAAGGGCGGAGGATTTTGAGGAAAGAGATTAAAACAAGATGCAGAGAAAGTGAAGGACTGTGAACACTTTCTGGATCCACTGTTTACAAGCTGAATTTCTGGGATGGATCTAAATGGAAACATTCCTAACAGTCAAACTGTTTCTTCTCCTGATATACAATTTTTTGTGATAACAGTTAAAAAACAAACAAACCTAACTGGTAACTGAAGTAACTTCCCTCCTGACTGTAAATCAAGTGAAAGAGCCAAGCCAGCAGTGTGAAATCTAAATGAACAAAGCATGATTGCTTCAAGATAAGTTAAAAAGCTAATTTGTTGCTCTTACTTAACATTTGCTTAAATACTCTGAATAGTTGAAGCCTCTTAAAAGCACCATGAAAAACCTGCTTATGCTAAGAGTTGAGATCAGAGCTCAAACAGAGCTGCTCTTTGACACAGATGAGTGCATATGATGGGGTCTGGTGGAGAATCTGTTGGTGCAAGTTGGGATTTTCATTTGCTGGAAGCCATGATCTTCATGTACTGGAGGGCGCTGTGCGCCGCGTCGTTGTGGGCGTTGCTGCAGGAGATGCCGGTGCCATGGCACACGGTGACGGGGGAGGTGGACAGCTCTGCCAGGCACTGGTACTGACCGTTCACCGTCAGCTCATCTGCAAAACACCAACACGTTTAAAAAGGAGAGCTGATGTGTCTTCTATTGTCAGGAGCCAACAGATGTTACCTGGAATCAAACTGTATGCACAAAGGCATGTCAAGGTAATCATATATGTTAACTTTTTTCAAATTTAGAGACACCTGACCACAAACTCCAATGCATTTAACTAAGAAAGGAAGACAGGAGGGAAAGACATAATGAAGAGAGGAAGAGTAGATTTTCCATCTTCAAGAACTCCTAGAATAAAAAACCTTTTACTCTAGGAAAACATACAATTATAACTTTTGTATTCTGGTTGGAACAGTCAGTGGGGATGGGATAGAGATGGAAGAAAATTAAACACATTTTCTTATAGACCAGGTGAGATGTGGGTATCTCACCTATGTCAAAGTATGTGACCTCAAAGCCTTGCTCTTTGGAGAGATCAAGCAGCATCTGAATGTAGTCAGTGTTGGGAATGCTCAGAGGATTTCTCCTGAGTAGAGAGATCCTCTCTGCTGTGGAGTTCCTGATGTTCTCAAAGCAAGTACTTGGATTAGGAGTCTAAAAAGATGGAAGTCCAAAAAAAAGTTTAAATCGGTTTCAATTTCAACAACAACAAAAAAAAAGTATGGCAGAAAGTCAAAACAAATAATATAAAAATGTATTGCAGACCCATGTGATCTCAGAGGATCCTGACAAACTCTGAAGCTTCACCACCATTTTCTCTGCTGCTTCCTTTTTTGCTGCTTTTTTGGTGTTTCCAACCCCTGCAACAACAAAAAAAAAAAAAACTAAGCCTCAGAAGAATCCCATCAAACAAATGAAAGAAAAAAAGAAAGTTAAGTTGTGTTTGGAATAGAAATAAATTACAGAAAAAACAGCACACCCTGTTCGGTCAGCGACTCCAGTCTACAGATTACTGTGAACTCTTTTCGGTGTGGCGGCCCGCTCTCTGTTAAAATAATGTATTCAGGAACACGCCATCTTCTCTGCAACGCCAGGGCCTGAAACAAAAAAAAAAAATGTAACATGGAGATTGTTTGTTGCATTTCCCACATAAAAAGGTCAAATAAAGAGATTTCTGATAGGTGAAGCCAAAAATATTCATGCTGTTACAAACTTTAACTAAGCTCCACATGTCAAACAGGAAAAAAAAAAATTCTGGGAGCATCACTTCTTCAGTTTGACTAATTTTTAGTTTCATCAGGGCTGCAAATAAGGCAACGATGCTGCCAGCTCCACATGATGTCTTAACTGAACAATTAAAGATCTTGAAGCTCAGTAAACATGGAGCTGACTTTTGAAGAGCAGAATGGCGGCACACCTGCAGCAGGCCCACGGGGTTGTTTGGTTCTGCTACTATGATGCCATTAGTGTTGGACCTCCCAGAAATGGCCCTGTTGGACGCAACATCGTAGACATCATGACATCGGTCTGACGAATTAACACCCCATAGAATCACTTTTATTAATTATAGTGCTGATGAGTTTATAAATGGACTGAAATTGAAGGTTTGATTTGACCAACATTTTTAAATCTGAGAATCATCTACAGTGGTAAGAGATTAATTTATTTTCAAGAGTTTTACAAACCAGATTTGAAAATTAAGTGTTGAGACTTTCTGTAAAACCACAAATCCGACAGCCTATAGATGAAAAATAATGTTCTCAGTTTAATAGTTTGTAGATGAGTCAGTAAAAACGCAATTCAAGCATACTTATCTTTATTTTACTTCAAAACATTTTGCAAAGAATAATCTTTTATTTTCCCATATTTTAGACCTAGTAAGCATGTTTAATTTCCATTTATTCTTAAGTTTACTTCAATAGGAAAGCTCTTTATTCTTTAGATAAATATCAATTAGTTCACGGTTTGTCAGGCTCTACTCACCCACTTTCAGAGTCGATGTTCAAAATTTTCAGTGCGGCCTCTGCAGCCTGTTGCTTAGCTGCCTTTTTACTGGGTCCCTGACCTGTAATAGCAGAAACATTTATTACATTTCTCAAATGACTGAACAGATTTATAAACACAGTTTCACATAATGTCCCTTATAGGTTAAGTTACGATAAACATTTACAATACAGTTTCAGTTTTCTATAAGTTTCATGATTTAAAATAAAAAAATATATAAAAATATAATACTGCACTGGATTATTCTGTAATAAATACTGATTCTTAACAGCGAAATTTGTGATCCAGGATATCTTAATTTAAATATGCTGGATTTAAATACTTTATTTTGATGCCCAAGAACCACAAGGAAAATATGATGTAAAGTATGTGGCCTAGTTCTTGATTGTTGTTTGCATCATTAACTTGGAAAAAAAAAGATTAATTAAAAAAAAAAACTAATAGAAAGTGCAGACCTAACTTTGAAAACCAGAAGGTCTAATTGCAGCATCAGCTTAAAAACAATGCTTTTATTTTCCTCACAATTAGACATTATATGACATTAAATCCCAACTTGTACAAGTCCGTGTGGCTACATTTACAATGCAGAGACACTGTAAGAGCTTATTTCTGCACACCTGCACATTTAACGCCTCCTATTGTCACGCTGAAGACGAAGCTGGGCTGATGAGCCTCTCCTTCTGCTTTCTCCATCACAAACACGGGGAGATCACCACTAACGACTCCATGTTCATACAAGATTTGTATGGGTGTCTTCCAGGAGCCCGTCCTCTGTGGTTCCGGTGTGCTCAGGCTGTTCAACGTGAAAACAAAAATCATTGGCTTTGACTTTACAAGAAATGAAATTATATGAAGAAGCATTCATCGGCAGAGCTCAGTTGTCTTGTTTTATGATATGAAACTGATTTAAAACCTAATACCGCTCTTCTATATTGCTTAGTGATGTTTCTCGCCATTTTCTTATTACACATGAGAGGGATTTGGCAATGTTATGCCTATTTCGTTTCTCTGTTGTTCCATGCAGGGTTTGGAGAGAGGCCTTCTGCAGGTGCAGCTGCTTGGTTTGGTTGCTGCCTGCTTATCAGGATCTGCCACATCTGCATCTCTCTCTCATTCTCCAAAACACTATTTATACACAAGGTAACAGCTTTGCAGGAAAACAGTCGAACATAGAAACTAGGTTGAAATGAGAACCTAGATCTTTTGAATTTGTAAGACAAGTTCATGTTTAAAAGTAAGAAAAAATAAATAAAACACTCACCTTCTGTCAGGAGCAGCTGGTGCCTGATATGCTTGTTCAGACATGTTTATGGTATAAGCTTGTTCTGCTATCAGAAGGACTGTGAAACAGAATTACAAATAGGATTCACCTGTACTTTTTTAATCTGACATGTCACATTATGATTAAGGCCCCTGCACAAAGTCATCACATCCAAATACTTGATTGCGAAAAGTCTCATTATAACCCACACTTGAGGAGAAAGAAAAATGCTACTATTTGTATTATTTGCTGAAAATGATCAGCTAACAGCTTCTTACATCCTAAGAATTTCATAAGCTAAGCTGTTAAGTGTCGAGCTGAAATCCCGCCACCATTTAATTAGCAGGAAGATTTATTGTCTGCAGCAGTTTCCTCCAAAGAAAAACCTGCAGCCGTCGTCGCTTTGCATCTAAATAACCATTAGAAAAACAGATAAAGTCATTGCTAAAGAAACACAGCTCCGCAGCGAGATGTCCAGGTGGAGAGATGATGAGGGAAATCTTTGGTTTTTGACGATGGCAGTAGAGTTAGGAGTATTTTAGGGCTTGTTGAAAATAGTGACGCCCTCACACGCATTTGATTCAATTTTACTCGGTGACCTGCGCCTGGACAACGCGACAGACAACCAGAATATAGAAAACGTCACAGAAAAACTAATAACATGTTTTCCAGGAGAGGAGCCTAACGTAATATATTTAGGACATTTTCAAAAGTACAATAATAACTGTAACTCACATGCATGCACGCTTCAGGATTTAATTGGAATTACATGGAAAAATGTATGTATACTAAAACGACTAAAATTGCATTGAGGCCGAAAAAAGATGCGGCTTTCTGACGCTACCTCTTTGATCCCCGGCTTTCTTAAAGGGCCAGCGCAGCGACGTTGTAGGAGAAACTACAACCTAAAGGTCCCTCTGCTGTTTCTTACACATTTGTGTTTTGTTTATTTTCGTAACATCACTAGTTAAACTGCCAGGTCATAAAAGCTGTCAACTAAGGAGGTTTCACAGCAGAGGAGAAAAAAAAATACAAATCCTATCAACATCCGGGTCAACTGCAACCACAAAACGATTTGGAAAATGCCTGTCGCCCCCTGCAGGTAGAGACTTGCTTTTGTTGGTGTCGCATAACCACATTTCCTCAAATTTTGTTGGAAGACATGCAAAATATGCAAACCTTGGGAAAATCCCACTAGGTCTTTACAATCATGCTAGTCATGAACGGAGATGCTTTTTGTTTGTGGAAAATTCAGCAGACAATCAGAAAAAGAATTAACTCAGGTAAGCCCAGGTTTCAGTTTCCACATCACAAAAGCCTGGCCTTATAATAGCTGTTATAGTTTCTTTTTTTTAATGGACACCAAAAAGTACTTTCTTTCTTTGGGATCATTTTATTTCATAATTTCACATTCATTTAACTCAGTTCTTTTATTGTACAACAGATGATTTAGAATTATTTACATAGCCATTTATAATTCAAATGAAGTGTCATAATAAGGCACCTGTCTACTAATATATCTCTTGAAAAAGTGTATTAAATGATCAAGAGCATTTATGTCAGAATAAATCATGTCTATAATTGTGTAAACATTTGAGTTGGGAACTCCAATCACACTTTGGAGCTAAAGTTTATAAAAAAATGCAACAACAAGATCTTGTCAAGAACAAATAGAAAACAAAAGAATAAGGTTGAAGCACTGATATGCTGGCTTTTTTGTGAAACTTTGAATATTGTTAATTTTTAAACAAGTTGCTGGAAAACATCATGGAATGTATTGTAAATGATAATGAAAAAAAAGACATTTATATTCATTACTATGACTATAAATAAAAGACACATAAATGTATGATTTAAATTGATTACAAGAGCACATTAAATATGATAAAATGGTTATATTGAGAGTCTGAGTAACAGATTGAAAGTAGGACTTTATCAATACCATGTGAAGAGCTAAAACTCAAAAGGGATTCCTACAAAGGAACGGATAAACCTAATTCTTCAAAACTCAGGATCTGATTTAAAATTGTAAATGAAAAAAAAAATACATATATGTAAAAAAAAATGTAAATCCGGTGTCTCTCAGGAATTCTCTCCAATTTTGGGTGGGGGTTTCTCAGGGACAGGGAACACCAACCTCTTTCGGAAAGAGAAGGCTGGTTGAGGCATTTGTTTTTTGAACCGACTAGCATCAGTCATCCTGCCAACATCAGCGTTCACTATTGTGAGAATGGTGACAAGGTCAACTCTCCTGGGAAAACATGAGATTCTTCAGTTAGATTTGAAAAGTAAAAGTACTCAAAGAACAGTTTGGATCAGAGCTAATACTGTATGTGGTTAACACCATTAATGATAATTCAATTGAACAAGTTAAATGTTTATTTTCTAGAGACTTTACAAAAGACAACAGAAATAAGCACTTTATGTCGCTGTGTGTGATAAACTATGATTCTCACTTTCGAATCAAATTAATAAAATAAATTAACTTTTGAATCACAATCACATTTTTGAGATGCACTTGCAAGTGAGTTTTCTCCACCACCAAATCAGAAGCAGCAGATGTCAACATGCATTACTAACCGTGGCACAAACTTGACGAGGTTCTTGCACAACGACTGGATATACCAGGAACCCCAGAGTTTATGTCTGAAGGAGACATAATTAGGAACCGTGGACATGCCCACCAGCATGTCAGCTACGATTGGACTCTTCAGATATGCAACTTCCGAATCAGCAGAAATGTGGGTTGTTTCGTCTTCAATACCATCTGATTGGACTCCATACTGTGGCATTTCGCCTTGACAGGCCTGGATGAAAAACATCTTGGGTTTTCCAATTAAAGTCCGGCAATTCCATCCATCGATTAACTCTGTCAGCTTTCTAATCAGAACAGGTTTGCCATCCACACCATACACTTTACCCTCCTGGCCATGACTGAGAATACAGACCACCAGGCTGTCATTCTGGCTGTGGTTCTGTTTGCTGATGCGTTCAAACAATTCTTCTATATTAGCCGCTTTACAGTTCTCGTGTATTTCCACCTCATAGCCCAACCACTCAAATACTTCTTTCAGAGCCTCTGAAAGAAAAACAAATAGATGAAAATGGTTATAAATACAGTGATTACTCCCAGAGAGTCTGGAAAAAAAAAAATCAGACACAAGAGATTTCATTAGAAGGTAATCACACATAAACTTACTTCTGTCAAACTCGGATCCCTCTCTATCGTTTAAAGTTATGAGCGATTTAGAGAAATCAATGTTGTCCACTATCAAACATATCCCTCTTTTCCCAGTCATTGGATAATCACACAGAACCTACAAGGAGAAATCCACAAAGAATAAAAACTAAATTCAAAGCACTTTGCAAAGTACAACATTTTACATTTGAAAATAAAAATAAAAAAACTAATAGAATCAAATTACAGAAATACAAGCAGATATGCAACACATTTTTTCCTCACTGTATGAAGTTTAATCAGATCAAACATCTATTGTTATAGGTCATTTTAAATTACTTAAATTATTTATATTTGTAAAATGTCACAATAATGTCAAAAAGAGTAATTCAGAGACTTATTTCTTAAGGTCTTCAAAATCACAACTTCCCATGCATTTCAACAACATTTGGTAGCTTTCCATTTGAATGGTATCATTTAATCAAATTTTTTGGGTTTCCATATGTCACAGTTAGGATGGTACAAGCATTCCCATTTTTCTTCCAAATGCAACGATTGCCATTTTGTCCAAAAAGTTCCACTTTAGATTCATGTCTCCAATAGGATCACATAGGTATTTGTTCCTTTGTGCAGTCCAAATCTGACTTTTTTAGGTTTCTTTTAGAGTAACATCTTCCTTCTTGTCGAGTGGCCTTTCAGCCCATGTCAGTACAGGTCACATAATGACACTATTTTACCAGCTTCAATCGCATTTACACGTCTTCGGCTTTTGTTCTGCGGTTCATCTGTGCATTTTGGGCCAAAACACTTTCCTTTCTGGGATACAGCACACGTCACCTTCCTAAGCGTTGTTGTGGTTGGACATTTCCATCACTTCTCTACTTCCACATAAGTGGTTGAATTAAGGAAGAATCAAAAAAACTGTCCAGCCAATAAATCAACCCCAACTTCCTTAATTTTGGGAGATAAGTGATCACCCAACACTTATATGAAAAAACACTTTCATCTACGTCCACAAAGATCTAAAACAAAATCAGTCAGAGTCTCCATTTGCTCTCCAGTGAAAGAGCTGACTGGTAGACCCTCCCACCAGGTTTCATCTGCCCATCTGTGGTTAACAGTAGTCAGTCACCCCATTGTTGCCAACTTAGCCAGTTCTTGGACAAAAAACTAAATAAAAAAAGTTTATGAGCCAAAATGGCAAGGTCAGGCTTTTTAAAGATTGGTAATTGGCCATAAAACTCCAATCACTGCACCCCCTAATTTGATCAGATAAATGCAGCACATTTGAGCACCTGGAAATTTATTCCCAAGGGTGAACCAGACTGGTGCAGCTCTAACGTTCTCTTCCTGATATCTTGACTCATTTATTTTAACTTTTCCATCGTGCCAAACAATAAAGCAGTCTGTTCAAGGTGTTTTCTTAAAATACATTCACAGGCGGGCCTCCTCTCAGTTAACCTCATGACCTCATCATCTGGTCTTTCCCTCATTTTTTTTAAAGAAATAGGAATCATTTTGTATGCTAACTTGTGATTTTGAAGACTTTAATAAATAAATCTCTGACATACTGCTTTTCTAATTGCAGCATTCAGTAAATATACATAATTTTGGCTATTGTAACTGACCAACAATTAGAGAAGTGAAACAATTAGCATTTTTTTATGTGGTATATTTAAACCTCTGCAAGAAAGAAGGGAACCAGAGAGTGATGGAAGGACAAAGAGAAAGGAAGTAAGGAAAGTAACATTTTAGACTGTCGGACAGGAAATAAAATAATAAACATAGAAAATACTTGAACCAAATTTCAGCCTTTTCTAGATTGAGCAGGAACCTGTTTACTTGAGCATTTATTTTAGAAGGTAAAGGAACAGTAAATGTACAAACCTCATAATTTTCCTCAGACTCTGGGTTGTTCTTTTCCGGATTCCCTGTATCCAGTGAAACCATTTCTCCTTTTGTGAAACAAGTGTGGAACAGAAGTAAATGTTAGTAAAGACTGTTAAAACCTGTCTTCTACCTTGGATAATACCTAGGATATAGTTGTAGATAAGAGTCCAGGAAAACTAATTAAAATGCATCAGTTTTAATAAAGTAGCACCGGAAAAACTGATAATATAAAAAAAATGAATAAATAGGTTTATAATCAAAATAGGAAGGTTAAAAAAAAGGCAAAATTGCCATGTGAAATTAGTTAGCAAGAGCCTTGCTGCCATTTATCTAAGAAAATGGCAGCAAGAAAAAACAGAATTATCTAAATTTTGGTTGACTAAAGTGTCAGAATGAGTAAGTAATGGCAACAATTTAGAAAATAAACCAGTTGATAAGATGACTTACTCTTATCTCCCTGGAAGTCAGTCCTGTCGGAAGGTTTCGGGTTCTAATAAATGAAAAAAATATATATATCATTTTGTTAAGAGAGCTAAGTGTCAAAATTCTGGAGCGTAGCAAAAGAACAGATGTCTAATCTTTAACAGATGATTTACCTGGCTTGATGAAACAGTCAAAGGCGACGACTCTGAGTTAGGGTTTTCTGAAAGAAAACCAAAAAATTTGTGTTTTGGGAACTGAAGCAAGCTTTTGATGGTGTAAAAATATTTACAGATGCGTTTTTCATTGAATGAGGTCCAACTCCTCTTTCCCTTCCTCTATAAAAGTGCAATTTAGTAAATATCTCTTCTTTTGGCTCGATGAATGTGTCTAAAGTAACACCCACCGTGACAGAGGGTTTAAGAACTGTTTGTGAAGTCCCTAAACTTTGCATGCATAACAAACGCCATACGTTAATTAAGTAATGGAATATTTAAAGTGTTAATGTGTGGGGTTTGAAATAGACAAGTCATGTTCCTTATTTGGTTGATATCCATGATGGTAAACGGGTTACCTTTCCTAAAGAGACGAATCTCTTCATTCAGCACAGGACACACCAACTTAAATATGGTCTCCAGATATTCGAGACTAGATTCATTTATGAGGGCCATGTGTTCCATCTCCAGGAAGACTCCCAGTGTCGTCTGCAGAGTAAAGAATGCTTACAGTTAAACTTGCATTGTAGTGCAAGTGCTTCAAACAATTTCTGGTTTCTTGAACATCCCTGTAGATGTTTCTTCCAACAAGCCTTCAAAGGCCCAGGGTTAAAAAGGAGAAGATGAGAATAAAAGAAAACAGCCTCTGCTGCAGAGGAACCTCATCTGGGAGTGAAAAGCATCCAACACTTGACACACTAAGAACAAAGGAAGAATCACTCAACTTTTTGCTCAAGTTTTCTTCGTGGGATGTCCTTTAACAGAAACTTCATCTCTCCGAGCTCCTTCTCAGTGATTTGTTCTGACAGGCGATACAGCAGCTTCCTGAAGCAAGTGTGATTGTGCAAGATCGTAGAAAAGGATCAACATTTTCCAATAATACACATTCCTGATTAAAATCTCCAGACTGAGAAAGAACTTAGTTTTGGCTCTTAACTTTTGGTGGAAATAGCTAAAAATTAGAGAACTATTTGGAAACGCACAAGAAATTTAAAAGCACCAACTTAAGCAGTTTTTTTGTAGATATTTTGAGGTAAAAATATTTCCACAACAAATGACAATAGTGTGAGGAATATTCTCACAATTTTGACAATTGGTTACAATTATGTGTTCTTTTATTTTTCATTTTTTAAATTTCATTGATATTACTATGAATGTCACATTAAAGGAAATTTAAATAAAGTTAAAACAAAAAATGTTATTCTTTAATTTAAAAAACCTAATTTTGCATAGTGGGTATTACAAAAATAAGGCATTTTATTTCTAAGAGAAATGTAAAGTTTGTGGATAATTTTTTTTAGTTTGTCATTTTCTGTCCAGGATCCTAATATATTGTTCAATTGAAAACTCAAAAGGTTTCCAAAACCCTAATTTGAAGAATTTTTCATTTATTTCAAACAAAAAGAAAAAGTTATTTTTCCATAGCCATAGGTAATTGTTTGATTCTGTTATTTTTTGATAGTTAAATCAATCTCTGCCTCAATTTATTTGTGTCAATTTCCTTAGTTCTGGGAGATCGCTGATTGACTGAAAACTTACATGTGAAGCCAATCTTATCCGCAAATCTTTTCTGCCTCAGAAAAGGTCTAAAGTCAATAAATTAAAATAATAAACAACTGTTGGCTGATGTAGACGGGCCCACCAGGTCCTGCCTGTATATTTGCAGTGGACAATAGTCATCCCGCTGTTACCAACTCGGTGACTTTCTTGCTATATTTTGCAACTTTTCAGAAAAAAAAAACAAACTGGTGTCAGCCAAAATTGGAATCGGCAGGTTAGGCTTTTTAAAGATTGGTGATTGGCCAGAAGACTGCAATCGGTGCACTCTTACATTTTTGATTTCTGTTCAATTCTTAAATCCACTTGAACCAATAACAAAATCTTGTTTTACTGTTATAAAAAAAAAAGTGAAGAAAGCCTACCTGTAGGGTGAGATGACGGTGCTGGGTGAGGACGAAGAAAGTTTAATCTTCTTCAAAATAACGGGTCGCTGGATGGTGAGGAGAAGCTCCACCAAGAGCTGTGGGTTTCCAGCAGACAGATGGTCTTCTTTCATGAGTAAGGAGAAGAGATTGCTGGCATCATCCAGAGAGACTTGTTTACTGCTCAAGATGTCGGTGCACAGAAAATACAGTGCTTCCATCTCATCAGTGGACAAGGATTTGCCCACTTCAAGTAGGGCCTTTTGGAAATCCATTTCCTGTCATTAAAAAAAAGAAGTTTTTAGATGTCAAGTTTTTACAGCGTAAAGAAATTATAGACAATTAAGGATTTTTTGTGCCTTTCAGAGGTAAACTTTCACAAGCCGACTGCTCAACCCCCAAAGCAACAGTCTTTTACTTTAAATGATTTATTTGTAAAATGAAGACACCTGAAATGTGTGGTGTGCATTTTTATTCACCCCTCTTTATTCAGACACCCTCATCTATTGCACCAACCATCTGTGAACTATAAATACAGCTGTCTCTGCCTCCGAGATTGAAATCCTGCTTACCATAAGGCATAAACAGCAAACACGTGGAAGAAGGTGATTTCATCAGCATCCATGATGGAAAACTGACATTAAACATCATCCCCATCATTCCCCACTGTGAAACAACGCGGTTCTACAGTAGGGACAAGGAACCTGGTCAGAGTGAATGAAGGAAAGATGGAGCTAATTGAAAACTAAAAGCACTCCTAAAAAAAAAAAAAAAGGATGCAAAGAAAACAACCCTAAATACGCAGCTTGAATTGCAGTGCAATGCTGTAAATCAAAGAATAGCTCTATCAAAATCCAGGTCTAACTCCACTTGATTCATGATGTGTTTGCAGACACTCAGAATAAACTTGAGCCAGCATTCAAGCAAAAACAATTAATAACATTAAAGTGCATTTCTACTGCTAATATAAATGCACAACATATCTTTCAGTCTTTTACTTGTATAACATTTTCATATTGAATCATATTCCTGTTTCAGAAAATATGTCGATGTTTGTGGTTGTAATGTGACATAGGAAACACTAAAGACATAGAAAACACTCAAGACTACCACTTAGTACTCCTTTAATGCTCCCCCAGACTCTTCATAGCATTATACTATTTTCTATTATGTAATAAACCAAATTCTGTGAATCACAGGATTTAAGTCAAATGCCTAAACATGCCTTTGTTGAAAATTTGTGTTTCAACAAAGCGCCACAGAGCTAAATGAAAGTGAAACAACATGAAAATATTAAGTGTGCTAATCAACTTCCAGCACAAACATAATCTCTTAAATTAAAGAAGAAGAAAAAACAGACTGGCTTAAAATGATCAAACAGCTAGAATTATAAATCTCGAGGAAAGAGGACACAACACAGCTCATAGGACAGAGCAGGGAATCAGCAGCCAGATCTCACCACGGCGACCACTGGTGTTCATCTGTCCAAATTTATCACCCAGTAAAACATAAATGCCTTTCATTCTGTTTATTCATTCTTTGTCATTGTAAAAAATCTGTTCCCATAAAAAGAAAATGAAAATCTAAATGTTATAGCTATACTTTCTCTAACCATGCGGTTCAATATTTGCCAAGGAAATGATCACAACTTCCTCGAGTTAAAAGCCTGGGAACGACTGAAACGTTTAAGTTTGAAAATGATTACGTATGCTGTAAAAAAATAAAACTAAAAAATCTGAAATATTAAGGTTTTAAAAGTCAAATATGTGGCAGTTCAACATAAAATAGCGTACGATTGATTAAACAGAATAATGTACTTCCAAGTTCAGTACACTAAACATGTTATTGTTTTATGCAAAGTGACACAATTACTGAGAAGAATAAAATTATTTCACTCAATAATTTATGCGTCACTGTCTTCTCCCTTAATTACAGACGAAAACATGCCGGTGACTCATACGAGGAAAAGAAACGACCAAACCAGTTACATAGGAAAAGTTCACTCGTTTTTAAACACGAATAAAGATGGGTGATTAATTCCAAATAATTTGGTTAAAAAAAACTGTCTATATATCCTCGAGCCAGGACGATTCAAATATGGCTCCTCTTAAATATTCTTGTGGGGAACCACCTACAAGTCCAACCAGAAAAATAACGTGTAACAAACGAGCCTGAACTCATCGCTGTATCATTAACCCTCAGAGTAATGACGATAAACAAGACGCTGTCATACCATGGCGACGAGTTGTCTCTTGGTTTGTGAAGGAAAAGTTCACTTCAGCATAACGTGGTAGCTCCGAGCCGACGAAGGAGACAGAAATACGAGCTTATGGGTCAGAACTTATACGAGATATTGAACCTGCTCAACAACGGAAGTTGAGAAGAAAGTGAATGTAAACCTTGAGCGAATTTCTGAACTTTTAAAGCCCACAGCGCCCCCTGCTGCTCTAACATAAAACAACAAAAAGTACATAAATAAATTAATGAATACATAAATACAACAATAATAGTACCTCCACTTTTTTTTTTTTACTTAATCTCAAATTGTACACAGTCTTTTCACATCAAGGACACATAACTGGAAACATTATTAGCATTAGAGTAAGTAAAGAAATCCTTGTTGTGTTTTGTACCTCTATGATAAGGAATGTTTTGCAGTACTCTAATACCACTTGGTATAAAAGTCTGTCTATTGCTGAAAAATATAAAAAAAATATGCATCATCATTTGAAAATTTTCTTTAAGTTTGCTGACGACTCTGTCCAAAAAACTGTAATGCAGCGAGACTATCCAACATCACCTCTAACCCTAAATTGTGACCCAGGAATGTAGACTGTTACTATGAAGTCAAAGTAATTGGCCCCTGAATTGTGTTTGACATGTGTCATGTATCACATTGTATTTTGTCATATCAGTGTGCCAAATTTTAAACAATAATTTTCACCTCACTGTAAAAGTGGTGTTTTATACAGAACACTGAACATCCAGACTTTATCGTCTTCAGGCAGATGTCGATTTTTTTTCATAATACTCAATAAAAAATAAAAATGATTTGGTTCAAATGTATTATAAGCTATAATTAGCAAAACACAGACAAATCTTCCTAAAAAATGTTCAATGCATATACAGTATTATCCTGGTAAAACGTGACTTTTTTATTGATAAGAACAAATAACTTTACATCTGAACTGAACACGCAAATTTAATTTTTTTTATATATTATTTTTTTCCTAGCCAATAAAAAAATCCTCCAAAATGTATATACACAGACACACATTTACATAAAAAAGAACTCGGTTTTACATTTTTGAGCTAAATATTTAATTGTCCATATAAAAAAGTAACAATATTAAGGAAAGTAAAAAGATAATATTAATATTGGCTCCATACAATATCCATACAACATTTTCTTTGAACTGATGACAGGGGCATCACAAATAAAGACAAAAGCTGTCTAGCTGAAACCCTCAGAGACATTTTGTGTTTTATTTGGGTTCAGTCTTCAGTGTGGTGATATGTCCTCTGCGTCTCACTCTGACTGTTAGCTTTGTCCAGGAGTTTGCTCTCGTGCTGTTGAACCTGAAGGACTCTGTAAGGGACAAACAGAGTGAAAGTTGCAGCATGCATCACTCTCATGTAAATGGTTTTATACAAAGAAATTTACTGAAACAATTTAATTATGTATCTAAAGAGAAATTTTCAGTCTGGGTAATTGTGCTTTCGACATAAATGGTTGAATGAAGCCAGAAAGAACAGTGAATCATGTGGGGGAGGATGTTATTTGTAGCTCCCGGTAAGTCCCAAAACTTTACTAGACCTAATGAAATGGAACTCCTATCATTGTTTGCAGACGTTCTAGCACCATTCAAGTTTCCTCCTATGACAAAACACTTTCAGAAGACACTAATTAAAAATGGGGTTTTCCAAATTCTCAAATTCAGATGGCCTGTGTGCAAACATGACTGCAAGGTTATCAGGAATTGATTCAGAAGCAGTCAAAGTATTAAAATCCATTTAATTTCTTCTTTTTATTATTATAATTTGTCATAAATTTTTCCACGGCAAAACATGGTGAGAGAAGTTTTATGTTGTGGGGAGAAAGAGGCTGGTTAGGCATGATGGATAGATCCATGGTGCTAAATTCAGTTCAATTCAATTCTAAAACAACTTGCATACTCCCAAAAGGGAACTAAATGCTGTCATAACTCACATCATTCAAGTCTCTTTGAAGAGTTGTTGTGGACTATGATGGGCAGGAAGAATCTATTTAGGTGAAAAACTCCAGTCCTTGCAATCCGGTGGCTGTCTTGCAACTTTCAAATATGTCATTGCTAAAAAAATACTTCAATCAAATAATTAGGTTATGCACAGGACTTTTACAGAACTTGACTGCATGCTGTGAAGATGCATTGCAGGACCCAGTTCTCAAGGACTGCAATTTAATAATAATAAATATTGCAATATTATGGCCTGTGATACATAAAATCCCAATAAAATCAACATCTGTGATTGTAATGTGATCCAGTATAAAAATTTTAAACCACATGAATTCTTTTTAGCCCCTTAACCTGCAACGGAACGCCCTTTTGCAATTTTTCGATTGTATTTTACAGGGACGCTGTTGGCACATATTGGCAGCTGCCACAAAACCACAAGCTATATGGTGTTTTCTTTCACTTTGTTGTGAATAAATAAACTAATTTAATTCTCATAATTCAAATGTCTTCTAGTGCAGGCATCAAAAGTGAATGTCCCTTTTGTTCAAAGAAGCATGTAGAAGTGTGATGCATTAAAAACATTTTTTCTGTTTCTTAGGTCTGTAGTTCAGGGGTGGATCAGGTGAAAGAAGAATAAAAAGAACATTTTGACAGAGTAGCATGGTGGTGGTAAAGTATGCTTTGCTTCCTCTGCAACCGGAAACCTGCAGCGTTCATAGGGCAATATGGATTCTAACAAATGTTAGGAAGTCCTGGTAGAAAAGATAACAGAAGCTTGGCTGTCATGGGGCCTTCAAATTGTTTTCTCCAAGCATAATGACACTCAAGTTGGAGCTTGAGTGTCATTATTTTTAAAAATGTCTTTTGCTTTTGTTCTGGTGCTTGATACACACATTTTTGCGCATTTTCAGTGAAACTATATGTTCATGTGTGAAACACATAATCTGTTTTTACTGAAAGATATGATGGCCAGAAACTGCTGTTTATAGTTTGAAAATATTGATTTAACAGCAGTGTAACAGTTTCTCATTATCTCAAATTGTTTAAAGGCAGCAAACAGTAAACTTTATGTAGAGTTTGTAAACTTCTGATTTCACAGAAAAAAAAGTATTTTAGGATAAACCTTCTTCCATCTTCCTAAAGCAGAAAACATTAACTTAAACCTATCAGAGATTTATCTTTAGTATTACTCATGTTTCATTAAAAAACATATTCAGGAAAAAGTAATACTTCTAAATATATAACAATTTTACATTATAAATATTAATACATTTTTTTTTTAATTTAATAATGTACTTTGCTCTAATCATTGACTCCCAGTGACCTTATGTCTTCTTTAATGTTTTAATTGCTATAAGCTCTTTTGACTAAAGTGGACCTACGGAAATATACATATTATTTAATTATTTTTTTTAAAATTTTATATTTACTTTTTTAAAGGGTAAGTATTTAATTCAGTGGCGTTTTGATGCTTAGTCCCCTTTTGTTGTTGTTGTTTTTTAACTATACAAATTATAGCAAGATTATAGATCCGTTTGACTGAAAACTAATGAAATGGGCGCACTTACTGTCAGTAATCAGGGAGTGCACAGAGGTGACGTGTCTCCTCCCCATGCCGTGGCTCCTGGACATCACGCATTCCACGTAGATCCCCCAAAAGACCCGGGCCAGGTCCCAGAACAGCGCCGCGTGTTTCCCGTCCTCTGAGGACCGCAGGGTCCCCATCAGGTCCCAGAAGGCGGGGACCGTGTCGGCTATCCTGGGAGACCGCATCTCCAGCAGCAGAGCCGAGGAGGAGTCCCAGCACTGCGGGTCGGCCCGGTGGGCCGTCAGCGGGTCCACCTGCGGCGGCTTGTGACCCCGCAGCGGGACCGCTGACATCCAGGTCAGAACAAACACAGTGGCCAGGGTCAGGTTGAAGGGAACCGGACCATTTCCTCTCGACCCAAACGCAGATGATCTAACACCTGTCCGATAGTGTTTTCTGTCAGATAAAATAATTAATTACTTTTAAAGAAGAAAAAAAAAAAAACGCTTAAATGTCACAATTCAAAAATTTTACAAGAATAACAAATTACAATTCTTTTTGTTTACTCCTTCACAAAGTTCATTTCAATTATAATCCAACAGATGTTTTCCAAAAATAAATACATAAATACTTACCACTTGTTCTGGCGTGGCAGCCTGGGCTTTAGCTTTGATGGGAGCTTGATCCGTACCTGTTTTAATATTTGGTGACGTCACTACGCTCCCTCCTTCTCAAATGATGGCTCCTGACGTTATTAATTATGCCTTTTTTTATAGATAGACACATAGATGTGAATACGTTCTCTAACTGACTATAGCTTTATTGCAAACCAAAATGGGCAAGAATTTCACTGTCTTTATGTGAAAAACTAGTAGAAACAAGTCCCGAGGGAAGGAAGTGACCACTAAATACTAATAAATATTGCAATATCATGACATGTGATAAGTTGAAGATATCTTGCTTTAACTATTCCTGGGGTTAGAAACCCAAACCAAATTTAGCCCATATCAAAAATACTGGAGTTGTGTGAATGGGACTTCAATTTAGTGGAGGTTTATGGCATTATTCTGAACCAAGAAACCAAGTTTTTTTTTTCTGCAGAAAACATAAGTAGTTTAACCTCAAAAGATGTTCTGTCATTTGTAAAGCAAACTCATCTCTAAATAATGTTTCAGAAAGTGGTAAATGATTTTGTTTTCTATGCTTTTACTGAAATGTCACATGCATACCTCATCTCAAATGTAATTATTTTCACAGTGAGGGGCCGACACTAAATGTACTGGATGGATGTCTTACTCACTCATTCATTCCTCTGATGATGCATAGAAGTTGGCTTCACAACATTTTCACTGCCAACGATGAATTCTAACTTTTAAATGAGGAACATTACATGCTGAAAAATAAAATGTGATGTTAAGAGGCATCTAGAAATGAACTGACATGAACTTTATTTTCATTTTTTTATTCTCGTGTATTATTTTATTATTAGTCATATTAAATTATCTGAAGTCAAAAGTATTTCCACTTCCGGTCTACTAGAAATGAGCAATCACTCAAAGTGTCAAAAACAGTCTTGAGTTGCACAGAGAAATGATAAGTTATTGACTAATTCTTTCATTTATAGCACGAGATGCATTACGCTCTGTTCAGAAGATTACATAAAGTTACCAAGAATAAAAATGTAGATACCTTTTGCAAGTGCAGTGATTGCTTTTGAACTTTCCCTTCTCCTGGGTTGGATGATCATACAACATACAGCTGCAGTGATTTAATGAATATAATTTTCATTAGTATAATATGATTGATTTAGATATTTTCTGGTAAATGTCTTTTAGATGAAAGGCTAATGAAACTTAACCATACAATCCCACTGATATTCACTCAAATTTCTCCACTACGTTCTTTTTGTAGATCATTTTATTGTAGAGTTCATTTATTAGTTATTTAATTGTATTCCTGTCACAGACTTGTCTTTTAGTTTTAAAAAACATGTCAGAGAATCTTTTCTAAATCACTTTGGAAACACTCAACTATGCCCAAATTTCAGATAATTAAATTTTTTTAAAGAGAAGCAATGACTGAGATGGACAGAGTGGAGTTACAGGAAGAGCTGCTACTAACTATTACTATTGTCCCATGTGTCTTCCATTGTTGTGTTTTTTTTTTGTTTTGTTTTGTTTGGTGATTAATTCACAAATGTAACATTTTGAGCTTCAGCTGGCTTTTACTTCCAGCAGACTTGTTTATAAGTTCCCAGACTTAAAGTCAACAATGACACTAAGATGCACATATTGAATTTGATAAAGATCTGGGCAGTTTTGAGATCTACCTTTTATCAGGTAAGACAGCTTGTCAACAGAAAGCTAACTGTCGAGAGTAAATCACCACTGTTAAGTATCTAGTTCTTGTGCGATAATTACATGTCTTGTTTTAAAGATTGATTTTTAAATGTCACCAGCTTTTAATTACTTTTTTTTTTTACTATTTGTAGGTAATGCCTGAAGTTTTTTGTTCAGCAATCAGATATTGAAATGACTTAAATCAGTCATAGTGGTTTATTAAGGTAACTTTAAAAAAAAAGATAAGTAAAAAATGCAAAACTGTATATTTTTTTCTGTTCCACATTAAACTGAACATGTAATCTTTTACTGAAACAAATAACTGAAAAATCCAAAACATAAAAAAGACTTTCTTGGCTAATTTGTTAGGACACAGAACGGACATCCCCGATTTAACTTTCAGCTCTTTAAGTTATGTAATTCCTAAAAAGATAGAATAAAATATACCCTGCACCCAAAAATGATATGTAAATTATTACAACTACGTCAGACGCACAAAAAAGCAACCACCGCTCAGATAAAATTTGTCAGTAGTTTATTAATGGGTCCAACTGTACATGATGCAGTGAGAGAGGGACACCAGACGATGAGCAACATGGAGGATCACAACAACGCCAGTGCTTTGGGCAGCACCTGGAACACACCAACTATCAGCTGGACTGGAAATGATGAAGGACTTGCATGTTAAAACTGTTCTGGCCTCGCTATGCGCAGGCGCCACACAGTTCGCTTGTGTGTCTGATTAAAAAGTTTAAACAGCATGAAAAAAAAAATCAATAAATAACAGACAAGATATGACTTACATTTCCACAAATGTAAAAGGGGCGCTCTCTTGCTTTACGCTGGAAAGGTGAATGTTTTTTGTTGTTTGTTATGAATTTTTAGTTTATGCTCACCCACAGTTCGAAGCAAAATGAAACAAGATGTTGGAGAGGCCAGATGGAAAAGAGTAATCAGCTGAGTTTTTTTTTTTTTTTTTTTTTTGTAATTCCATGTCTACATTGATGTCACTATTACCCATACTTTTTGTGCAATATCTCTCTTTGCATAGTAAATAAAATTTGAATGTTCTGGTTGTCGACATGCTCCTATCTTTTGTAGCATATTTTTCTTGCAGATTTTTTGGGGGAATCCCATATAGAATTATAAGCCCACTACAGTGATTGCATGCATGCAGCTTTATCAGAAGAGCCAAACTTGATTCCTACTCAGGGGTTTATGAGAGCAAAAAAGGCTAATGCCATTAAGGTGGGTGCTGATGAGGACCTGCCTGTGCAGGCAAAGGCCTGCGTGGACAGACTTCATGCCCTCACCAGTGGGGACAGGGAGGCACCACTGGCTGCAGACAGAGTGGGAGGGAAAGTGCTCTGTGTGCAACAACATCCATCTGTTCAGGTGATTGATTCTTTGGCTTTTGAGTCACCATTAGCATTGCTTCATTAGGGAAGGGGGCAGATCTTTCCAGACCTGATTGCTGTCAGGATCCCTCTAGAGCTGCATGTTTCTCCTCTGTCTGGCCCAAATCCTACAAGCCTGTCTTGGGTTTTATTTCAGTTATGTCTGCTGTAAAACATGCTAAGATAGAAAACGGAAGCAGCTGAGGTCATTGTGAAATAAGCAGTCGATTAAAAACCCGAACTCCTTATTGGTGTGTCATTTTACGTGTGTTTCTTTGTTAGTCGGTCTGCATTGTCCTCACATGCAGCACCTAAAAGAGGAAAATGAGCTTAAACTGGTTTTCCAGTGTGTTTGGTTTTTAACGAGGCTTTCTCCTGCACTAAATAAGTCCTTTTTTTTTGTCTTTGTATGTTTATATGCGCTATGTTCATAGCTTTGTTAGCCATGCTGAGCCCTAAAGAAAGGGCTTTTCATGCCAAGGAGGGCCAGCAAGCAGCACACCTTGTGTGTAAAGTCATGCCAGGTGAGAGGATGGTGTGGATTCCACCTGAACGCCTGTGCACTGGCACTAAAAGGAGGAGTTGGAAGGGAAAGGAAGTTAAATGTGGTGTTGAAAAGGCTGCAATTTTAATGTCACTACAATGGCAATTGTTAAAATGTCCACTATGTCTTTTTCAAGTAAATCTAATGCCAAAAAAGTCAGCAGCAGTAAGTGCAGTCCAGCTGTCAGGTAGCCAACTAAGGAAGCCTCGGAGGAGTCTGTCTTCGACTGTCACCTCTCCTTGAGTTAAATGGCCTGGGCGTTGGGGTCGTAACGCCGCTTCTTCACATTTCTTGCATGGAGATAAGAAAACAGCAGTCAGTGTAATTCACAAACATTTCTGCAACACATTTAATGCAACGTGGACAGGCAATCGCACTCATCTCTGCAGCTTACAGTGCTGCTAATATCGCATTTTCAAAACAAAAACAAAAAAACATATTAACAATATTTAAAAAAAATACTGTAACAAGCACTGTTACAGTATCAAAGTGAGGAGAGGCTTGTCCATGTTGACCAGTTCAGCCTCGACTGCAAATAGACAGAAGTACCTATGGCCCCTGACCTTTAGGTGTCAATTTATAATGAAGAAAAGGCTGCAGATTTTACGCTAGAGTAATATTATTCATACCTCTTGATCTTGTTACCAAATTGTGAAGTAAGAAATGTTTTACAAAAAGAAATTGAAAAGTGCAGTAAATAAAGTTATGGGAAATTGTTTGCCTTCAGAAATCCCTTATTTAGTAAGCATTCAAGTTGCTTTCAATCCAATCTGACTGGGATAGAGATATTTTGCAAAGAGGGACTAAAATAATTCTTGCTGTAATTGTAACACAAGATAATTCAACAAAGTATTAACTCATTATGATAGACAATAATTTTTTGCTACAATTTTTTCCAGATGTTGTTTTATAAACATCTTATTGTTTCATCTTCAAGCGGTATGAATTCTTTTGCGATAAATTGTATTTTTAAGGCATCAAACTTTGAATATATTAATTCCTAATCCCAGACTAGCAATCTCCATATGTAAATGGAAAATAAATAACCCATGCTGATTTCTGAGTATGAACTT